TTTTTTTTTTTTTTTTTTGTGGGACCCTCGCTGGTGGCCAGGGAACGAACCGGCGCTGCAGAGGCTGCGGGCAGCCTCGCAGCCCAGCACTCAACTGCTGCGCTGCCAGGGGAGGCCCCCTATCAGTCTGTTTTTATAGAAATTTTAATATAATTTAGCTGACTGTCCTCGGTCTGCCAGAGATGGCAGACCTCTTCATGGTGATGGGCGGGAGTAAAATCTCACCCAAGTCAAGCGTCATTCACAAGACAGCAGGATGGTCTATTTAAATGACTGGACTTTGGGGCCTTTCTGTTGGCGCAGGGGTTAAGTGTCAGCACGATGAAGCTGTCCGCAGCCTCTGCAGCACAAGTTCCATCCCCTGCCAGGGAGCTACCCACATGGCGCGGCAGACCTCTCCTGTCTCCCCACTGCTCCCCTCAGCAGTGCATTTCAGTGGATCCCCCTATTGTATTCCCCACTCTGTCTCTGGTGAATCCTCTCACCCCCCCCACACCTCTGGCCTGTACCCCAGTTCTTCTACGTAAAAATAAATAAAATCTTTAAAAAAAAGACTGCATTTTGACCATGAAATCATAATTTATATATTATATATGCACATATTGTACAGTCATACTTAAATGTATGTGTGCATATATGTGTAAACATGCTCAGCTTTAAACTAAGCATGTTTTTCCAAACCATCTTTACCGAGAAACTATGAAAAATAATTCCAAAATGACTTTTGGTGTCCCATTTCTTCTTAAATCTCTCTGAAAGAGCCCTAGCTTTCTAGAACTGTCTCAGCAAATAGTACAGTACTTGGTGGACATTAGGCAGCCCCTGATCCTTGCCCCTGTCCTTCAGTCCTGGTTGTGCGGGCGATGCTGCCCGGGACCCCATCTCTGCGCACCGAGTGGGGGGCCCTGGCTCCGAGTTTGCACATCCAGGTCCTGGCAGGTGCGCCCCACACCCCAGGCCCAAGAGGAGCGTTGGCTTTCCATTTCTTGGGGGGCCCCGACCTCCCTCTTGCCCACTCTGAACTTAGTGTCCCATTTTTCTTACATTATCTTACAATAACATAACTCAAAATAAGAAATTTGATGAGAGAGCTGGAATTCCTATTTCTGGAGCTGGCCCAGCGTGCGCTCCGGCCCCTCCTGCCAGTGGGTTGTGGGTCTGCGGGGTCTCCTGGTGAAGGGCAGGTGGCGTCCCCAGGAAGGGCTGAGCTGTCTGGGCTGCTCTGCCCTGCTCCTCTAGCTGCTGCCCAGAGCAAGGCGGCCCCTTTTCTCTTGAGGCTCCATACTTGCTCTTCTTGTAGAACAGGCTGGTCAGCTCGCTCACCTCTGAGCGGCTAACGGTGTTCCGCCATGGCTGTGTGGGTCGGCCCCTGTGTGCTTGCTGGGCTGCAGGCAAGAGGCAGGTGTTTCCGGCAGAGCCCATTTAAACATATGAGACAGGAGTGTGAAGTGTGCCACCCAAACTGGGCTTCTTCCTTGTGGCCAGAGTTTCCTGACGGTTGGGTGGTGGAGAGGCAGCCTGAGGCCAGATTGTCTCGGGCCTGCAGTCTGGTGGGAGGTTTGCACAGGGGGTCTGTTCTGTGTACTGGTCACAGTGTTGCTCTTTTACCTGCACTGGGTGGTGCTGGGAAGGTTTAAAATTTTTTTTTTTTTCCTTTCCCCTGAGAGGCCCCACCTCTAGTCTGCACCCAGTTCTATGCAAAATAAATAAAAATCTTTAAAAAATTTTTTTCTAATAATTTTGGTTAATGTCGTTTTGTGAGGGTATCTGAGAAAGTCTGAACCTCACATTTTAAAATGTGGACATTCTCAGGTGTGATAAAAAGGAGAGGCTTTTTGGTGTCTTTTATTTTTTATTTTTTTGTTAAGATTTATTTATTTATACAAGAGCTGGGGCACAGGCTGGAGATGCGGGAGGGTGAGAGGATTCACCAGAGACAGAGTGGGGAACAGAACAGGCAGACTGACGAAATACACTGCTGAGGGGAGCAGCGGGTGTGACAGGAGAGGTCTGCTGCACCATGTGGGTAGCTCCCTGGCTGGGGATTGAACTTGTGCTGCAGTGACTGCGCATAGCTTCATAGCGCTGCATCTTAGCCCCTTGCACACGAGGGAGGCCCCTGGTGCTGAATTCTTTTTTTTTTTAATAGTTTTTTTTTTTTATATAGAGGCATGTCTTTATTTATTTATTTATTATATTTGTTTGTTTTGTTTATACAAGCACTGGGTACAGTCAGAAGCGCGGGAGGGTGAGAGAATTCACCAGAGCCAGAGCGGGGAGCAGAGCAGGCAGAGGAACCGAAGTACACTGCTGAGGGGAGCAGCGGGCGGCAGGAGAGGTCTGCGCACCATGTGGGACCCTCCTCCGGTGGCCGGGGAGCAGCCGGGGATCGAACCGGCGCCGCAGAGGCTGCAGGCAGCTTTGCAACCCAGCGCTCAACCGCTGCGCCACCGGGGAGGCCCTGGTGCTGAATTCTTTATTGCTAACTGGATGCTTTTGCTCGACCTCATATGTGAGCAGAAGACAAAGTTCTTTGTAAAACTCATATTTGTGCCTGTTACTTTTATTTATTCATTTATTTATTTTTAAAGATTTATCTATTTATTTATACAAGCACTGGGGACAGTCAGAAGCACGGGAGGGTGAGAGAATTCACTAGAGCCAGAGCTGGGAACAGAACAGGCAGACTGACGAAATACATTGCTGAGGGGAGCAGCGGGCACGGCAGGAGAGGTCTGTCCTGCCTCTGTTACTTTTAAAAGATAAGTGTTCCCTGGGGCTCTCTGGCTGGCCGTTGGGCATGTGGGTGATGAGCATGGAGGCGCTGTCTTTACAGTTCTCTGGGGCCTGGTGGTTCTACCCAGAGAAGCACACACTGAAATCCCAGCTGTCACTCGTCACCACAGAGATGGCGGCTTGTTGACATGCTGCTAAGCACGTTTCCTGACCACTAGAGGGCGTGGGAGTTGCCTGGTTTGGGCTCCCTCATTCCCAGGTCAAGTCCTGGCCAGCTTTGTGTTGAACACAGGTGAGGCCTGGGGACTCCCCTCCTGCGCTCTGACAGCTATGACCAACTGACCAGGGTCTGCCCTGACAACTCCTCGGGAGAGCTCCTGCTTTGACTCCAGCTCTGCTGGAGACCTCAGGCCTTGAGTACTTCTGTTCTGACAGCCACCAAGTTCTGTGAGTGGCTGTGGAGTGCTCCCGTGGCAGCGCTGCCCGAATAAAAAACTTCCTTTGTGGAAATTCTTTGTTCAGTCTTGGCTTTCTGAACATCTAGCGAAATTGACTCGGTCAGGCCATAACCTCGTCTCTTGCGGAATGTCAGATGAATGGTGCAGGGGCGAGCGCAGGGCAGGTTCACTGTGGACTCGGGCAGACAGATAAAGGAGCGTTGGAAGCCCACGGTGGGTTTCACCGGCCCTAATGCTGTCAGGGGACCAGGCACACAGGTGCCCCAGGCAGGGAGGCTGGCCTGGCGGGGAGGGCGTGGGAGGGCTGGGAGGCACAGCGCCCCATACATCTTGACCCTTTTTCTCTGGCGTCCTCTCTCCGGTGGTCTGGCCTTTCTGGCTCCTTGCCCTGCCCCTCCCCTACTCGGTGGGCTCCTCCTTTTCTCCCTGGCCGCCTCCGTGATGCCCTGTGGGGAGCGTGCCCTCGCGGGATTTGCAGCCGTGGGAGCCTGGTACTTCAGAGACGCTTTGAGTCTGAGGGTTTATTGGGGATTAAAGTTGATCACAGATGTTTGCCTGCAGATCTGCAGGTCTGCAGGTCACAAAAGCTTAGGCTTTTCATTTCCTGCACAGTGGAATTCCCGCAGGGCTGCGGTCGCCTCCGGGGTCTGCCTTGTCACCAGGGTGCCCTGTGCCCGCCGTCTTCTCTGGGTGTGGTTCTTAAACTTGCTGTACTTTTTGGCTTCCTCCTTGAAGCCTCTCTACCTGAGTTTGATGGTACCTACCTGGAAGCAAACACCTTTAGTCTTGTTCCCGGGCAGGGAGTGGGCACCCCGGGGCCCCCAAACCTGCCCGCTCTGAATAGGACCTGCTGTCCCCCGCGTCAAGACAGAACACGCTCCAGCGCCCGAGCCCGTCGACGGGAAGGAGCTTCGGCGCCCGCAGTGCGCGGGAAGAGGCGCAGAATACAGGTTCCAGATCAAGCTCCCGAGTCACCCGCCCCCCCTTGGGTAAATGCCCAGCCAAGCACCGAGGCCCGAAAACCTGCCACGCGTCTCAGGCACCTCCTGGTGGGGACCCCTGGGAAGGGGCAGACGGGCCCAGCGCGTCTGGGGCGGAAGGAGCAGAATCGGAATCCAGATCGATGTGGCCGCTCTCACTTCCCCGCGGGGCTCGCCCGCGTCTGAGTCAACCCGTCCAGGACCCGAGGCCAGCGCGGCTTCTCCACCCATCTCTGCCCCGCCTCCTCCAGGCTCCTCCTTCCTTCCTCCTCGGGTCTCCTCCCGCTTCCCCTCCTCCCTGCTCAGCTCCACCGCCCTTGGGTGGGGCAGGGAGCCTGCAGCCTCCCCGGCCCCTGGCGACCCCTCCCTTAAGTCTGACCCTCTTGACCTGGCTGTTTGCCGCCTCTTGTTTGAGAAGTCTTCAGACTCTGGATTGAGAAAGGCTCTGAGCAGGGGGAGTTTTTCTAGCTGCTGGGAGATACAGGAGCAAGTAGCTGTTTGTATGCCTGGCTTGGTTCTGAGTAGAGAGCGTGAGGTGTGTGGGAGGCCGCGGTGCCGGGGTGTGCTGCAGTGCGCCTCATGGGTGCGGGCCTGGGCCTGGGCAGGCCTGTCCGCCCCATGAGTCCTCTAGGGTGGGGGGGTCTGGTCCTTCGGTCATGTCCCTGACTCTAAGGAGCAGCGTAGGTTAGGGAGGCCTTGGCTGAGCCCCCCCCCCCCCACCTGACCGCCGCTCCGGTAGTCTCCCAGCGCTGGGTGAGCGATGTGTAGGGATGAGCAGGCCGGACAGTTCAGCATGTGTTCACTTCCTTCCCTTCTTTTCTTCTAGAAAGAAAGAGCTTTCGGCCACCAAGAAAGACCGCGTGAACCACTGCCTGACCATATGTGAGAACATAGTGGCCCAGTCGCTCAGGTAACTGCGCGCGCTTTCTGGCAGCGAGGACTTTCTGCTCGCAGTCCTCGTGGTCCCCGCGGGCTTAGCCGCCGGAGAAATCTGCTTAAAAGGAGGACCTTTCCCCCCAAGCCCCACTACGAGTAACGTTTGCTCTTGGTAAACTCCTGCGCAGTCGCAGTCATGATTGAACTGCTTGTTTATATTTAATTAGCACCGTCGGTCATGTGATTACTACAGAATCACTTTTGTTTGCTATTTGTTGCAGTAACTGGAACAACATGGACTGTTCCAGTAATTGGACTGTCCAGGCTCTCCCTTTTCTGGCTTTTCTGGGGCAGCCTGCTTCCTGTCGCCCTGCGGGGCCGGCCTCCCAGGGTGCCTGCTGCTGCCCTTCTGTGCTCTGGGCGTGGTGGGATCCTTTGCTTGTTCTTCCTTCTGGGGTGAACGAGCGCCACCTTCTTCTCTAGCTTCTCGGCTAATTCTCATTCTGCGTTTGACAGCCTCTCCGACGGCTGCTCCTGGCTGCGGTGGGGGCAGGTAATTTGGGCCTGTGTGTAACAGCTGAGCGGGAGGCAGATGAATCTGTGCACACCCTGGATCTATCCGGAGGGGCGCGCATGTGTGCGATACTACTCTCCTTGCTTCTCTTTCCCCGTGTTCTGCTGAAAGCTGCAAAGAGCTCTTTCTAATCTGCTAGAGAAAACTCTGAGAAAAGTAACCTTGACTTTACTACTGACAGAAACTTGATGACTCACTTATTCTTAACACATTTGTATTTTATGCTTTCAAAGTGATTTCACACACGGTATTTCATCTCCGTTGAACTTATTCCATCATTTGTGAAATATGGTGGATGATTTGTTTTGTCTAATTTGTAGAAATGCCATGGGAAGAAAATGAAATAACCATGAGAGCATGTGCCACAGTGAAAGGACAGGCGCTCTGAGGTAGCGTGCTGTGATAAACAGCAGCACGATATTGAGAGTGGGGGGTGAAGACTGGAATTCCATCTGTTCGTCAGAGCTAGAGGGTTTTAGGTGAGTTTAACTTAAGCTTCTTGCCTCGCTTATGAAACGTAAACCTGATTTACACCGGGGAGCCAGGAATACATGCGGAATGCTGTGGAGAGCGGCGAAGATGGCTCGTCGGCTGGCTGAGAGGGAGAAAGGCCTGTCCTAACACACGCTGCCCACGGCTGTGAGTTGTCATCGCTTCTTGCGCGCTCGGCCGTGGGCGTGGTCCTGGCCTCCAGGACTGCCAGTTCATGGGGCTCTTCCAACCCACCTCATGCTCTTTGTTTCTTGTGATTCTCAGTGGAATTGATGGGATGTTGACTTAGACCCGCAAATAGTAGCGCCCGGTGAGCTACCTTAAGATTGATGGGTGGTTCAGTTTGCCATCTTCAGCCAAACATCAACTGGGGGCAGTTTCCACATCAGTGTGTCTCTGGTTTTCATGGGCTAGTGCTGCTGGTCGGCTCTGAGAGGAGGGTGTTCCTAGGGTTTTTTATGGACCCAGAGAGGTTCTCTTGGGTCTCATCAGATCAGAGAAGGAGTTTGTTGTAAGAAATTCTTTTCTTTGTAGGAATTTCAGAGTATAGACCTGAGATGGATGTTTTATTACATGCAGTGTTTGATAAAACCTCGATGGCTGGTGTTTCCTGTAACTTCTTGAATTTTAGTAACTTTTGGGTTCATTTCTGTAGCTCCTGTGATATACTCACCTTGCCTCCAGCGAGGTCATTTAATGCAGTGTCTAGAGTCGTTAATCTGAAGCTTCCCTTCGGTGTGACTGTTAGCACGTGTGCTCTCATTTTGGTGCGGTCTAAGCTGCTGGTCCGTAAATAGGAGTGTCAAAAATCATCTCGGAAATTTGTCAAAACTTTACTAAGGAAGATAACTCACCACCCTCTCTTCCAAACACACTTACACCTTCTGTTTGTGTAGAATCTGGGGAATTTGTTGTTAACAAGTATCCTTTTGTGAAATCCTGGGGACCTTTGTCTAAGCAAGTCTGCCTTGGTGGCGGGGGGCGGGGGGGAGGAAATACACAGCAACCAGTAGATTTCCTATGTATTATGTTAGCATAATGCAGAAGATGAAATGGTTCAAGAGCCGGTGCATAGTAGCCCCAAAGTATAAAATTCTAAGAACTAACAGAAAAATTCAGGAACTAGATCAAGAAGATGTGGTACATATACACCATGGAATATTACTCAGCAGTCAAAAAAGATAAACACATGCCATTTGCAGCAACATGGATGGCGCTGGAAGGGATCACGCTCAGTGAAATAAGCCAGAAAGAAAAAGAAAAATACCGGATGGTCTCACTCATAGCAGGGATCTAGAAAACCTAAATAAGGGACCAGGAAAAAGAATAACTATAAGAAAGAAAAAAATCAAAATCAACAAACAACTACGAACCAGACACACTCTATGGGGGGTGGGGGGCGGGGAAAGGAGGGGTTGGGGTCAAAATAAGGGGGTTGTAATTGTATGGGGAATATAAAAAAAAATTTAAATAAAATAAAAAAATAAATCTTTAAAATATATATATTTAATAATTTACATTGTAAAATGTAAATTTTAAAAGTTTTCCAGTCCAGGGATATATTATACCCCTCCATTATTTGTTAATATTTTTCTCAGAATAACTTTTTATATTCCCCTTCTTATGGATCTTATTCATTTCTTTGTTATTCATTTTTGCTTTGTTCTTTTTTGTTTTGTTTCATATTTGCAACTTTCCTGGATAGTATTTTCTCCACCAATCTCTATGCATATTGAGAAAAAGTAGCAAATATATTTATTTTTGCTTAAAAAAAAAAATTCAGGAACTATATAAAGATTGCTATTGGCTTTCCTAAAAGAGATAGATGACTAATTCCTTCCTTCCTATAGGAAAAGCTTTTTAGCCTAAAGTTGAATTTTTCTCTAACATAACTCATAATTTTAAATTGTAGTAGGGTTATTTTTGAACTTGTTCATCTTGCAAGAATAAGCGTTCCAAAGAAAATCAGAAACCATCAGCAATATGGTGAGAGCTGGTGTACATGACAGTGAATAGCAGTTGATATTCTAGAAGGTATGGAATGAAATTAGTAAAGAGAAAGAGACTCGGGCCTCCCTGGTGGCACAGGCAATTGAGCGCTGCACTGTGAAGTTGTTTGCAGCCTCCGCAGCGCAGGTTTGATCCCGACCAGCTGGTGAGAATCCCACATGGCGCGGCAGACCTCTCCTGTTGCGCCCACTGCTCCCCTCAGCAGTGTATTTCAGTATTTTAGTCTGCCTGTTCTGTTCCCCACTCTGTCTCTGGTGAATCCTCTTACCCTCCTGCGCATCTGGTCTGTACCCTGGTTCTTGTATAAATAAATCTTTTTAAAAGAGAGAGACAGACAGACAGACAGACAGACTCTATGTATCTGTGTTGGGGAACTTAGGATGAAGGCAACATTTTGTAGTAGCAGGAAAATGAGGCATCTTTGAACCAGCCAGCCAGGGGGAGAGTGCTGTCTGCCTCATACTGCAAACAAACTTAAATGTCAGATTAATTTACTACTGGAACAAAACTGAAATTATTGCTATCAAAAGAACGCTTAATCTTAGACCGAGGGGGAAGGCTAACAATATAAAGAATAAACTTGTTTTGACTGGAATATAGTTCTGTATGTCAAAATCCATAAACTCAAAAGAAATTCAACTTGGAGAAAGTGTTGACAGACATATAGGAAAGGTCTTTATCCATCGTTAAGAAGACCATGATCCTAGTAGGACGAAGGCGAAGACCAAGAAGTAGGTAGTTCAGAAGACAAGAAATATGATGGGGCTTATAAACATAAGCGCTAACACCTATTTCATATTTCCTGTGGAAAAATGTGGAATGAGAAAAAAGTTAGATACCGATGCGGTTAAGAATCTTGAGATGAAATATTATCCTGATGGGCTCTAAATGCAATGCAGTCACAGAGTCACAGTCTGTAATGTGTAGAAAGGCAGAAGATGATCTCTCTCTCTCTCTCTCTCACACACACACACACGCACACACACACGCACACACACACTCTCTTGGTCGTCGTGAATTCTGGAACCCCTCTTGACTGTGATAGTTTCTTTTCTTTTTTTACTTAGAAATTCTCCAGAGTTCCAGAAGCTTCTGGGCATTGCCATGGAACTCTTCCTGCTGTGCAGCGACGATGCGGAGTCGGACGTCAGGATGGTGGCTGACGAGTGCCTCAACAGAGTCATCAAGGCAAGGCCTGTGGGCTGTGGGCACAGGCCACGACGGGCTTCCCCTTGCATCAGGGCAATGTCGCGGGGACGTCTGCATGGCTCTCGCTTATGGCGTGTGGTTTGGGGTGCTCTGGTGTCGCCAGCGTGCTCGTACATAAGCTGTGCGGAGGAGCTGTTTGCCCTGTGCCCGCCCAGTGCAGCTCGGGTATGGGCCATGGCAGCGGCCAGTGGTGCTCGTGGGCGCTGTCTGTGCAGACACCAACATTCGTTCTGGCGTGGAAACCAGAGAGACGCGGCATCCTGAGAGCGGGCTGTGGGGGTGTGAATGGATTGTCTTGGGTGTCTCCTTCCCCGTCACTCCTAAGACCTGGTCAAGTCGTCGTCTTTGCAGGTGGAGATGTGACTTCTGCAGTGAGTGGGTTAGCTGGGCTCGTGTGATGTGACTGGGGAGAAGGGGGATCCCCGAAAAGGATGATGAAGCCAGAGGCCACTGGGATGATGGTGCAGGGAGGAGTGCGAAGGGGGAGCCTTTCTTCTGCTCGTGTCTCCTCCTGTTGCCGCTGCAGAGTTGGTGCCCACCGCCGCCAAGGCTTTAACCTCCTCTCTCCGGCCACCATTGAAGAGAGACCCTCCTAGTGTGCTGGGGGACTCACCTGCCCCACTGCATGAGTCCCCAGCCCACCCTCCTCCTTCTATAGCCGGGTGACTGGCCTTGGAGTGGGTGTGCAGGCTTTGATCTCCTCCTCACTGCAGCTGACGCTGTGGAGGAGTGTCTGACACAGTCTCCATGCTCTCACACGGCTGTCCCATGGTAGCGGTTGAGGTGACAGTCTCCCACGTCCCCTCTCTGCACGGTCCGTGTTTTTTGGACCTTTCCAGTTTTCTCTCCTCCAGCGTCTGAGGAGAGTCCCACCTCTGATTCTGGGTAAGAGGCTCCATCTCTTCATTTTCCTTGAAGACTCTTAGTGCTGCTTTTTTGGCCAGGTGAACTGAGAGCGCCAACTTGCCTCAGGTGAGGGGGATTATTTCCCTTTTCAGTAGGGTCTTGAAAAAGAAAAACACTGTCTTCCGGAGTCTTCCCAGGTCTTTCTGTGGAGACCGCCCTTCCTGTGGCCTCTGCGGGCCCAGCTTCCTGCAGGAGGAGTGTCAGCCTTTAGCCCTGTGTTGAGGAGATTGCGTCCATCGCCAGGCAGGGAGAGATGCGGAGACGTGGGGTGGATCTCTTTCTGCCCCTGCCAGCTCAAGGACCTTGGGAAATGTCATCCCATGAGTGCGTCCTTAACCGCAAGAGGCCACCAGACGAGGGTCAAAGATGGTAATGCAGGTGACCTGCACGGCGGCCTCCTGCCTCCACTGGGCCTCTGAGTGGTGAGGGTATTCTTGTTAATAAGGTTGTTTACATCTTACTGAGAGATTGGGGGGCCCGCAAGAGCCTCAGCTGCTCTGTGTGCTGCCCTGTGGATCCTGGTACCCTGTTCCCAGGACACTAACTTCACAAGCTCAGACTCCTTCTGTTGGAGTGGCCTATGTGGGGGACCCTCTTTGTCTCTAGGAGGTTGTCTAGTCTGCTGCTTTGCATGCCTCTGCTTGCCTCCTGCCTCAGAGACAGTGGCCGGTGGCTGTTTACCTTGTTCTCCACACGAGGTGGCCCGTGGTGACACTCCGGTGTGTGGGACCACGGCACACTGGCAGGTGGCCTTTTTTTTTTTTTTAAGATTTATTTTTATTTTTATTTATTTATTTATACAAGCACTGGGTACAGTCAGAAGCACGGGAGGGCGAGAGCATTCACCAGAGCCGGAGCGGGGAGCAGAGCAGGCAGAAGGACCGAAGCACACTGCTGAGGGGAGCAGCGGGCCGCAGGAGAGGTCTGCGCGCCATGTGGGACCCTCCTCGGGTGGCCGGGGAGCAGCCGGGGATCGAACCGGCGCCGCAGAGGCTGCGGGCAGCTTCGCAACCCAGCGCTCAACCGCTGCGCAGGTGGCCTATTTTTAGTTAAATTTCTCTTGAGGCCTGAATATCCTTGTTTGCTTTATTATTCCCACTGCAGGACCAGGTTGGCTTTTTCTGACAAAATTCTGACTTTTGATCCTTAGGATCAGTTTACCTGATGAGGCCGTTACAGGCTGCTTTGTCCTGGCAGGAGGGAAGTGGAGGAGGCCGGCAGAACAATGTGACCAGCGCGGTGGAGGTGCTAGTCACGTCACGCCTTGCCCTGTTCTGCACTTCATCGTGTCTTCGCCAGGATCTGTTCCAGGCCTGCTGGCCGGGTTGATGGTGTGCGGGGGCCTGGGGCCAAGGGCTGTGGTACTAGGTCCTGGCCTCTCATCCTGGTCATTGCCTGACCGTTCCCCGTTCCCTCTTTTTCTAGTCTCCCAGGGCAGATCCCAGTTTCTCATGCCCTGAATCTCAGAGGTGGTCAGTCTCTTTCAGCCTTTCTTTCTGCTGAAAGTTGCGCCTCCTGGGACTTGACTGCAACCAGAAGCCTGCTTCCTTGAATGCTTTCTGCTTCATCCGGGAGCTGGGAGTGGGTGTTTGGCCAGGTCTGCTCTCCCTGTGGCAGAGGATGCATTGGCTGGGTAACTGGATGAGTTGGGCAGAATGCAGGGGTGGCCACTCGGGAGTCGGCTGCGTATGTCCCTGCTGTCTGTCTGCTGATGAACACTGCTGCTGACTGGTGTCGGGGCCCAGACTCTGCACTGCAAGGCCACGCAGCACAGTTAGCTTTTTTTTTTTTTTTTTTTTCCCAAAGATTTATTTATTTATTTATACAAGCCCTGGGTACAGTCAGAAGTGCGGGAGGGTGAGAGAATTCACCAGAGCCAGAGCGGGGAGCAGAGCAGGCAGACTGATGAAGTACGCTGCCGAGGGGAGCAGCGGGCGGCAGGAGAGGTCTGCGCGCCATGTGGGACCCTCGCCTGGTGGCCGGGGATCGAACTGGCGCTGCAGAGGCTGCGGGCAGCTTCGCAACCCAGCGCTCAACCGCTTCGCCACTGGGGAGGCCCCACAGTTAGCTTTTTATTAGCATAGGAAAACACACCAGGATCTGATTCAGCCTGATTCAGCTCTTGCTCACAGGAGGTGACCCTTCCTGTGGGGCCACGTGCGTGTTACTTCAGGCATGGCTGTCGCTCTTGTCTTCAGAGCTTTGGCAGCTCACCACTAGTCGGCAGGCTAAAGTGATTTCTGTCTGGGGATGCTGAGAAGGCTTCCTGGAGGTGACAGTGAGCAGGTGAAGCAGGAGATGGGGACCTTCCTTGCCTCCCAGCATCCTGTCTGGAGGGTGTGCCAGGTTGCTTCTATGGAGGGCCATGGCTGAGGATGCTGCCAGAGAACAGAGGTGCTGAGGTAGTTCCCGGGGTTGCGCTTTATTTGGGCGAGAATGAGATGTGCGGGAGATGGACGCAGCCTGCCGACAGCTTTCATAGGGCAGCACCCGGGTGACCGCCTGCGGCCAGAGCTGAGGCTCCACGCAGTGGGCCAGGCAGGCCAAGGAAAGGAGCGAGTCTGAGGCTGGATGGCTCAGGGCCTGGGCCGTGAGGGGCCGCAGGGCTGAGTCTGACGACTGAAGAGCCTGTCAGTGTCGGGGTGGGAGCAGGCTCAGGAGGAGGGGAGACCCAGGAGGGTGTTAGGTGACTCAGGATTGTGAGAACTGACTCTCTGCTGTTATTGGGGGTTGGGGATTAGTTTTCTCTTGTTACAAAATGAGTTGATAATGGTTTATAAAACATTCATAAAGCTAAATCATGACATGGCTTCAGGTTTTATTTGAAAAGTAGTGTTTTAATATAAGTTCTCTTAGGTTTGCTTAATGAAGGATTTTTAGTCAAATTAAAGCAACAGAATTAGGATTTAAAAGTTTCTGAGGTATTATTCTTCAGACCCTCCTAAAATGTGACACTGCCCTCGCGGTTCAAGCTTGTCGACCAGGGTGTGAGCCCAGGGTTACTAACGCCAGCTCAGCCGTAGGCCTCAGGTGCCCTGTTAGCACACAGAGAAAGGCTTTTTGATGGCGTCTTAGTCACATTTTGCCTCTGTCCTTGGTCGACAAGCCACTGGCAATACTATTTTGGAAGCCAGGGTTCCCACAAGCATGAACGGGGCCCAGAGATCTTTCCTCTCTTCCTTCCACCTTGAGGAGCCGCCTCCTGTGTGGACTTGGGGCCGTTGGCTCCTGCCTGCCATTTTTCTGGGATGAGGTTTGCCCCATGGCCGCTAGTTTTGATTCAGGCTGGACGAGCTGGGAGGCAGTGAGGAATATGAGGCTCCTGCTGGGGCTTCCCAGGGTCACTGGAACCCTGGGCTTGGGGGCGCCCATGCAGCCCAGAAAGAGTAGATTCTTAGGAAGGGTGTGGGCTCTGTGCCACCAGCTGCTCTGACCTCCCAGAGCTCTGCCGCCCCTCTGGCTCTGGTGGCAGTAGCGGCAGGAAGGTCTAGAGCAGGATCTCTATGACCCGAGCAGATGGTGTAAAGGAGGAGTCCTGGAGCCCTCGGGGGCTTTTCAGGCTTTTATTGGGATTACCAGGTACACGGCAGGCAGCAGTGCCGGGGGGCCAGGAGGCTGGCAGGCCTCCTAACCCCCAGTGAGTCTTCACTCTTCCTGGGCTCCCTGGTGTTCTCTCCTAGCCTCTGCTTCTCTGCTGGTGCTCCTCTGGTCATCTTTCGCTCTGCTGGCGTCCCCGTGATGCCGCCCTTGTAAGCTCAGTCTAGTGAGCTTACTCCACACCTACTCCAGGTGCCCTCCATCAGGCGTGCATTCAGGACCGCAGGGTTCCATCATCAATCCCAATGGCGGGAGGACAGAAAAGCCTGACACTTTACTTACCCTACAGGGCTCACACGTATCACTGACGTTGCGGGCTCCAGCCAGTCTCACTTAATGAGGACTGCGGGGTCAAGGGTTGGTAGGACAGCTGTAGGATGGATCTGTGCCATCTACCGTTTTATTTTGATATTATGTAGAACTTGATTGTCATCACTTGCCTTTCCTCTCCCCACGAATGTATCCAGTTTTTTGGTAACTTCCTGCTTATGTATGCTTCTTTCTTCCTTAATAAATAGGGCCTAAGCCTAGTTGCTTTTTCACTTTGCCCCCAAGTTGAAATTTTAGTTGTCTTGTAGCTTTCTTGAGAACTGCTGATACCTGTGTCTTCCTCGAACAGACCTCATGTGTTTTGTTGTAGGCTTTGATGGATTCCAACCTTCCCAGGCTACAGTTAGAACTCTATAAGGAAATTAAAAAGGTAGGCCTTTCATTTACATGGTTGGAAAAATGGCAGTGTTTCACTATCTTGACCAGTATTTCTGAAATTTTATCATTCAGTAAGTAAAAATGTTAAAAGGAAATGCTGTTTGATAAAGTAGACTTTATCTCTTGAAGTGGTTACGCTTCATTATTTATTAGATGGGAATTTATTTTTTATATCTATAATTGAAGCCCACTGGACATTAATATTTATAAAGTAGTTATACATTTCCGTGGCCTTTTCTGTAAACTTGGAAATTAATGGTAAAAAAATGCTTTTGTTTATGTGAAGTTCTCTTGGTGTTAAGTGTAACACCTGCTGGCTCATTTCACCCATGCAGAACGGCGCGTTTCGGAGCCTGCGCGCTGCCCTCTGGAGGTTTGCTGAGCTGGCTCACCTGGTTCGGCCACAGAAGTGCAGGTGAGTTGTACTTGGTTTTGTTTTGTCAAATCCTGTGGATCCTCCACATCTCCGTTCAGATGTCCCGTCCCCAGAGGTCTTCCCTGTTCCCTCTGCCCCTCAGAATTGCAGTTGACATGGTTTAGTTTATCTTTCTTCTGTAGCACTTACAACTCTCAGGAATAATCTCTCACACTTTATCAGTGTGCTTGTTTATTTTCCATAATCACCCCCCAAGAGACTTCCAAGATGCACACCCCAGGTCAGCAGGGGCCTTGCTCCTGCTCTCTGCTGCTGCCCAGCACTGCTGAGTGTCCACACATGGTAGTTGCTGAAGAGATCCTTGTCAAGTGGCTGAAGGCCAAGTCCAGCCTCGTTGGCGTGCTCTCAGGGTTACTGAAAACGGTGCATTTGTCTAGTCTGCGGGTTAAGAATGGGAATGTTCAGTGACGAAGAAGTGTGAGAAGTCGAAACAGTTCTGACTTAATGGATTGAGAAGTGAAAGTGGAACCAGGGCTCCCGTCAACCTTCTTTCTATCCTTCCTGGAAAAAACCAGGTTGATGTCCCAGGGACACTTACGTCTCTCCACAGGAACTGGATGAGTAGCCGAAACCCTCACTATTCGTGAGAGACAGGGATATATTCCTGTGAGTTGGAGTTTACTAAGAATCTTACATAGCCGCAGAGATACAGTCAGTAAGGAAGTTTCTCTGTGGAGGGATAGCATCATTGACAGATAGCATCATTAGTTTCATATATACAATGTAATGATTTGATATTTGTGTATTTTGTGAAATAATCAAAATAAGTCCAGTTAAGTTCCAAGAAATTTTTATTTATTTATTTATTAAGATTATTTATTTATGCAAGCACTGGGTACAGTCAGAAGCGCGGGAGGGTGAGAGAATTCACCAGAGCCAGAGCGGGGAGCAGAGCAGGCAGAAGGACCGAAGTACACTGCTGAGGGGAGCAGCGGGCGGCAGGAGAGGTCTGCGCGCCATGTGGGACCCTCCTCCGGTGGCCGGGGAGCAGCCGGGGATCGAACCGGCGCTGCAGAGGCTGCGGGCAGCTTTGCAACCCAGCGTTCAACCGCTGCGCCACCGGGGAGGCCCTCCAAGAAATTTCTTGATACGTAGTCTCTTTTATTCTCCTTTTTTCGAACAATTTTTTATAGTTCTGAAGCAATACATCCTCCTGAGCTCTTCACAGAGCCAAAGTCGCCTAAAAATAGGAGCAGGCCACTTCATTCCCTTGGGGTCTTCACTTGTCTCCTGGAGCCATTCAGACAAGCCGGGGCTCCTTCCTAGCCCCGCCGGCTCCTCAGACCCTCTCCATGGATTCGATGGCCTGTTTTATTTTTCTCCTCATGGGGGTATCTGTTTCTTGTTGGAAAGTCTCCCCACAGTCATAGGTGTTGACCGGCTCGTGCCCATCTCTGCCCACAGAGGGCGCCTCCACACTTAGCACATGTGTTCTGGTTGTGCCTGATGCTTCTCTCGTCTTCGGCATCTTGTCTCTAAGACGTAACAGCGCAAACACTGAAAAATTTTTCTTGGTAGTGTTTCTTTTTCAAGAAAACTTTAGGGCCTCCCTGGTGGCGTAAGTGGTTGAGTGCAGCTCTATGAACCTGTCTGCAGCCTCTGCACTGCCGCTTCGATCCCCTCGGTCAGGAAGCAACTCACATGGCACATCAGACCTCTCCTGTCGCACCCGCTGCTCCCCTCAGCAGTGTTTCAGTCAGTCTGCCTGTTCTGTTCCCCACTCTGTCTCTGGTGAATCCTCTCACGCTCCTGCACATCTGGCCTGTACCCCGGTTCTTCTATAAATAAAATAAATCTTAAAAAAAGAAAACTTCATTCTTAAAACTTTTCTTTTAAATGGCATTGTATTTATTTATTTATTTTTATTTATTATTTATACAAGAGCCAGGGTGTGGGGCTGGATGCACGGGAGGGTGAGAGGATTCACCAGAGACAGAGTGGGGAACGGAACAGGCAGACTGATGAAATACACTGCTGAGGGGAGCAGCGGGTGAGACAGGAGAGGTCTGCCGCGCCATGTGGGATTCTCGCCGGCCAGCTGGGATCGAACCCACGCTGCCGAGGCTGGGGACAGCTTCACAGTGCAGCACTCAACCACCTGGGCCACCAGGAAGGCCTGGCATTATATTTATTTTTAATTTACAGTATATTTTATTTTATTTATTTTTTAAAGATTTATTTATTTATACAAGCACTGGGTACAGTCAGAAGCACGGGAGGGTGAGAGAATTCACCAGAGCCAGAGCAGGGAACAGAACAGGCAGACTGTTCTGTTAAATGCATTGCTAAGGGGAGCAGCGGGCGCGGCAGGAGAGGTCTGTGCGCCATGTGGGACCCTCGCCGGCGGCCGGGGATCCAACCGGCGCTGCAGAGGCTGCGGGCAGCTTCGCAGCCTAGCGCTCGACCGCTACACCACCAGGGGAGGCCCTACAGTATATTTTAACAACTTACACATTTTCCTGCACATAATTTTAAGCCCGGCTTTTGGGAGTCCTCTGTGGTGATAAGAGAAATGAAGGAAGAGTGTCTCCCAACATTTGAATGCCACCTGCATTTCACCTCCTGTTCTGTTAGCGTAGGCTGGTTGACTTTCTGTTCATGAGTGAGTTGCAGATAAAAAGTGACTTTCCCCAGCAGGCACTGAAGTAATTGCTTATGTTGTTCATGAAAGTACACCCGGAGATAATTCCATCTGTTCACCCACACAGGCCTTACTTGGTAAACCTTTTACCTTGTCTGACACGAACGAGCAAGAGACCTGAGGAATCTGTTCAGGAGACCTTGGCTGCAGCTATACCCAAAATTATGGCTGCTTTTGGCAATTTTGCAAACGACAATGAAATTAAGGTATGGCCTTCTCAAGTCACAGACTTGTTGACTGAGTCTCGGGGCCAAGTTTGAGCAGGCTGCCTTTCCATTGTTCACTTTCTCCTGGTAGCTAAACAGCATGACCTGTCAGTGCTAGGTGGCCGGTATCACGCAGCTTGTGTCATGCATGCATTGCGAAGTGGTCATCATGAAAATCTAGTTACATCACCTGACGTTGTGGCAGAACACTTTACTCTTGTGATGAGGGCCTTGAGGGTACTTCTGAGTTATGTTTGCTTCGCAATCTAGATTAAAATCTTGAGTTATTTTGAGTCACCCTTCTGCTTTCCTACTGTGTGGTGAAGAGTTGACTAGGAGGTGGTTCTAGATGCAGGTTCAGAGGCTTCTTTCCAGGGCATGACCTTGTCTTCCTGAGATAGCTGAGGAAACACCGCGGCAGTGGGAGACAGTCACTTGGGGTGCTCTGCACGCCCGCCTGTAGGCGGCAGGGCCCCTCAGGCTCTCAGATTTAGTTTATTGCATATTATTGCTAATTGCTCAAGTTCAGCGCGGGCTGGCTCTTCATCTTGATGCTCAGCTTCCACTGTGCTGATAATTTGAGCTCACAGCAGAGTCGTGTCTGAGTATGTCTTCACTCAGAGTAGTTTTTAAGATGCCGACATCTCCACTTGGAGCAAGGAAGATTTATCAGAGAGAAGTTGATTGGGTTGCCTGGGTGGGGTCTCAGTGGGAGGAACTAGAAGCCACAGACCACGGGGGTCCCTGTGGCCCAAGGGTCTGAGTGGCATGTTCACTGAGACGCAGCCATCGCTGGTTCACCGTGTGCTGGCCACTGTGTATGTATAGGTTAGAGTCTAGCCTGTGGATTTGCTGCCTGTTTGCCTGGGGTCACAATCCGGGCGAGGGCCCGACAGTGCCCGACGTGTTCAGTGATGCACAGAGCACGCTGCATGGCGCCCCGCGCCTGGTCGCTGCTCCAATGTGAGTTAGTACAGTGGGAGTGGGCTTCCCAAGTAACGGCCACCACATGATCACTCCTTTTCATTCTTTGGAGACTGCAAGAATTTGAAGTATGTTAAATTTTACAAAAATGTCTTGATGAGCTTCATAATCCCCTTGTGCGGGGATTTCTGCTTCCATAGGTTCTGTTGAAGGCGTTCATAGCAAATCTGAAGTCAAGCTCCCCTACCATTCGGCGGACAGCAGCCAGTTCAGCAGTCAGCATCTGTCAGCACTCGAGAAGGACGCAGTATTTTTATAGCTGGCTGTTAAACGTGCTTCTAGGTAAGGAGCAAGCGCATTTGTGCTGGAGTCTCCAGCATTTACTCCAGGCAGGTCTTTGAAATGCTCTGAAATCAGGCGGTGCCTCACCTTCAACCAGGCCCATGGCACTGACTGACTGGTCTGCCTGAACTGGGTTGGGTGGCCGTGAGCCCATGTGGGGTCTGTGTGAGGAGCAGGGATCAGCCCCTCCTCTCTGCAGAAAGGCTAACGTAGCCCCGCCCTGCCTCGTGGGCCCTGTCGCTGTCATGTAGCGCCGCTGCCCGCGGATGCAGGTGGCCTCAGGTCCCTGCAGGTGCAGCTCTGTCCGGCTGCATGTGGGGGTGTGAGCAGCTCGGGGGGTTGAGATGTAAAGGAACCCCCTGACGTTCCCGAGCAGCAGATCACTGCCACGGACCCAGAAGCCAAACATTTAAAGCGTGCTTCATAGATGTCGGTGCTGTCTTCTCCCCCATTGCCAACCTCGTCGGAGGGTCCTTCCATGGCACTCTGCTTTTAAGCAGTGAGGCCGAGACTCTTCAAGCTGCAGCGCAGATGTGAGGAGGTCTCGTTGCTTCCCTTACAGGTCTGCTAGTTCCCGTTGAGGACGAACACTCCACTCTGCTGATTCTCGGGGTGCTCCTCACATTGAGGTATTTGGTGCCCTTGCTCCAGCAGCAGGTCAAGGACACGAGCCTGAAGGGCAGCTTTGGGGTGACACGGAAAGAAATGGAAGTCTCCCCCTCGACAGAGCACCTTGTCCAGGTAGGAGCCGTGGGCACACTCGAGTGCCTGTACCTAATTGACTGCATTCAGATCAGATGGTTTGGAAGAAAAGTGGCAGCACAGTGGGTTAAAGATGTGGACTCTGCTGTGCACGTGAGTGAGCGGTACCTCTTGAGAACATTTGCCAGAGCGTGAGATGACCGTGTTGACTATTCATTTAAAAAAACTATTCAGTTCATTTATCTCCCATGAAATGTAAGATCTAGTTGTGATGAATATTTAGCAATTTAATGTATCTTGATTTTATAAGCATTAGAGACTACAGCATTTTAAATCGCTTAATAATAAAAGCAAGCCCAGGGAAGGAGCAGTGACAGCGTCGCTGCCTTTGGAAATAACGGCAGCCACACGCTTGGGGAATTCGTTTCACTCTTCAGATTGTCTTAACATTGAAAAATACTCTGGATTTCTTTCACTTAGCAAAAATAGGCACTGATGTAGGTCTTTAGTAAAAACAAAATGGTGTTAAAAAAAAAAGGACTGTGGGCTCTGGCCTTGGGCTCTCTGTTCGGCCCTAGGTCATGGCCCTTAGCCACGTGACCTGCCACGTGGCGTTGGCCTCTGAGTGAAGGTCCGTCATGAGGCTGCTGCGAGCATCACACAGGCCCCAGGCCCTTGTTTCCAGTGGGCGCCTTCTTTCAAAAACCAGAGCTTGTGACATGTGTTTATCTGTTCAGTGACCGCTCTGCGGGCCCCACGCTGTCTGGACCCAGGACAGCTGGGGGCGCCGCACAGCACTGTGCCGCCTTCCCTGCCCTGTGGAGCCCAGTGTGGGCAGGAGTCCCACAACCGGGGGTGGGATGAGGTGGGGGGGGGGGAACCAGCGATAACGCTGATATTTTGGGACCAAGATGGCTTCAGCTGTCGCCCGTGAGTGTTTGTCAGCTGTGCGACTGTGCGGCCATTCCTTAAGCAGTTGGGTTCGGGAGCGGCAATTTACCCTGTGGCCTGTGCTGCACTCATGTGCTGGGTGTGCACTGGCCTGGCCCTCCTGTGAGGTAGACGGGCATGCACTCTTGGCCTGGGGGCGGTGCCTGACTCAAGTGTTTGCTTCTGGAATTTGGTCAACTGGATTTGTGGGTGGTGTCCTTTACTTAAATTTTGTAGGGTACCGGAGTCTAAGTGCGTTAGAATGATTATTGCTAGAAATTACATGTGGAAGAGAACAGTGAAGATTTAAGTGTTGAGTTTGGCATTGTTTGTAAAGTGCTTAGAAGCCTTTCTGGCCCAGCGCGAGGCCCTGGAGGTGTGTGAATTCGACAGCATGAGGCAACCCGGAGACAGCTCCCTGCTCACGCCTCCAGCGGTGGTGGCTCCCCAGCTGTGCGGCCTGCAGAAAAGCTGTTTCACGGCGTGGTAGTGGCTGGAGAGGGTGTAATGGTGGTGGGAGACACGTGTAGGAACAGTTTCTTCTTTACTTGTGTTTCTTTGCTTTTATATGGGGGAGGCTCGGGACGTACAGCGGTGGACAGTCTAGCGGGGCGGAGCCTTTAGTGACCCCCGGCTCGGGGCCACGCGTGCTCCGCTGTGGTGTCTGTTTTCATTTTAAATACGTGTATCCTAGGGTCTCAAAGGTAGCTGCTTGACTAAGCATATGAACATGTCATTGAAGTTTGAACATCATATAAGTCATGAGTAACCGTGGTATCTGTATGCTCCAAATTGCGTGGGCATAGTTATACTATAAAGTTATTTAATGTTTACTGGAATCTCAAATTTCACTGGGCATGGTGTGTTTTATCTGGCAACTCACTTAGAAGGAAAGGAGCAGGTCCATTTTGTCAATAGAATGTGGCCCAGCATCAGGGGGCACACGTGGCATTTAACATTGGGTGCGTATCTGGGGCACTGCTCTCAGTGTCTTGCTTGCTAGACGGGTGTGGACAGCGGGCCCGTCTGCCTTCCTAGTCGCCAGCCTGGAGAAGCGGCGAGCCTCACGTTAGCGTGCCACTGCTTTGTGGACGTGCTGTCTCCCAGGAGTGTGTGTAACTGGAGATTTAGAAAGCAGTGTGGACGCTAATGATCTCTCCGGTGGACGTGGCGGAGAACTCACGGGGTATAAGTTAAGGCACAGGTTTTGCCAGCATGGCGCTAGCAACAAGCGGAAGGAGCACAGGCATGTCTGAAAACCATGCCAGTAACAGCGTGTCTGTTTCTAGATTTACGAATTGACCCTGCACTACACTCAGCACCAGGACCACAACGTGGTGACCGGGGCCCTGGAGCTCTTACAGCAGCTTCTCCGCACACCTCCGCCCGAGCTCCTGCAGACCCTGACTGCGGCCGGCGGCATCGCGCAGCTCACGGCCGCCAAGGAGGAACCGAGGGCCCGGAGCCGCAGCGGGAGTATTGTGGAGCTCCTAGGTGAGTGGGTGCGGCTTCACCAGGGGGTGTGCCCGCACCGTGCAGAGCAGCTGCTGCTGCCCGCAGCAAAGGCTGGCACTGAGAGGTGAGGGGGTCAGCCATGACGACCCTGGCAGCCTGGCCCCAGCTTTCTGACGGCACCTTCCTCCTTGGCACGTCAGGGGTCATGGTGTGAAAACTTTGGGGGACTTTCCAGAATCCTGAGTCATGTTGCTGGAGATGGGCTCTTCAAGTCTCCGTCCTGACTTTAGCAACCCCTGGTGCCTACCTGTGGGCACCTCCTGCCGGCTGCTGCCATGCTCCCCTGCACTGTCAGGTTCAGGTCCTGATCCTGCCACGGGGCACTGCCTGACAGGGTGACCACAGATTTGCTTCCACCCTCAGTGGGCCCTGTCTGAGATGGAGTTGCCCTTTGGCATCCAGCAAGACGGGACCCCTGAAGCTCTGGAGGCAGGCCTGCATGAGGAGGCTTCTGTAGCTTTTCTGACCGCGGCCCCTGTGGTGTCGGGCCCATCGGAGCCTTGTGTGCACAGTCTCCTCTGCTCCACACTGGACAGGGTCTCCTGGAAGTCTGATTGCTTCCTCGCTAGACACCAGTGATGGCATTCCCTGCACGTAATGGGTAGAGAACTTGTTTCTAATGAAGTTGTATAGTTGAAAATTTACCTGTGATTACTAACCCAATAATCTGAGATTTCTCAAGTTTTCAATTTGGTTTTTTAAATGCAATTTAGTGTACTCTTCTGACATGTTCAGTCATGTTTTTAGAACTGTGTTTGCGTGTTGATGTGACTTCTGTGCCATGGAAATTAAAGTGTTGCAGTGTGGGAGCCTCCTGTGGAGCTGTGTCCATGTAGTCTCCAGTTTTAAAGTTGAATCAAGCTTTTTAAAGCTTTTCAAATTCCTTCCAGATTTCAGCAGCTTGTTACCTTCTTTCACCTGTCATTTCTGTGATTCACAGCTGGAGGGGGTTCTTCCTGCAGCCCTGTCCTTTCAAGAAAACAAAAAGGTGATTATTTCAGAAATCAAAGTCTTACTGTTGAAAATCTTCCTGCTTTTTCTTTATTTCTGTAAAGCTGGTGACTGTGCCTGTACCTCCTCTCCGTAGCGGGGTTGTGTGTGTGTGTATTGTTGGAATCTGATGACTAGGCCTGGATAGTTCTGTAGGATGCCTTTTGAAAGTTTGCTGTGTACCAGAACTGGTTTGTCATAAACTTTTAATGTTGTGTGAAGGGCCAGCTGGCACACGTTCCCCTCAGGAGCCTTGCTGGCTCTTGCTCCCCTCCAGCTCTGCCTGTGATGGGGGTGGGGGTGGGGTGGGGTGTGTGTGTGTGTGTGTGTGTGTGTGTGTACACGTGTGTGTGTGCCACGCGCGTGTGGGGGGGGGATACCCACCCAATACTAGGCTAATGATGTGGCCACGCCCTGAGGAAACTTTATTTATGAAACAGGTGATTTCTCTTCCTCATGAATTTTGTTTACTGTTAGGAATAATGTTTAATTCTTTATTTAGTTTGGGCCTAGTTATCATTTTTCAGCCATATTTATATTTAGCTTTGTGTGCACCAAAGTGTTCTGATAAAATTAATACAATGAAGTCAAAGTGTTTCCAATATAACCTGTAATGTATGGTAAGTGTTACCACTTTGCAGCACCAATAACTTTTTTTCCCCACTCTAGATTTCCACAGGATAACATTTCTGTCATACTCTATTTTGAAATCTTAAAAGACTAATCCCAGGTAGATTTTGAGTGAGTGGTAAGATGGCACCTCTCTCAGTGGACTAACGCAGGCTGCTGCTTGCAAAGCTTCTGTGAAACACGACTGCAGGCTGCTATGCTTTTTCCCTACAGTGAAGAACCTTCTTCATATTCCTTATAGAGGCTTCATCAGCTTTCTCAGTTGCTCTCTGCCAGAGTTTCTGAAACTGTTGGCGTTTTTGGTGAGCCTGTGGCTGCAGTAGACGGAGCCCCCAGGCAGGAGCAGCCACGGTGGTCACCAGTGCTTGGGAAGGTTCTGTGCGCTGAATTCTGTCCTGAGCAGGAGAGATTTTCAGACTTGTCGCCACATTGTTTGATGTTTGTTTTGGGGTCAGTCTTTCCAGTAATGATGAAAACGGTGATAGATTCACACAGGTTGTCTTGTCTTCTGGCTGGGACACTTAAAACAATTTTTCCCAGTAGGTTTTTTTCCGACAGTTAGGGTTTTTGCAGTTTTAATTGCAAAATTTTTTTCCAAATGAAATCTACCAATAGATGAGGTGTGAGCAGATGTGTTGGGATGTCGGGAGGGAGAGCGTGGGTGCGACCTGTCCCTCCACCGGTGGCGGCCCTGCCCCCGGGCCCTGGAGAGCTGTGCCAGCTGCTGGTTCTGGGGCCGGAGAGTGACTTGTTTTGGGATCCATGACCCTGTTACTTGGCACATGAGTTGCTGCGTTAGTTTCTTCTAGATCTTGGGCTTCCTTGTACTTTCTTCTTTCTTGCCTTGATGTCGCGTCAATGTAGATTTCTGGAAGTATCACACTCTGACCCCTCTTTGAAGAGCCATGAAATTAGAACTTGGAAGTGACTAATAATGATTCTGGTAGCGTCATTTAATGGCATGTACATGTAATGTGGCCATAGTGATTTGACGAGTCCAGTTAAATCATGGTCAGCCGTCAGTTTTCTTTTTTCTTATTAGAAACTATGAACGATAAAATTCATTTTCAGAACTTTGCAGGAGATGAAGTATTACGCCATCTTTTCAGATCATGCGGTACTTGAGTTCTTATTTTCACCCCTGATAGAGCCTAGCAAATTCAAAGATAATAAAATAAAAGTGACGTTTGGGTATGAAAGTTTTGTGTACTAATGTTGTCCCGTTGAAGATGTGACATGAGTATCTAAAGGGTTAGTAGAATTGGTTCCAGCCATAACTTACCATTTTATTTATTTATTTTCATAGCGCCATTTCAAAGAGTAAGTAGTTATATAAATTATTTAACATTAACAGTAATCTAGGTAAAGAGTATTAATTGTTAACTGTGGTACAGTTGGAAAATCATTGCTTTTAACTATTTTTCCATATAGGCTTACGTTGACACGGCTGTCAACCTCTTCCCCCTGCGCGCTCTGTGTTCAGGGCTAGCTGGTTGGCGTTGCGTGTGCACCGCGACAGCCAAGGGGGCTGGTGGCGTTGAGTGTGTGTCTGCTCATGCATCCCTGAAAGGCGCTCTGGCTGCGTCGTGGCCTAGGGAAAGCCATCTCGGAGAGGCCACAGCCCTGGAGGGCGACCCTGAGTCCCGGGCCAAAGGCAGTGGGCCCCTCACCCCCTCCCCACCTTCGCAGGGAGCCCTTGGGAGGGCTGCTGCTCACCATCTCCCTGCACCGGTTCCTCTGCTCCTCCCCTGCGTCTGGGTGGCCCCTCGGTGGAGAGTTCAGGCTTTCATCTTGTTTGTTTTGAAACTTGCTTTCTTGCATCTCAAATATTTGCTGTTGTCCTTGGTATCGGCTGTGTTTTTTTTTTTTTTTTTTTTTATAGAGGCATGTTTATTTATTTATTTATTTTGTTTGTTTGTTTTGTTTATACATGCACTGGGTACAGTCAGAAGCGCGGGAGGGTGAGAGAATTCACCAGAGCCAGAGCGGGGAGCAGAGCAGGCAGAAGGACCGAAGTACACTGCTGAAGGGAGCAGCGGGCGGCAGGAGAGGTCTGCGCGCCATGTGGGATTCTCCGCCGGTGGCCGGGGAGCAGCCGGGGATCGAACCGGCGCCGCAGAGGCCGCGGGCAGCTTCGCAACCCAGCGCTCAACCGCTGCGCCACCGGGGAGGCCCTTTTTTTTTTTTTTTTTTTTTTTAAGATTTATTTATGCATACAAGAACTGGGGTATAGGCCAGAGGTGTGTGTGTGGGGGGTGTGTATGTGCGAGGATTCACCAGAGGCAGAGCGGGGAACAGAACAGGCAGACTGACTGAAAACACTGCTGCAGGGAGCTGCAGGGGAGACAGGAGAGGTCTGCTGCGCCCTGTGGGTAGCTCCCTGGCCGGGGATGGAACTCGTGCTGCAGAGGCTGCGGACAGCTTCATAGGTTGCATCTTAATCCCTTGAGCCACCAGGGAGGCCGGGTATTGGCTGTTTTAAATTGAGGTTTTTACTCCCTGAGAATGTCTTTTTGAGTAGGGCATGGTGGCTCATGGGGGAAAATGGGATTAAAAATTGTGCATAATTTAAGTTTCAAAAATCTACATTTGTTTGATCAGAGAGCTACAGCGATTGGATTCTTTATTCACCTTACACAAGGTGAGCATTGACTGAGGCACTGATAATTGGATTAAGTGAGAGTGGTTTGAATCCTACCCCAAAGAGTAATTTTTGATAACCAAAAATAAGGCTTCCGTATTTGGGAAGGAATGTTTTAATAATTCCAGGGGTGATTATTTACTTATTCAGTTATTTTATAAAATAGAAAACAATTTTTTCCTCATTGCAAATCAAAAAGTTAAAACAAAACATTACTTCTCTCGGGGTACGATAAAAAGCCTGCTCCCTGCTCCATTGGCCTCGGGGAGTGACGCCTGCGGCACCTGGGCATGGGTCTCATACCACGGTTTCTCTCCTGGTAGTTTTGGGTGGTGGTGTTCTAAGTCGCACATTAGGCAGTCAGCTACAAAGGCAGGGAGCAGATGTGCGCAGCAGAACGGCGCTGGCGCAGAGGCCTTGCTGGTGTCTTGCAAGTTGGAGAGCACACTTCAGACAGCCTGAGCTCCCAGTTCAGAACACCAGGCAGACAGCCCCCCAGCCCCCAGCTCCCCCAACTCCCTGCCCCTTGAGGGACATCTCTGGGCGCCCAGTGGCGAGCTTACTGTCATGCTTCAGTTTTCCAGTGAGCTGTCATTCAAGAATATCAGTGTCTGGAAAATATCTGCCACTGAGCCTTATTTTTTTTAATGATACAGAAATATAGTAAAAGGTGGGCCTCCCTGGTGGCGCAGGGGTTACAGTCTCAGCACTATCACGCTATCACCAGCCACTGTGGCCTATCCCCGGCCACAGAGCAACCCACATGGTGCCCCAGACCCCTCCTGTCTCCCCGCTGCTCCCCTCAGCAGTGTGTTTCAGTACATCTGTCTCTGGTGACTCCTCTCACCCCCCCTGCCTCTTGCCTGCACCCAGGTTATTGTATGCATAAATAAATAAAAATAAAATTTTAGAAAAAAAAGAAATACAGTAAAAGGTAAGTAAATGATACAGTAAGGGCAATCTAAGGCATGTTTGAAGGGTGCCTGTTTTGCTTTTGAAATCTACTAGTTCAGAGATGACTGTGTCTTAGGGGGTTTGTAGTTAAAACATTTGGTGGTGGTGACTGTGCGGTGTTTTGCAAACATTTGATTCCCTAGTGGGTGCTTTTCCTGGCTCTTTAAGGAATGAAGGTTTCTTTGTCTTCAGCCTCAGTCAAGGGCGAGCTGGCCCCTGCTCCTGGGCTCTCTGCCCCCGGCTGCACTGGCTTGGGCCCCGCGGGCCAGGACATCATCACTGAGCAGCCCCGGCCTCAGCACACGCTACAGCCGGATGCCGGGGCTCCCACTAGCTGCGACCTGGTGAGCGCGGCCACCGCCGGGGACGAGGAGGACATCTTGAGCCACAGCTCCAGCCAGGTCAGCGCCGTCCCGTCCGACCCCGCTATGGACCTGGATGACGGCACCCAGGCCTCCTCGCCCATCAGTGACAGCTCCCAGACCACCACTGAGGGCCCCGATTCGGCCGTGACCCCGTCCGACGGCTCTGAAATCGTGAGTGGCTGAGGCGGGCCTGTCATCCGTTTCCGCTCTTCCCTCCGACCCACCGAGGGGCTCAGCGGGGGCTTGACCCCACCCGAGCCCTCCAAGGATGGCAGAGGCCGAGTGTCCCTTGGACAGGGAGGGCGAGAGTTGGGTGGGTTGGTGACGTGAGCTCTGCTGAGGCTGAGGTGATCGTGGTATCCAAGGGGTACACAGGACCCTGCTGGGCACAGACTCAATCACTGCAAAGTCCTTCAGGAGCCCACTCTGTCCTGATGGGGTACAGTCAGTAACAGGGGTACCATCTGTTATTTTAATACTTTCTGACGTCTCCGGATCTCTTACAAATGCTCCTTTTTCTGTAGTGTGGATTTATGTACCTTTGAGCCCAAGGTGCAGCCTGGGAAGTGTGTGCCAGTGTGTGCGCTGAGTTTACACCCCAGATTGTGTTAAATGTGTGTGTGTATACATATACGTATGTATGTATGTATAGATATAAAACCGTTGAAGCCTTTTGCTGCTTTTGAATATACGTTGTTAGAATATGGATTAGATTTTTTTTAACTTGAATAAATCCATATGCGTTGGCGGACGAACACAGGATAAAGTGCCTGCCTGCGTGACCCTCTGAGCTGCCTGGTTGCCGTGTGGACGTGGATTCTAGTGGCTCTGCGGCCTGTGGGAGGGCAGGGTAGGCTGGGGCCGCGGAGGGGGTCATGGGGCAGAGCACGTGGGTGTTGGCCAGCGCCAGGGCCAAGGAAGGCTGCCCTCGCGTGTGGAGCAGGCGGTGGAGTTGCTGTTGTCCAGTTATTGTGCCGCTCCCACGAGCGTACTGCTGCTTGATGTCGGGTGATTTCTGGACATGTGTGTCAGAAACGGGAGCGTGGCCACAGGGAATGAGGAAGCCCCGTCTTCGGCGTGTTGGGCGCTCCCCTGCGAGGCAGGGCCTTGCCGGCTTCTGTGGACGCGGCCTGGCCCTCGTCTCGATGGTTTTTGCTGAAACCAGCCCCTGATGTTTCTTGAGAACTTTATTTGTCATTATTGCGCATTGAGAGAGGTGGGCTCCGCGCCCTATTCCTAATTCCAGTTTACTCTTCGGGTGAGGCTTCCGGGTGACTTGACCTCATCTTTTGCTGCCTGTGGGCTGCAGGTCCCTCCTCTCCCTCTGCCTTGCTCTTGGCTTCTCTCAGGGTGTGCTCATGTCTGGTAGTGCTGGGGGAAGTGATCTGGCCCTGCCACGCCTGTGCCCCCACCATGCTGCGCCTGAAACTTGGGATTAGCAGGTGGCAGGTGGCTTCAGCCAAGGACCCGTGTGGATGGGAACACCTGCCCTTGGCGTTTCTCATGGGTGTGGTCCCTCTGGCCTGTGCAGCCTCCCGTGGCCTTTGTGTGACCAGCAGTTACTAAACAAACGTGGGGTGCTCCTGCATCTCAGGGAGGGTGTCAGGGCACATCTACAAAACTTGTGCTCACGTGGGCTGACAGAAGTCAGCAGCTCCTCCTGTGAGGAGCCGGAGCGCCACCGACTTGGCTTTCAGGTCGCGGGCCTCCGCCAGGACGGCCGGGCTCTGTCGTGGCACAGCCAGAGCAGGGCGAGGGAGCGTGCGTTTCCCCCCGGCTGGGCTCAGGGCAGCGGGATGGCCTCGGCACCTGCGCCCATCCCAGAGGGTGCACGTGCGGGGGGTTCACCCGCCACAGGAATTGAGCTCAGCAAACACGGCAGCTCACGTGAGCGCCACCGGGGAGATGAGCAAGAGAGGCCAGAGCGAACTTGCTGATGTGCGGCTGGGGTGCCGGGAACCCCAGGAGAACGTGGGCTCTGCCTCAGCTGGCCAGACCCTCTGCTGATTGGTGGGCAAGGGTGGCGGTGCCGCGTGGGAAGTGCCAGACGCCGCAGTAGGCGCTGCTCACCCCTGGGGCATCTCACCTTAACCTGGGTGTTTTTTTTTTGTTTTTTTTTTTAAAGCTAAGGTGCGGTTTTTGCAAACTAGCCTGGAGTGTGAGGAATTAATTTCTCTCGTTTTGATCATGTAGACAAATAAAGTTCTTTTTTTCTTCTAATTGGAAGGACTTGGAAAGATTCTTTAAAAGTGAGGTAGCAATGAGAGAATTGACTGTTGGCTTGAGGGTCCGTCTCTCACTTTCTCAGGTGAATTACACCGGGAGTTTCGGGTGCCTGGAGGAAGTCCTGCGGTGTGGCCACAGCCCACGCCCGTCTCGGGGGCATGTGCTGCTGTGCCCGCCGCCTCGCCGGCTCCGTCCTCGAGTTGTGTCTCAGGTTTTGTCACAGAGATTCTCCGTGCCCCTGACTTATTGTGACCTTAGCTCGTGAAGACGCCCATTTTATTTATATGCATCTGTGTCAGAAAGCGAAATTGCCAGATTGGAAATGCAGAACTTGTTTGCAAGTTTTCGTTTATACAGTTTCTGATAACGCAGCTTGGGAGGGCCTGTCCGCGTGCGTGCGTGCATGCGTGCGTGCGTGCGTGCGTGCGTGCGGGACCCCGAGCTTGTGGACTTTGCGGCCCCTGTGGGGGTTGTCCCTGGTGTCCCACTCCAGCACTCAGAACCCCTCTTGAACCGCTCAGGTGTTAGATGGTGCCGACAGCCAGTTTTCGGAGATCGGACAGCCGCAGGACGAGGAGGACGAGGAGGACGAGGACGACGAGGCGGCGGCCGCCATCCATCCGGATGAGGCCGCGGAGGCTCTCGGCTCTTCCGTCGGTATGTTGAGCTCAGGCCATGGACCTAAGCGGCGGTGGTTTCCACCCCACATCTCAGTTTCTTGTTTGCTTCCACGAAGAGACTTTCTGTCTTTGTCTCCTGAGCGTGTAGCGGCTGTGGTGATCGCTGCGGGGCGCTGCCTCTTGCCCTGTCCTCCGTGCTGCTTGGACGTGTGCTCGGGTGCGTGCATCTGTGTTGTCGCTGGTGACTCGCCACTTAATCTCTGTTTGTTTTGAAGCCCTTCAGCAGGCACATTTGTTGGAGAGCACTGGTCACAGCAGGCAGGCCTCTGACAGCAGCCTGGACAAGTTTGTCTCAAGGGAGGAGGCTGCTGAGCCAGGTGATCAGGAGAACAAGGTGAGCTGTTCGGACATGTGACCTCAGCGTTCCTGAGCGCCTAGGGGTGTTGGAAGTCAGGCTTGTCACCCCGCCTTCTGCTCAGCTATTTCCCCTTTAAATATTGGTGCCTTCTAAGGCCTCTTCCCATCACTTCCCCCTACCCCCCAATGTACCGCCCTGCTCTGAGCACTGCCTGAAGCCTTGCTCCTCCTCCAGAGGCCTTCCCAGGCGAGTCGCCCTACCTGGTGCAGCCTTGCTGGAGTTCTTGGACCATCCGTTCCGTGGTTGTGCTTGGTCTGGCGCCACTTCTTTGTTTTGTTCCATTGGACCTCTTTGCTTATGCGCTGTGGTAAATGCGCGTGGCATGAGGTGGACCGCCTAGTATTCCCAAGTGGGCAGTGGCCTTGTCCTGCTCATCAGCCCCTCCTCAGGATGCTCCTCATCTTCCCTAACTGAAATTGTCTTTCCATGAGACACTTACCCATCTTCTCTGTCCTCTGTCTCTGGGTCTGACTGTCCCTACCGTGCCGTCCCTGTGTGTCTGGCTCATCTCACCCAGCGTGATTTCCTGAAGACCCGGTGTGCCATGGCATGGGTTTCCTTCCTTCTCTAGGCTGGATGACCGGTTTTTGTGGGGGTGAACCCCATTTGTTGTCTGTTCACCCTGCAGTGGACTCGGGTGCTTCTGCCTTTTGGTTACACGGGTTGTGAATACTGTCGTGAACACGGGTGTACACGTGTCTTTCAACGCTGTGTCCCATTCTTGCAGGTGTACCCGCAGAGGAGTTGCAGGGTCCTATGAGAATTACAGTTCTTAATTTTTCAAGGACCCTCCATGTTGTGTTGACAGCACTGCACTGAGGAGTGGGAGTCGTGGAGCAAGCTGCCCTGGCCTCTGTGATGGTAGAATAGTCCTCCAGCATCAGTTGCTTGGGGAAGGAGACAGAGAGGGAGGGGTGAGACTAGAAAATGTGCTCTGTCAGCTCTAGTATCGGGGGTCGTAATCTGCCCCCGCCCCCGGCATGTCTCATCTGCTTGATGACTCAGTATCCATCCCAGCCAGGGTTTCAATCTTATCCACAGGCGTCCACTGGTCATCTTCTGGGGCCCCTTGTCAATACATCAGCCAACGGCCCCCCAGGGTGACAGGGCTTTCTGCTCAGTGGACTTAAAAGACACCTTGCGGGGTTGGGCTCCTATCACCGATGGGCCGGGCGCTTCTGACCTTGCACGGGAATGCAGACCACAGGTAACAAAGGTGGTGGCCGGACTGGCCGCTTAGGTCAGCAGGCCCGCCCCTCCGTAGTCTCTACCGCAGCCAGGCCCCTTCACAGTCCCACCGGCGTCCTCGCCAGCACCTGTGTTCTGGCCTCCGCAGTAGCCGCCTCCAGGCAGGCGTGGCGGCCCGTGGGGGCTGGGCTTGCATTTCCCGAGAGGTCAGTGACAGTCCTTGCTGTGCCTGCTGGCCATCGGTGTGTCTCCTTGGAGAAATGTCTACTTAATGCCTGGGCCCGTTGTTTCATGAGGTGGTTTGGGTTTTCTGGTTGATGAGTTGTTCACTGAGCTGTTTAAAAACTATCTCTGTATTGTCTACCTGGGTCCAAGGGAGGTTCCTGTCTTTCCAGTTCATTTTCAGTCCTTTGAGGGTAGAAACTGTGCTTTGTCCTTGGTCCACCGGGACGCTCAGACCCGGATGCAGCCTCCACACTTCCTTCTCCCCTCGCGCCCCTTGGCGTTGGCCCTTCCCGGGAAAGTGACACCCCGTCCTATAGTTGGTGGCCTCGCCTGCGTGCAGGTCTCAGCTGCCCTCCTCGCCGCAGCCGGGGGCCGTCCTGGCCGCCTCGGACCGCTCTGACGGCATCCGCTGAGCTCCGAGCTCAGGCACGTGTGCGGGCAGGGGTGACCCCAGCCCCCCGCCCACCTGCGCCCGGGCCGCCGCGGCCCCGACCCCGACCCTCTGTGGACCGCTCTGGGCTGGGAGACAAACCGCTTTGTCCGTTGCAGCCTTGCCGGATCAAGGGGGACATAGGCCAGGTTGCCGACGCGGGCGCTGCGCCTCTCACCCACTGTGTCCGCCTCCTGTCTGCCTCCTTTCTGCTCACGGGACAGAGGAACGGTACGCGCGGCGAGGCGGGCGCGGACTTGGAGGAAGTGGCTTTACGTGTCAGAGGGCAGCGTGACGGCGAATGTGGGCGCAGCTGTGCAGTGAGGGAGGGAAACGTTGGGGCGAGCTTTAGTTCTCACCGACGGACGAGGCAGGGAGGAGGATTGGCGGGGTCAGTGGGGTGAGGGGGCTAGTTCTGTTCATTTGGAAAGTGAACGTCGCTGCTTTGATGCCAGCGGCAACCCTGGTGGTTTCGTTGCAGCGCTGGTTCCGGACAGGGAGGTGCGGGTCAGTGTGAAGGCCCTGGCGCTCAGTTGTGTGGGGGCAGCCGTGGCCCTTCATCCCGAGTCTTTCTTCAGCAAACTGTACAAGGTTCCCCTTGACGCCACCGAATTCCCTGGTAGGTTAAAAGCTCAGTATTACTACCTGTATTTAATCATTGTTTGGAAAGCTATTTCAAACCATCTTGGCTATTTTTATTTTAGAGCAGTAAGTTTTCTCTGTTAATCTGTGGCATTTGGCCTGTGTTGTAACTTGCCCGAAAACGATAACATTAATATTTTTAGCTTCTTGGGCTAACCTTAGATGGGATGAGATTTGAAACACCCAGAGGAGAGCAGTAGAAGTCTGGGGACAATTGCCCGTTGACAAATGTGTGTGTTTCTCCTGAAAGTGCAGAGCGCACGATCCACAGGGCTCCGGGGCGCAGCCTCTGGGCCGCTGCTTCCGGCTTGGAGCCGAGGCGGCAGCAGGCACAGGCCCGGTACACGCGCCCAGCCTGCCCTTCTGGAGCAGGTGGGGAGGGGGCCGTACTCTCCTGCCGCCTTCTCTTTCTTTCGTCCTCTCTTTGGGAGGGGGATGGATGTGTGTTTTTCAGTTTACACTAGGGAAGTGTGCAGTGACTCTAGTTTCTCTCATCTTTTTTTTTTTTTGAAATGAAATTTCGGAATGTTGACTGTTGTCTGGCATCCTGGAATTATCCAGGAAATCTGTTGTGTTGTGTCCTAGTGCTGTCACGGCTCTAGTGACACTAGAATTTTAAAGCCCCAGACATTTTTGGCGAGTGCTCGTGGTTACTCCTGGCAGGGCTTACTCAGTGGGGCTGCTCGGCCTTTTTCCCCTTTTCTGAAGCTCAGCTTTTGTCTTGTCGGGCGGTTGATGTAGGGCTTGCCCAGTGGCTAGGGGCTTTGTTTCCACAGAGGAGCAGTACGTCTCGGACGTCCTGAATTACATTGACCACGGGGACCCGCAGGTCCGAGGAGCCACAGCCATTCTCTGCGGTACCCTGGTCTACTCCATCCTCAGCAAGTCCCGTTTCCAGGTGGCAGACTGGATCGGCCCCGTCAGGTCTCTGACAGGTAACAGTAGCTTCGTTATCAGTGTGCTTTCCAGATCCTGCTCCCAGGTTCAAGTTCACATGACTGCAGTTGTGCTTGTTCTTCCGGTCAGGAAATACGTTTTCTCTCGCGGATTGCATCCCTTTGCTGCAGAAAAGTTTGAAGGATGAGTCTTCTGTTACTTGCAAATTGGCATGTACTGCTGTGAGGGTGAGCATGATCTTCTTGTGGAAATCATTTCTTCCATTATTGGAAATACCACCATTGTGACAATTAAAATTGGAGGTTAATATGAAATATTTCCAGGCATTCTAAAGCTGTAAACAATAATAAATATCTTTGTATTCATCATCTAGCTTTAGAAAGGAAGTGATAAAAAAAAGTCCGTTTTAATTCTCCGCATATTTGCTTGAAATACACCTTTTTGTTGAGGGTATTTAAAAATCTTGCTAACGTTAACTGTAAAACCTGCTGCATTAAAACCGGCTCTGTTAGGCCGTAGAATGTCAGAGTCGAAGTGAACCCAGGGTCCCTGGAGCACCCTCTGTGTTTGTGTCGGTCGCATATCCTCTTCTTCCATGGTGGCCTTGTCCAACTTTCGCGCCTCAGTTGGCCTCTGGGTCACAGCTGGCCAAAGGATATTAACTGGGAAACATCTAAACAAAAAAACCTGCAGCTGTCAAAATGTGCGATACTTCCCCGTTTATCATTTTCACAGCCTGGCCTGCTCCCCAGTTCCAAATGTTTGCCAAGTTTCAGTCCGTCTGTCTTCCGTGGGGCAGAGGGAAGTGTGTTGGCCATGTGACGGAGTCAGCACACCAGCCCCGAGTGTGGTCAGGGTGCAGAGTCCCTCCATCTCCTGGACAGTAGCGTCAGCAGGGCGTGGGTCCTGGTCGTTGCCCTGGGCCTAAGGTTGATTTAGCAGTAAGCTGGTCACACAGTCACCCTCTTACCACTGACACATGTTTGGGAAATTGCAGCCTGGAGTTAAGGGTATGACAGAGCAGGAGGAAGAGAGAAGCAATGTTACGTGCAAGGTCATATTTTCAAACTTGAGTTTGCTGAGACAACATGTACGTTATAGAGATTTCTGAGAGGTGTGGAAAAAGTGCCCCATCCATGTTGCCATTAAAAACAAAATACAACATAGCAGTCAGTGTGGGACGCTGCCCTAACGCTGCGGCCGCGGGGCTACGTGTGCACTTGTCTTCCAGCACTGTGTCACGAGTCTCTGCAGTAGCAGCTACAGCGACTTGGGGGTGCAGCTGATCACCGACGTGCTGACCCTCAGGAACAGCTCTTACTGGCTGGTGAGGACAGAGCTGTTGGAGACCCTGGCGGAGATTGACTTTAGGTGAGTGCGTCCCTGTGCCATGGTCACTGAGCGCTGCCTCTCGGAAGTGCGAGCAGAGGATGAAAGCAGGGCAGCAGCTCCTGGCAGGGAAGGTCCCAGGGCGCCTGTGCACCCCGAATCTGAGTGCTCTGGCAGCTGACAACTTCTCCACCGCAGTGTTGACCTTGGGTGTTAAAAAGATAGGCTGGTGAGTGGGTTTTCTGGAAGCCTCAGTCATGCAGTGTCCTGGACAGTGGGGTAAGAGCCTGGACTGGGGTGCCCGGGAATGTGCTGACATTACGGGATGCTGAAGGACAGCTGCCCTGTACCCTGTGCCCCTAACAGAGACCTTTTGAGGTATTTGAGTGTTACAGTTTCAGGAGGGACATTTTCCTTTATAAGCAGCTTTGGAAGTGCTCACTGGTTTTGTGCTGGGGCGCTGTGAGGTGCCCTCTGTGGGGTGGTTTTCCTTCATCCTCAGAACAAGTCAGGGATTGTGGTTTGTTCTCACCCCCACCTCAGACAGGGAGCCCCCGGAGCAGGGCCTGGGGGCAGGAAGTGCCTGCTCCACTCCCCTTCCCACCTCTGCCCCCACTCCCTTTCCCCTGGGGCAGGTGTTTGAGCCCCTGAATGTGGCCTTTCCTATGGGCATCTTACTGCATGGACCACAAAAGGCGTGAAAGTCCCCCTGTCCTTTCTGTAAGAGCTGCCTCCTAAGGTCTGGACTGACCCCCGCAGGTCGGGCAGTGGGTGTGTGTGAGTAAAATGACTGCGCTTTAAATCTGCCCTCCCGTTAGGTTGGTGAGCTTTTTGGAAGCCAAAGCCGAAAATTTACACAGAGGAGCCCATCATTACACTGGGGTAAGCCGCTGGTTATGAGGAGGCCGTGTTTTAACTTCAGGAATTGCACCTTCTTAGGACCGTGGATTTCTCTGGGGGCATTCTCTGTAGGTCTTCCCACAGCTTCTGTCAGGAAAGGTGGGAATTTAACACTTGAGTTCTTCCTCAGTGGCTTTCCAGAATACCTTACTTACAGTTTAGCCCGATAGGAGGTTGCATCTGCTCTTCTTCCCTTGTCTCTGCAGCTTCTAAAGCTGCAGGAACGAGTGCTCCATGACGTTGTCATCTATCTGCTTGGGGACGAAGACCCCAGGGTGCGTCACGTGGCCGCAGCCTCCTTGGCCAGGTACTCACCCCACACCTGTGCGCGCTTTCTTGAGTAAGCCAGTAGTGGTGTGTGGAGGGGGAGGGCAACGCTCAGACGACCTGGCAGGCGTTCATGACGCCAGCTGTGAGGAAAGAAGGTTCTCCACAGTCAGGAGTCAAGTGACAGAGGAGCACACTCACCCTCCACTGTTCAGGTCTCAGAATGTGGGGAGCGAGGAGGCTGGGAAGGAAAGAAAAATCTCCATCCCTCCCTCGGAGGTGATCGCTGGTGATGTGTCGCTGTGTATCTTGAGTATGAGGTTTTTTTTCAAATTTGGGACAAAATGTACATGTAATATTATAGCTAGCGTCTGCCTGTTACCAAGTAACCTTCTAGAAAAAAATTTTAGTCAATGCCATATTTTCATTTTGGTTGTGAGCAATTTTTATATAAATATTACTTTGACAGAGATTAAATTCTCTTTGATTTAAATGACTAAACACCCCATGAACTTTGTTATACATAAATGATTACATATTTTCTTCTTTAGCATTAACTCCTGAAAGCTAGCTACTAGGCCAAGCTGCTTCTAATAGCTTTATTGAAGAACAATCTGCATACCTCAGAATTTCCCCACTGTACTTGTACAAGGAGGTGGTCTGTAATACAGTTGGGTGATAGTCACCACACTGTACCCTTAGTGCATGTCCCTCTCCCCCAAAAGATCCCTGTGCCCATTTGCAGTAATTCCCACTTCCTGCCCCCAGTCCAGGCAACCGAGAGTGTCCTGTCTTTAGAGATTTGCCTTTTCTGGACGTTTTATACAAATGGGCCAGGAGCCGGTGGACTTTTGCACTTGGCTTCTTCCACTTTGTCCTGAGGTTTGTCCGTGTTGCAGTAGGGCCAGTTGACGCTGTGTCAGCCGCCCTCCCCCCTCGCTGGTGACTGCTGCTGTAACTTTTCATCTGGCTGGCCATGCAGCTGGGAACACTTGTCTACAAGGCTTTGTGTGGGCACATTTTTGTATCTTTTGGGTAGACGCCTGAAAGTGGGGTTTTTATGGGTTTGATACTGCTTAGGAAGTTGCTCTCCAGAGACCTGCCAGTTTACGTTCCTACGGGCTGGTCGGCATTTGCACCCCAGTCTTCTCACCAAAACAGATACTCCAGAGACAGATATCTAGGCAGAAATTGGTGTCTCTTTAAAATTGAATTTCATCTAGTTTAAAAAGTAATACATGTTTAATGAACAAAATTTGGGGAACATATAAAAATCAAAATAAAGATTTTTATACTCAAACTACTCAGAACCAAAGCTGCATTTTGATGCATTTGCTTTCAGTGTTTGTGGTGTCTGCATTTTCTCTGTGTGCTCCCGAGACCCACCTTCACCGAGTTTGTGTGACTTGACTGATCAAAGAGTTTGCATCTTTACCTTCTTGCAAGCGATAGCAATTTCTTATATCCCTGGGAAAAGTGTGCTTATACCAAGTGTCGCGGAAGAGATTTTAGAGTCAAGATACTGGAGTTTGCAGACCAATGTAACAAAGGCCAGTCCTTTGTAAAAGCTGTGCACCTGCCTGTGTCTGTGCCCATTGCACGACGCCCTGCTGAGTGCTCATCACAGGGGCCGGGGCCCATGTCCTGGAGACCATCTCTGTGCCTTTATGTTCAGCGAAGGCCTGTGAGCTGCTCGGCCGCAGCGTGGCCATCTGGGACAGGGGTGATCTGCAGACAGAATGCCAAGGATGAGCCAGAGCCAGCCCCTAGTGCTTAGGACTTGCGTGGACAGGGCTCGTTGTGCTGGCGGGTGTCACGCAAGAGCACTAGCAGGAGGATGCTAGGGTTGTTTTTTAATCAGAGCATTTACTGATGAGGAAGGGGCTTACTTCCATGACCGAGTGTGGGCTGCCTCACTTTCGCGCAGGTGCGTGGAGACCCCGCCCCTGCTGAGAAAGGGAGGCGGTGTCCGCTGGTGTTTGAGGTTAAGCCTCCGGGGCTGGGCTCATCACGGGTGAGTGTCCTATCCTTTCTTAAGTAAACAAGCCTCACTTTCTGCTAGGCTTATCCCAAAGCTGTTTTATAAATGTGACCAAGGACAAGCTGACCCCGTGGTGGCCGTGGCGCGAGATCAGAGCAGCGTTTACCTGAAGCTCCTCATGCACGAGACGCCGCCCCCCTCCCACTTCTCCGTCAGCACCATCACCAGGTACGGCCGCACGTCTTTGCCTGCTGCCTTTCTGGAGGGCAGGTGCCTGTTGGGGCTGGGGTGTCTGTGGGCAGGACCTGGAGGGGGCCGAGGGTGAGTCAGACATGGGTCTGCCCGGGCCCCGCCGCCTGGCTGTGGCTGCTCGTCGGTGAGCGCCTGCAGCGCATCTCGGAAAAGTACCACCTTCCGTCTTGGAACCAGGAGACGCTTCCTGAAGGATCTCTTGTTATTAATCAGCTTTTTTTAAAATTCTTTTTTAAGTGAGAGATGGGTGATTTGAGACTTGTAGAGATATCGCTGGCACGGCCCCGCGTGAGGGGCGCTACTCCGTGCTCTGTGAGGGTGTTTGGGACGGGCTGGAAGGAAGGGGTGGGCGTTTGGATTGTTCCAAATTGGAATAATGACCAATTGGGTTTCCAGTCTCTCTCTAAATTGAAAGTCAGGACCGCTGTCACTTCTTGTAGCCACCTTTAATCTTGAACTTTATATGCCATTTTATATTCAAAAGTATTTTATATTCAAAAGTATAGCTTTAATAGTAGTTTCTAGGGCCTCCCCGGTGGCGCAGCAGTTGAGCGCTGGGTTGCAAAGCTGCCCGCAGCCTCTGCGGCGCCGGTTCGATCCCCGGCTGCTCCCCGGCCACCGGAGGAGGGTCCCACATGGCGCGCAGACCTCTCCTGCCGCCCGCTGCTCCCCTCAGTAGTGTACTTCAGTCCTTCTGCCTGCTCTGCTCCCCGCTCTGGCTCTGGTGCATTCTCTCACCCTCCCGTGCTTCTGACTATACCCAGTGCATGTATAAACAAACAAACAAACAAATAAATAAAACATGCCTCTAAAAAAAAAAAAAAAAAAAAAAATAGTAGTTTCTAAGTCTCTGTATTTTTCTTATTAGAATATATAGAGGTTATAACTTACTACCCAGCATAACAGATGTCACTATGGAAAATAACCTTTCGAGAGTGATTGCTGCGGTTTCTCATGAACTAATCACATCAACCACGCGTGCACTCACAGTAAGTCTCCTGTTTGGTCGTGGTGACATCACCTGCCGTGGCGCGTGGGGGGGCTCTTCGTGGCAAGGCGCTCATGGTGGCGTGCTCACCTGATGTGGGGCTTACTAAGAAATTGTGCTGCTGTGGACAAAATCTTGGTTGATTCAATATGAATGTAAACAGCATTTTTTTTTTATGATTGTTAAAGCAGTACCTGCTCATTTTCAACAAATTCAGTTGTGTAGGGAGACAAGAAAATGAAAAGCACCATCATCTGACTGGCAATATAGCAGAAGTTTAACATCTCTCTGAGACAGCTGACTCGGTCACTGTGCCGCATGGGAAGGGGGCGGTCGGAATGCCAACAAGGGTTACCGTGTCACGCAGTTATCCGTGTCGTTGCCTGCGATACTGAAGTAGAAGAGAACCACGATGCCCAAAATCCAAGAGAGATTAAGTTCAGATTACAGCTAAGTTCTACGTATAGTAGTTTGGTATATCCCTAATAATATGATGCTTTAGAGAATTTTTAATGATACAGTGAAATATAATCTGAATTATAATATTGAATGAAAAGCACCCAACACAGAACGTACCGGTGTACAATTAGATCTCAGTTGCGGAAAATAATCTTCACGCAGACGAATGTGCCTCATGTAGTCAGAAAAACAACTGATAGAAAATTGCCAAAATGAATTTAGGGTTGTGAATGGTTTTGTTTCTGTTTTTCAAATACTTGCAAAATTTTCTAAATGAACAAATGTAGTTTTTATAATCAGAAACAAAATATACCTAAGTAGTATTAATTTGCTGATTACCAGCTCAAACCTTTCCCTTCATTTTATGTGGCAGAAGAGATGCTTGCGTGTTGTAGAAAACTCAGCAGTTACGATGAGGCTGCCTCCCTCAGTGTATAAGTGCCTTGCAAACCCCCATATTGTCTGGGCTCACTCTACTTTGGTCTCTCCTTGATTGATTCAAGGGACCGTGAACTCTGCTTATTGTTGGCACCGTGCCCACAAGTCCAGCACTGTTTTAGACTCGGGATGTGTGAAGAGGCACCCTGCCCTGAGCGTCTTGCAGGCTGGTCGGGAGAGGGCCGTAATCGGCCGTCCTGAGGTCTTGAGTGTGCAGGGGCGGACCTGCAGGGGTGGTGTGTCCAAGGCAGAGGGGCACACAGAGCAGGCGCCGGTCCAGGCTGCAGCAGCTGCCCGTGCTGGCCTCCCCACCATGCCATCGTGGGTATTTCTGAGAATTTCAGTTGTCTAGTGGAATCCTTTAAGGAATGACTTTTTATCGAGTTAGAATGGCCAGCCTGTCCTCAGAAGCCATTTGCACATCTTATTTGCGCTTTTTATAAAAGATAAAAGGAGGCCTGATGAAACAAACCTCTTTGGTGTTTGGTGTGATTTTATTGTTCCTTTCTTCTTTAGTTTGGATGCTGTGAAGCTTTGTGTCTGCTTTCGACGGCCTTCCCGGTTTGCATTTGGAGCTTAGGTTGGCACTGTGGGTAAGTGTCATCTGTCGCCTCTGGTTGTCCAGCTACGTGATACAGATGTGGTTATTGAGATCTTTTTTTTCTACCTTGTTAAGTCTTTTGACCTTTTGGAAAACTAGCTTATGGAACTCTCGCTCTGCCCTGTTGGTCTTGTGGGGAGCCCGAGGCGGGCACCTGCCAGGGGTCCCTATGAGTGTGAGAGGCTCGTCCTCGGTACTTTCTGGGACTGAATCCCTGGTTTGCTCATGTGATGAACTACAGGATCTAATTTCAAAACTAATGTCCCAACATTAGCAGTTTTCATTTAAAAATGACTTTCTTGCAATAGATGGCTCTAGTAGCATCTGTGAAGTAATTTTTAGCTTCCCGAGCTTTAAAGAGGAACCTTGCATTTGTGTGCCAAGTATTGAAGAAAATTTTGGTGACTCAGTCTCACCACATGTGGCAGTAAATCTGTGGCGTTCCCATGTGTCAGCTAATGGCCAGTGAAGATTTGCTTGAAGGTGGAGCATTCTCTGGCCTGGAGTGATTGCTCCCTCTTGTCAGCAGACCCTTCTCGAACAACAGATAGTCAGCTCTGGCACTAGACTCAACTAATAAGAACTTTGGTGCTGGAACAAAACATGCTAAATCACAGTTAAAGAAAATGAAAAAGCTCTCAGAATAAGCAGTCCCAATGCTTTTAATGTGATCTGATTTCATTTTTCCAGTGAATTTATGGAGCTCTGGTATACAGGAAAGATGCTAGTTGACAACAGTAAAAGCAGTCTGAACAGCTGAATATTCTGTGAAGGGTCTGCTTCTTGAGGTCATAAGAGAGAACAAGACTGCTTTCTTTAAAATTTTTCTATAATTTGACCTTGTGCTTCTGTCCCAGAGTGCCCCCCCTGAGTGCCTCAGATGAATCCAGAAAGAGCTGCACCGTTGGGATGGCCACCATGATCCTCACCCTACTCTCGTCCGCCTGGTTCCCCCTGGATCTCTCAGCCCACCAAGATGCTCTGATTTTAGCTGGAAACTTGCTTGCAGGTATTGGTTGTGAGCTCGAAGGGGCTTCGGTTCTTTCACGTTGCCGGGTGGGTGGTGAGTATGTGAAGGAGGGCGGTGTGTGGCCATAGTTTGTTCCTTTGGTGGGAATTCCAGATGTTATCGACTGGCAGAAGAGTGTCCTGCCAGCAGCTGGTCTCAGCTAGCTAGAGGCAGAGTCGCTGACTATCTCGAATGCCAGGTATGGCCTCAGGCGCCAGGATAATAAGGAGGTGTGATGTGTGAACTCAGTCTTGGACTGTAGAGCCTCGGGCATAGAGAGGTAAAGTAAAGCAGCACTGAGTGTCACGTGTGTAGACTGGCAGGGAAGGACACAACAGACAGGGCGTGGCACATCCAGGACATGTGTCGGGAGAAGCTGTGTGACAGCTGGGGACTCTGCATGGACCTGGTGTTGCGTGAGAAAGGGAGGCTGTGGCTGTCGAGGAAGGTGGGAGCATTACTAGGTGGGTGTAGGGTGTTGTCAGTTTCCATTTTGGAGGAGTCGCTCTTGCAGACTCCTTGAAGAGCTGCGAGAGGCACGAACCATCAGTCAGCATTTTGGGAAGCTCACTCAGCTGGCCTGCATGCAGGCTGGCAGCAGAGGTAGGGAGATTCAGTGCTGCTGGAGTCCCCCTCAGCAGCGGTCGCTGGCAGCGGTGGTGGCTGCACCACAGGCCGCCTCTGGCTCAGCCTCCTTTCATACTAGGTGCCAGGGTCGTTGAGTGGACCAGTCAGGTTCTAAGTGGTCCCGTCAGCCATAGGATTGAAACGTGGTCCAATCAGACTTGCAGGTGGGGGACCCTGAAAGAGGATGTAAGGCAGGGCCAGAGGGGGCTGAGGGGACGCTCCGAAGAAGGAAGCCTCCTAGGAGAAGACGCCATTCCTGATCTCTGGAGGAAGGGAGAAGAAGGACCAGAAGCCGATCTTGAGAGGAGGAAGAAGCATCAGGCAGCTGACCTCCGAGGAAAGAAGAGAAGCCAGAGGCCGGGCCTCCATCCTGTTTCTGACATCTCCTGATAGGATTACCAAAGGCCCTGGGCCTAGGGTCGCAAAGAGCTGTTGTGCGGCCACTCACAGAGAGCTGTTCATACTGGGTGTCTCTGACACGGCCTCTGGAGGGGCCATTGGTGACCATCACTACTGCCCAGTGCTGTCCAGTTCTGTTGACAAGTGACCGGCATGCTGCTTGTACTTCTGGTGGACCTGGGGTGAGGAAGCTGCCACTTGTGGCCACAGTTGGCTCTTTGTTCTCCCTCTTTGTAAAGCAAACCCCATGGCTGCTGTTCCTGGAGCCCAAGGTCTCTTGCAAGTGTGCTCGCCCTTAGCCTCTGGCTGTTTAAGGCCCATTTCTTTAGGAGCTTGATAGTGTAGTTAAGGCAAGAGGTGGAACCCGTCCGCACCAGGCAACTCTGGCAGAGCTGGGGGAGAGACTCCAGCTGCGCGGCACGAAGGAGATAGGGCAGGTGTACAGCTCAAGATGGTGCTTGGATGCCCTCGACTCCTGGGGATGGTGAATGAGGGTGACCTATATGGACCTGAGAACGCAGGTTTTCTGTTGACCACCAGGTGGAACTGTCCAGCAGACCCTCAAGTCGGTGGGTCTGAGTGCCGCGTGCTCTCCCCACACCATGGAGCTGACGCAGTAACGCGTGTGCCTTTTCACAGCCAGTGCCCCAAAATCGCTGAGAAGTCCCTGGACCTCTGAAGATGAGACCAACCCAGCCGCCACCAAGCAGGAGGAGGTTTGGCCAGCCCTGGGCGACCGGAGCCTGGTGCCCATGGTGGAGCAGCTCTTCTCCCACCTGCTGAAGGTGATCAACATCTGTGCCCATGTCTTGGATGATGTGACCCCGGGACCAGCACTCAAGGTAACTTCCTCCTGGGTCGCGGTCGAGTTCATTCTCGTGGCCAGGACGTGCCTTCCCCGACTCACCGGTCCCTTCTGTGTGCTCTCTTGGTTCACATGAACAAAGCTCCTTTGACCAAGACACTAAGCTCAGCGCCAAGTGTGATCCCCCAACCGTAGCCCTCAGGCTGTTGCCAGCCTCCCTCCCGGGCTGTCAGCATTGGCTGAGCAAGCTCAACATTGAACCTGCCGGTTCACAGAACTGATTTGGTTGCTCCTGGAATGCTGGCACACACTTTTGCTTTTCAGTGAAGTAATGTTAGGTGAATAGACTTCAGGGCAGATGGCACGCTGCTGGCACAGTGCATGCAGGGGAGACTGGGTCACTTCTATCTGGTTACTCTTCCCTGTGTCTTCCCCTCAAGTCTCCTGAAAGAATTCCCCTTTAACTTCAGCTGCCCCTTGGTAGCTGCTCTGTCCCCCTCATACTAACGGTCCTATTCCCCGTCACACCCCAGCCTTCCCCACTCTGTGGTGCTGGCCATCTGTGCCTGGCCCCTGTGGCCCTGGACTCTGCCCATTGCTTTTGCCAGTGATTCCTCAGCCCCTGCCCATCTGCTCTCTGCTGTCGCTGTCACTGTCATTGCCACAGCCGCTCTTCCTGCCGGTCAGTCTCCCTCTCACAGGCGCTTCTCTGGTCCTGTCTGCTCCCCCACACACTCCTGTCCTGAAACTTCTCTCTTGCTTTTCTCCACCATCCGTCTGCTGCCTGGGCACTTTCTAGACTCAGTGCCATCCTCTGTAGCTCTGTAATGGGGAAGCCTTCCATAGCCATGCCAGCCACGGCTGTGGCCACCAATCATATGTGACCAGTGGCACTTGAAGTGTGCCCAGTGCCACAGAGGGAGTGTTATTACGTGGACATCCCATAGCTACACGTGGGAAGGGGCCCCTCTGCGGTCTCTGCTGCTCCTGGAGTCTGACCAGCAGAGAACCCAACACTGTGTGGCGTGCCAGTCCTGTGTGGCCCTCACACCGACCCTTCCTGCTCACCCCTGCCCTGTTTCCTCCTTTGCGCCACTGCGCAGGGATATGAGGTCGGTGCAACCCCTTGTTTCCACTCACAGGGTCCTTGGTTCCCCCTACGAGCTATCCTGACGCTCCCCCCAACCCCATGCCTTTGTGTACATGTGCATGCACACATGGCCGCGTGTGTACACACACGTTCCTTCTCTAGCCCGCCGCTGTTCTGGTCCAGGTGGATGCAGCTGCCCACTGTGTGCTGCCTCGTTGTCCTGAGACGGTGTGACTGGCAAGGTCTTCCCCTGTAGCATGATGCCCGCACCAGCATCCCGCTGGTCCAAAGGGCTCGGTTCTGTTTTAGTGTATCCACAGAGTTGTCCTGCCTTTACCAGCAGAAAATGAACGCTGTGCCCTTTATTGCCACCCCACCTTCCCGCACTCCCAGCTCCGGCAGCTCCTCTCAGTCCCGTCTGTCTGCCTCTTCCGACTGCTGGCAGCAACGGAGCGCACGGCCCCTGCGATTTGTGGCCTGGCCCTTGCTCCGTTTCCAGGGGCGGCAGCTCTTCCGTGGTCTCCAGTCCCTTCCTGCTGTCCCTGGGCCCTGCTCCCCATCATAGCCCCTTGTCCCCTTGGCTTTCTCTCAGAGAAGGCTTCTCTGAGTCAGTGAGTGAGGAGAGCAGGGACCGGGATGCTCTGTTTGTGTCAGCTCTTTGCCTTGCTGGTGGGAGCCGGGAGGCCTGCCGCCTGCCTCGAGCCCTGGACAGCGCGCGCCGTGTGGGCAGTCGGTTGGCTGGCTGCTGGCTCTGCTGCTGCTTGGCTGTAATCTTGAATAAGCCTCTTCGTCTCCGGGCGTGGCTCCTCCTTTGGAATGCAGAAGTTAAAATGCTGCTTCGGATCTTTTCTTGGCCCAGCTCTTCGAGGGCCCTGCCTCAGGCCCCGCTGAGTCCCTGGGGCTCCTCCTCCCAGGCCTCTTACTGCGCCCGCAGGAGGTCTCGGGTCATGCCCTATGTTGTGGGTGTGTGGGCTGCTTCTGGGCTCTGTGCGTGTGGGGAGCACGGCGTGGGTGGCCTCTGTCCAGTAAATGGCTGCTGTCGACTTTAGTTTCCACTTTCTGTGTTTTATTGTAGGCAGCCTTGCCGTCGTTAACAAACCCCCCTTCTCTAAGTCCCATCCGACGGAAGGGGAAGGAGAGGGAGCCTGGGGAGCAGACATCTGTGCCATCAAGTCCCAAGAAAGGCAACGAGGCCAGTCCAGGTAGGCCAGGCTGGAGGCTTGGTGGGGGCACCGTCTGGATAACAGACACTCAGGACTCAAGCTTGCATTCACATCAGAGCTGCTCTGGCAGCTCGGAGGCTTTCCGAGGTACACAGTGGTGAAGTCAGAGAAGTGGTGTCTGCAGATGCTGTTGCAGGCAGAACTCACTCGGGCCATGTCTGGAGGCTTCGCTGCTAACGCTGGCGCCGACCACCAGCTGGCGGTAGCCCTGGGTGGGCCGCCTCACCACTGCTAGCTCTCCTTCCTGGCCTTTCCGACTCTTTTCACTGCGGAAGAGGCTGGACAGGACTCCTGTTCTGGGGGTGGGGGGGGGTTGGAGGGGGGCGCGTGTAGGTGGGTTGGAGCAGATGCGGTATTTGGTTCTGGTATGGAGAGAATGCTGAGGCAGGAAATGCAGTTTACGTTTGGAATAGCTGAGCCCGAGGCAAAGTAGAGACAAGATCAGCTGAGGGAGAGGAGCCGGAGGGGTGGCCGTGCCCGGGGGCCTGGGAGGAGAGGGTACAGTGGCTGTGCAGCTGTCCCTTCTGGTCTGCCAGAGCCAAGAAGCCAGGCCTAGCAGGGGCCCCCAGCCTTTGCTCTGTTTCCCGTGCCTGCGCTGGTCCTGTTTCCCGTGCCTCCCGTCCATCCTACTTATTTGGCAACTCGGTCGGCCTTTCTAAAAGCTGCTCTTGGTGAGGGTGCGACCAAGAGGTTGCGTGATTGGCTGAGCGTCCTGGAATCCATCGTTCCTTGGATTTAAAACTAGGCAGTGAGACCAAAGTATGTGACAGCTTCTGTTACTTTGCTTTTTTTAAATTTTATTCTGGGGGAGGTGCTCAGATTTTGTTTACTTGTATCTAATAAAAAAAAAAAAAATTTCACTACGGTACTTTTAAAAATCCTTATTGCTAGTAATTGCTTCTAAAATTTCATTATGTGTGTTTGTTTTGAAAGCGTCTCGACAGTCTGAGACCTCAGGGCCTGTCACGGCAAACAAGTCCTCGTCGCTGGGGAGTTTCTGTCACCTTCCCTCGTACCTCAAGCTGCACGATGTGCTGAAGGCCACGCACGCCAACTACAAGGTGCTGCTTCCTCCGTAAAGACATGCTTCCCTTCCCCGGGGCTCTTGCCTCCATGCTCTGTGATGTGTGCACAGACATGTCCTTACCTTTAAGTTAAGTCCTTGGGGCCAGTGTTTAGGTTTCCCTTTCAGCTGTGTCTAGGGTAGCTTCCATCGTGAAAACATCCGATTGTTGTCGGAGAAATGACATCTTCACGGTTTATTGGTGTCGTGTGGCTTCCCAATAGACACAGTGACCGGAGGCTCGCGGGGACCGCTGGGCACAGCCACCCTGAGATGTGTTGCGCCAGTGAGGCCGGGACGCAGCCAGGCCAGAGGGAGAGCCCTCGCCTGCGGCCCTGCGTTCTCCCTCCCCGGCCTGCTCCCTACACGGGACCCTAGGCCTCACAGGAGGCGGCACTCAGCAGCCACTGTGCGGTCTAGTCGGCGTCCTGGCACGGGGAGCCACCCCGTCGGAGGGGTTTTCTGCCGTGGGGACTGCGGTCTGGCCACCTTCCCAGACACCCGGGACCAGCCTGCTGCTGGCTCCGGAAGACAGCGTGGGCCATGCTGCTCTGGGCTTTCAGACCTTTCATTCTGCCTTCACCGGGAAAATCTCCTGTGCTCGCGTCGAGGGATTTTTGTTTTTTGCTTTTATTTGTTTACTTTAAGCTTCTCCCACTGCAGTTTGTTTCATCGATAAAGTATGGATCTAACTTGGCTTTTTTCCAGCTGCCTAATCAGTTGTCCCCACCGCTGTTTCCTGAATACGTTTTTCCTGTACTAAATGTCTTGAAGTCCTGTCTTCACAAAACCCTAAACTCATGTTCTTCTCCAGTTCCGGGTTCTGTTCTGCCATACTGCTCCGTCCGTCTGTCCATCTGCCGGAAACACACTTCTGGTTATTGTGGTGCTTGGGAGATTCCAGGGCAGCCCTGGAGTCTCTCTTGACTCTCCCGCGTGCTCCCACTCGATCACGCTTGCCTGTGAGCGCTGGCGTAAGCGTGTCTTGTTGCAGGGGTCCTATTACATGTGTGGGTTAGTTTAGGGGGCGCGAAGGTCTCTGTTGCAATGTGGGCCAGAGCAGAGCGCCGGCCGCGCCATTGTTTTCCACAGACTCCCGCCGTGCGCCCGAGAGCACGTGCGCGCAGGCTCATGTAAGGACTTGTCAAACTCCGCTCACATAGGTCTCCCCTGTCTCTTGATAAATGTGCCGCCCACGCAGCCCCGTTTTTGTTACTAATAGGTTCTAATCAGTTTCTTGAAAAACCATCGACCAGCTCGCTGGCTGCTGTCGTGAAGGGTAGCGATCATTTTGAAAGATTAAAAATCTTAACCACATTTTAGGAAAGAATTGGGAGGCTCAGCTAGTTTGCCGCTTCTCACGGCAACCCCCCCCCCGCAGGGGAGGCTCGTCTCAGGGCTGCCTCGCAGGCCTCCTTCCCGCCTCTCTCCAGCTCTCTGATTCTGCCCTCCCGCCCTGGTGCTTGCTGCCTCGTCGCTTTCTTCCCCAAATGTCTTGCCCGGGACCCTCCCTGCTGCCTTGGTCTCCACCTCCTGAGGGCCAGTGCCTGGTTAGCGTCTTGCTGGCAGCCACCCTTGGTTGTGTTTGGAATGTGTGAGCCTGTCCCGAGTCTCCGGTCACACCTGCCCATCTCTCTGTTGCTCTGCAGAGCCACTGGGCCCTCCTGTTGTGGCCGTGGCCCTCTGGCCCCAGCGAGCCTTTGGCTCTTCCTGGGCTCACTGCCCACCTCCGAGTCTCCAAGTCCCTCTTCAGAGCTCCTCAGAGCCTTTGATGGAAATTCTCCGTTCGTCCTCTGATTGTTCAGGCAGGCGTCCCCTTGCCGCTTCCTCTGCCCCCCGCTTCCCCCATCAACAGCAGCTGCTGCTGAGCTGGGCCCTGTCCTGTGTCCCCGAGTTGGACCGGACATGTCGGGCACCTGCCCCTGGGACGCTGGGTCATCAGAGTCTCGTGCTGGAGCTCCCTTCCTTCTGGGCCCGTGGAAAGCACCAGCAGGTTGACAGAAGAGCAGCCGCAGTATCTCAGCCCTCACCTTGTCACTGTCTTGGCTGTTTCTTGCCTGCTTTTCTTCTCCTCTCACCAGCAGCATGTTTTCTCTTTCACGACGGGAGTCCGGTTTTGTTTCACTGAGCAGATTCTTTCCACTCATGTGTTGCCCGTGTGTGTCCCCCCCCCACCCCCCATTCTGACATCGCGTCTTGCCTTCAGTCTTGCCCACTCTGTCGGTCTGTTAAAGGGTGAAGCAGAGTCTTCAGAATCTTGATCTAACACTACCTGAGATGGATACTTTGCTGCTGCCAGACTGGAAGGCTTGTCTGAACTTGACAAAGATGCAGTGTCCTGGGAGCAGGGCACGTGTCTCATGTTCCCGGCAGGTGGTGGTTGTGGTGGGCGTTTCCATCTTGGTCAAAGTCGGGAATTATTCTAGCAGGGTCAGTGTAAGTCAGATGTCTTTGAAAGATACATTTTAGATGCAATCTGGAAGAGTAATTTCTTTCCCAGGGTATTTCCTCAGTGCTACAGACAAACTGAAGCACCCCAAAAAGCAAGCATGTCGGGGTGCTTGGCAGGCTCTGTACACTGCAGTGGATCACGTGTGTCAGATTCAGCATGGCCAGTGGACCCGGGCCATTAATCGTGTATTCTCTCCCGCCGTCTTCCCAAGGTCACGTTGGATCTTCAGAACAGCACTGAGAAGTTTGGGGGGTTTCTGCGCGCTGCCTTGGACGTGCTCTCTCAGATTCTGGAGCTGGCCACCCTCCAGGACATCGGGAAGGTTTGTGTCTCGTTTCTTCTCGCTGAGCTGCCGACGGCACATCTGTGCGTGTCCCCGGCTGCGGGCCCTGGGGTGCCGCCCTGCCCACTGGCCGGGGGGGAGCTCCTGCTCGAGTCTGGCCTTCGCCTCAGATTTGGGGAGGGGCAGCACTGCCTGTCCACACTCTGTCCCGTCTTGTGTCCCACGACCGAAAGTGCGGGGCGATGAGCCAGGTCACCGTGGCGCTGCTGCTCTGCTCTCCGGCTCTCAGGGACCACGGTCCTTCAGGCGTGAGTGTCAGTGGCTGGAGCCCCGGCTTCCAGTCTGCCGTTGCCTGGCCAAGGGTGACCCGGGCTCCTCTGCCCGTTCCAGCCGCGAGTGGCGTTTCTCCTTCATGTGTTGTGTGTGGGTGTTGTGCCAGGTGTCTCCCTTGGCCCAGGTGCTCTCGGTGGCCACCCAGCACCTGTTCCTCCCCTGTGCTTGCCTGGAGGGCACCCTGCACGTGACGGGGGCGTGCGCCTTCGTCAGACAGGTGGCGATTTGAGGCTGCACTGCAGCCCCTCACGTAGCAGCCACCTGCCGTGAGCTAGGAAGACCGCGGGACGCCGGGCAAGTTCAGCTGCCCAGCGCCTCCCCTGCCTAGCATGCTGGCTGATTTCAGTACATCCGGATGTCGGCAGTCTGTGGTCTGGAGTATTTGAAGCCAAGCAGACTCAGTTGCTTCTAAGCGCAGGGAGTAGTGTCTCACCTGCGACGTGAGAGGGCCATTCAGCCCGTGACTCTTGGCTGCATGGGCCGGTCGGTGACGGCGGGGGCCGACGGTGAGCAGATGCCGGGCTGGGTGTCCTGAGACTCCGTGTCTTCCTCCTGTTCTTCGCGAGGACACTGGGTGACGCGATGGCATTTCCGATGACGAGCACTTGGTGTGTGAGGTGCTGGGGTTGTGTGCGGGGTGTGCACACCCCGCTACGGGTCCTGGGTTCCCGCACGAGAACAGGGCGCAGGCGGCCCTGCAGAACCCTCTGGGCGTGCAATCACCGAACGAGCCGGCAGACGAGGGCAGACGCGGTGAGCTGTGCCGCTGGCATTTCCGTACTTTTTTTACCGACTTTCTGCGTCCACGATGGTAAAATGAAAACCTGCTCTGCATCTCCTCTGACGTTTCCTAACATGCAAGGTCAGGGCCACGAGCTTGTGTCTCTGGCTTCTGTCTGGAATTCACTCCACGTCTTGCCATTTGCCCTTTCTACAGTGTGTCGAGGAGATCCTTGGTTACCTGAGGTCCTGCTTCAGTCGGGAGCCCATGATGGCAACAGTCTGTGTCCAGCAGGTGAGGGCGTGTTGTCTGTCCGTGAGGCGTTGTACCTCTCGTCACGTAGAAGGTGGTGCCAGCGGTGTGTCCCGCAGCACACCTGTCAGCCCCTTGCTCCCTCGGTATTGGGTCAGGGAGTCCCGTGCCTGTGTGTCCTAGAGGGAAGGCCCATCAGCATAGAGCGGTGGGTCTTAGGCACCCAGCTGGCCCCCATCTTTGTTCAGAGAACTCAGAACCCTCAGTGCCTCGGCGCTGTTTGTGCCGGGCAGCAGCCTCTTTAGGGCTTCCATCACGATGGTCCTCAAGGTTGTGCTGTCGGGTTTTTGCTTGGCCAGCTCCTTCTGGGTGGGTTTGAGTCTGTGGGACATCCTTGAAGTGCTTTCTCGTGCGCCGCTGATTTGCGTGTTGGCGCATCCATCCCTTCTCTACAGCTGCTGAAGACTCTCTTTGGGACAAACCTGGCTTCCCAGTTTGATGGCTTATCTTCCAACCCCAGCAAGTCACAAGGCCGCGCACAGCGCCTTGGCTCCTCCAGCGTGCGGCCCGGCTTGTACCACTACTGCTTCATGGCCCCGTACACCCACTTCACCCAGGCCTTGGCGGACGCCAGCCTGAGGAACATGGTGCAGGCCGAGCAGGACCGCGACCCCTCGGGGTAAGTCTCCTGTTCTGTCCCGGCCTCGTGGCCTGGAGCGCTTCGGGTGGAGGCACAGAAGAGCCAGCAGCGAATGGCTTGTGAGCTGTAGAAGTGAATTAGGTAGCATCTTTTAACAGTCGGCTGTGTTCAGAGCCCTCTGGGAGATAAGGTGGTTACTGAGGTGCAGCAGGCGGCACAGCCCTGCCTCAGAACAGTGTGTGGTTCTCTGAGTGCGTGGGCACTTGGGAGCTACCTTGCTCAGAGGCATGGACTCCGTGTGAGCGGCAGCTGACCTCAGGGCCCAGAGATGTGGGCCGACCAGAGTGGTGACAGCCATGCTTGGGAGCGTGCTGTCATTCCTGGGGTCACGGGGGCATCTCGGTGCTGATGGAGGTGCTGGCCTCGGATGGGGTGAGGGGCGGCCCCATGGCTCAGCGTGCTTGCGTTTAGGGGGGCTTGCGGAGCAGCCTTGGATGTTATTACTTTGGGTCTTGTCGCTTTATGGCTAGAAGTCTCATCACTTAACTTTTTGTTTGTGTTTTTGATGCCTGAAATCTGTACATCATTTCTTAAAGCCCCGTACTCATTAGCACGGGGTTGAATTACTGCTCTTTGGGGTGACAGTAAATTCTGTGACTTTCCTCTTATAGATGCAGTGATCAAATAGCTGCAGTGAAAACCTCAGGTTCAGGAACTAAGGACAATAGCCCACGCCTGCTAGCTGTGGCGGGTGCTCACTGCATGCCTGCGCACTCTGTCTCGAGCGTCTCCCCGTGCTTAACGTGATGACACGGGGCACGTTACAAGCGTGTGTGTGAAAGAGAGAGAGTCATTTTCTTTCATTGCATGTATTTATTAAAAAGAAAAGGGACTAGTTGATATGTGTAAAAATATTTTCTGCGACGACCAAGTGCTATTTTCTAAATTACTTGGCCTTTCACTTGCACGTCGCCTTTCTCTCTCGCCCCACTGCAGTCGGGCCTAGCAGGGAGTTCCACAGCAGAGAAAGTTGCCTGTGCAGACAGGCTTGCTGGTGTCAGTCAGATGGGACTCCCCATTACTTCACCACACCAAGAGTGTGGTGCCGTCACCCGGAGCCATGCTCCAGTTCTTGCTGCGTGGCATGTTCAGATTCTGTGACTCTGCAACCGTTGGGGCTGGAGAGCAGCTGAATTCCAAGAAGGGTCTTCTGTGTCTCCTTCGCTCACCTTTGTCTCTGTTCACCAGGTGGTTTGACGTCCTCCAGAAAGTGTCTACCCAGCTGAAGACAAACCTCTCGAGCGTCGCCAAGAACCGTGCGGATAAGGTAGAGGATCAGCAGGGGCAGGATGTCCTGGGCGTGGAAAATGAACTTCGGGCTGAGACTTCACAGTTCGCTTGTTGAAGTTTTTTTGTTGAAGACTCACTTGGGGATGCTTTTTTTCCTTTCTTCTAGAACGCGATTCATAATCACATCCGCTTATTTGAGCCACTCGTCATAAAGGCTCTGAAGCAGTACACAACCACCACGTCCGTGCAGCTACAGAAGCAGGTGCTGGACCTGCTGGCACAGCTGGTTCAGCTGAGGGTGAACTACTGTCTCCTGGACTCGGATCAGGTGTGTCAGTCACTTCCCCTCCATCGGCCAGACCCGTCCACAGCTGACTAGAATGATTATGAAGAGACGCCGACTCCAACTTAAGTGCCTTAAAGGCTTTGATTCCTCAGGAGAAGCGAGGAAACACAGCCAAGTTACCAGCTTCCCCATGGGGGAGGGCACATGAAGCCCATTCCCCCTTCCCCACCCCTAGTGCTCCCTCGACCAGCCTCTGCCTCCCTCTAGCAAATTGAATTCCTGTGATTTGTGTAACAGTAGTTTAGCATCTGGTAAACAGGCAGCATTGGTTCTACCTTGTCATGAATGCCGGCCTCACTTTGCTGACCTGCTTTGCCGCTCTGGCCTCCCTCCCGGCCTGAGGATGCAGCTCCGACAGCGTGTGTGTGCACACCCAGGAGATTGGATGAGGTAGCGCTGTTCCCGGCGCTGTGTTGAGACCCCGGGCCCGGCCCATGTCCAGGGCTGAGAGGAAGCTGTGCCTGATGCTCATGCCTGGTGGAGGGGACGGCTGCTGTCCCCCAGTCCTGATGTGCCCCTTACTCCAGCACCCCTCCTATGGGAGTCTGGACGGCAGGTCGGGGAGGCGAGGTGGACTAAGTGGAGCCTCTCGTTACTGACCCAGCTTCAGGGACTCTGCTGCCAGCTTTGCCCAGAACTGCAGTGACCGAGCCCCCTCGCTGTGGCGTTGGGGTGCTTAATGGCCCCTGGAATTCACCCTCTTCCACGCGGGTTTCAGCAGGTGTCCAGCCTTGAGTGTGTTGAATGGGATTTCTGGAGGTGTTCCGGAATGATCCAGTCTGACAGTAGAATCCACTTGAGTCTCACATACAAGCAGATTTATGTAGTGTTAGGAAACTTGCTAAGAATTGGCACGTGTGAGTGAGAAGTGATGTCGGTTATAGTTTAATTATTGACATGGGGCCTTTCCTTGCCTGCCTGCAGGTGTTCATCGGGTTTGTGCTGAAGCAGTTTGAATACATCGAAGTGGGCCAGTTCAGGTAACCGCGGGCAGCGTTTCAGATTTCTTACCCTCACTTTGCACTTACATAGAATAAATTACTAATATTAAGATGAATGTTTACTTTAAAGGATTCTTAGGCAATTTTGCTGGCTTGTTAATGGAAATCTGATTAATATGGTATATTTTTGTTTCTCTTAGAAGTAAATGAGTGTGTTAGGCTTGTGTAACAGTAGTTTAGCGTCTGGTGATGGCACGTCTCCTCAGTCTTACTTCACATTTCATAGCTTTCAAGTGTGATAATAGATTGTTCAGTGAAATCTTCTGACTGAATGCTGGTCTTTCAAAATCTTAGAGAAAGCATTTTCTAGACACGGTTATCTTTAATAAAGGTGATTATTATGCACTTTACTAATTTATTGAAGTTTTCTTTGCTAGACAGTAAGGTTTTAATGCTTCTGTGCCGGTTATAGGTATGTACTCATTGAAAATTAAGCTTCTTTAGTTCCTGCACTGCTTGCTAAAGAGAAGGGAGCAGTGACGAGAGCGCGCCCTGACAGGTGCTTGGCCCGGAGGTCACTTTCTCCTGAGCACGCGCCCCGACAGTGACCTTGCTGATGCCTGCTTTGCCTTTGAGGCTCCGTTTCTTCAGCGGAAGAGGATGGGGCACAGGAGGGTGGAAAAGCCTGTCCCGTGGGCGCGGGGCTTTGGCCTTCGGGTGATGCACATGCTCAGCAGGCTGCAGCCCGTGTGCTGCACAGAAAGCAGGGTGTCTTAGGTGGGCTGACGTGAGGTGCCGAGTATGCACCCCCCAGCTCACATTCGTGCTCTCTCAGCTCTGCATCATGAGTAACTTCATGCTGTCTCCATGGATGGTGTTTATATGTGTTGGCATGTGGCCGGATTTTATAAGAAGCACTTAAATGATGTTTTTGTTTCTAGGGAATCGGAGGCAATCATTCCAAACATCTTCTTCTTCCTGGTGTTGCTGTCTTATGAACGCTACCATTCGAAGCAGATCATCGGAATCCCCAAGATCATTCAGCTCTGCGATGGCATCATGGCCAGCGGGAGGAAGGCTGTGACTCATGGTAATGGGGCGGGGTGTCCCTGGGGCCACGTGTGATGCGGCAGGTGTGGCAGTGCCTCTCCCAGCCCGCCTGCTGCAGCTGTGCCAGCCCGGCTCTGCGTGTGCACACGTGCGCGCGTCCAGAGTGCCGGCTGGCTGGCAAGGCTGGCCATCCTTTACTTTGGGCGTGTGTGGCCTGCTTGGGTAGCTGGTCCCTTTTTGTCTCCACTTTTATTTTCACCTCAGTGGGGTGAGCTTTGTTCTCGGTGTCTCCTCGGTGAGCTCAAAGATGCTTCCGGATGAAATTCGTGGCCTCTCCCCTGACTTAGTTTTTAGGAGCTCACAAAGCCATCGCTCTCCACTTTCATTTTCACCTCAGTGGGGTGAGCTTTGTTCACGGTGTCTCCTCGATGAGCTCAAAGATGCTTCCGGATGAAATTCGTGGCCTCTCCCCTGACTTAGTTTTTAAGAGCTCACAAAGTCATCGCGGTGTCAAGAGCCCAGGGCTGCTGCGGTGGTGTGGCGGTAGCATCTCTGCGCCCGTCGATGGCCGTGAACCTGCCGGGGGGAGGCGTTCTCGTTTGTCGGACGCTTTCTGGAGGTGTCAGTGCCGTCCCTGAGTGTGGTAGTCCTGAGTGCCTCTGAGCGTGCCTTCTGCCCGCAGCCATCCCGGCTCTGCAGCCTATTGTCCACGACCTCTTCGTGTTACGAGGAACCAACAAAGCCGATGCAGGAAAAGAGCTCGAGACCCAAAAAGAGGTGGTGGTGTCCATGTTGCTGCGACTCATCCAGTACCACCAGGTGGGCGCTGGTCCCTGCAGCGCTGCCCTGCCGTCCCGGGGGGAGGTGCGGGGGAGGCCTGGCCTGGCCCTGGGCCAGCTCACGGGGAGTCACCCGGGGAGGTGGAGACTCGGCCCTACCCTGCCTTCAAGCAGCCCAGCCCTGGGGGAACCCAGGTGACTGTCACGAGTCCCACCCCCCAAAGTGAGGACCGGCGCCCATCATTGGCAGCATGGATCAAAATGACAAAATTCTGAAAATAATTTTTAAAAATCTCAAATCTGAAATAATTTGAAGACTTTAGTCATACATTTATTCACCTCTGTTTTCACTAGTGCCACACTCTCTTTGGGGGCTGATTTCTGGTTTCTTTGCTTCGAGTGGGGCTGGGACAGCCTGAGTACGGACCTGGCCGCCTGGCTCCTCCTTGTAGCTGGTCAGGGGTCCAGCCTCTTGATTTGGTCATTTTCTGTAGAATTTGTAGAAGTTCAGTTTGTTTTGGAAGCTTGTTTTGGAAGCTTTATCAAGCCGTGTGCGTCTGTCTGTCCCTTCGCATTCGGCTGCCCCTGCAGTATTTCCTTAACCCCCACACCTCCTGCGAGGGGACACCCTCCGGGCAGCGGCTTGCGAACATGGTGCTCACTCCTGGCAGCAGGCTGGCTGTGTGGTGGGAGGGCAGACGGGGTCAGCTGGTCTTTCGGGGCAGGTCAGAAGTGGTGGGGTTTCCTGGTGCTGCCCAGGCTCCAGGGAACAGGCAGCCCTCGGCGGTGTGGACGGGCCGGCTTGTGGGAGCTCGCACTGCTGTGTCTTGGTGGTGGTGTCCTCCGTCCAGGCTAGCACACTTTTTCTGTCAACAAGTAGGTAATCGTGCTTTCAGCATCGCGGGAAACGGTCAGAGCCATCCTGGCGGGCGTGCATACAGGGCTGTGAGCCAGCCAGACTTTATTTACAGCAGTGGGCTGACGACGCCTCTGTTAGAAATGACTGCTAATAAGCTGGTACACCTCTGTGTGTGATGCTTCTGGAAGTGAGTTGGCCTCCGTGGGTGGGGCCTGTGCAGAGAGCAGATGCGAGGTGAAGGGGCTACAGACGGCGTGGCCAGGGGCTGTGCTCTGCCCGGCCAGGGTCAGCCTAACTGGCCTTTGGTGCCTGCTCTCTGCTTGTGCAGCCTCGTCCTCACGGAGGTGATGGTGCAGGTCACGGCTGGGTTGGGGCGGGGCGTGGGGGGGACCTTTGGACCGCACGGGGAGGCCGACCTGGGGTGCGTGGGAGCTGGCATGCGGTGGGACGGAAAGGGACTGTGCCCATCTCTTGCAGGTGGTGGAGATGTTCATCCTGGTCCTGCAGCAGTGCCACAAGGAGAACGAGGACAAGTGGAAACGGCTGTCGCGACAGATCGCTGACATCATCCTGCCCATGTTGGCCAGGCAGCAGGTCTGTCCCTGTGGGGGTCAAGGCAGCGCTCTGTGTTGCCGAGAGGCTGCCAGTGGGTGCCGGCATCGCCCCGTCAAGTATGAGGGATATGAGTTCTTTTAGCAATTACCAGGCCCTCGGGGCAGGGGCCTCTCCTGCCTTCTCAGTCACCCTTTTGGGTTGCTCCTGTCCCTTCTTGCAAGTGTGGAGACTGAGGCGCAGAGCTGTCTCCCGGGCTCCCGGAAGTGGTGCTGGAGGTGCCGGGCCCTCATCACACGTGCCCCCGGTTCTGCTGAGTTGGTGTGTATAGGTGACGGTGCTCACCTAGCGCCGGCAAAATGCTGAGCTCAACTTCTGGAATCAGGCGGCGCGCTCCAGGGCTTCTCCAGGTGGGGAAGAGCTACCTGCCGGTGCCTGTGTGCTCTGGGCCCCTCTGCGCCTCCCCCAGGGGCCACAGTTTGTGATCAGGGCAGGGCCAGGAAGAGGGTCCCTGGGGAAACGCTTGCTACCAGCTCTGGTGCCTGGCCGTGGAGTGCAGCAGCCAAGGCGTAGGTCCGTCCTGGCCCCCTGACCTGCGTGCGTCTGGTCGTGTGTCCTGGGCATCCTGGGAGCACGAGCACCCGCATGGTGGCTGCTTTATCGCGTCTGGTTTCCTCACTGGCTTGTTTCCTGGAGCCCCGCCGGTGGGGCTGGGGCCTGGCTCCTGGCAAGATGCCCGCGGCCGTGCTCCAGCTTAGCCTGTGCTGCGGAGGGGCTGGTGGGAGCCTAGTGCACAGGAAATGGCCCTGTGGCGGTGTGTGACAGCGAAGGGAGGAAGCTGGCTGCGGGCAGTGGGTGGGCCTTGAAGGAAAGGTTGCATCGACAGGGTTGGGAGGAGATTTCCCGGGGGTGCATCCCTGTGGGATGAAAGAAGAGCAGGAGCCTGCACGGGGTCAGGGAAGGATGTGGGGGCCTCTTGGGCCTGCCTGAGTGCTTAGGGAAGTCTGGTGGGCAGAGAGGCAGGGACAAAGGAGTGGTGAAGTGTGACTTGAATGTTGAGATTGGAGGTGGGGGTGCGCAGGACGCCCACTGAAGGAGAGCTGCTGTGGACAGGGCCGGCACAGCTCAGGTGCCCATCTGGGTGCTCTGGTGTCCTGGGCGTGAGGACGAGAAAAGTGGGGTGACTCCAGGCAGCACGAGGCTGCCCTCCACCGCCGGGAAGAAGACTGTGGGCACAGCAGGTTCCCGGGGGGGTTGGTCTGGTGCTGGAGAGAGAGTGAGTGCTTGTGTACACTGGGCAGGCTGTGGCTGCCCAAGACTGGCCATGGTCACTGTCAAAGGACCCGGCACAGCTGCAAAGGGAGGGAACCAAACTCTGAGCTGGGAGCTGCCCCAGCTGAGCAGCCAGTGTGGTGAGGGAGGCCCCCGAGGGAGACAAGGAGCTGCCCACCTCGGGCAGGCAGGCAGGGGTGCTGTTCTTCCACAAGGGGGTGTCAACTGCGGGCTGCTGGGACCAGGTTGGGGCTCAGGGCGCTGGGAGGTCTTGGGAGCCGTTGGGTGGCCTGTGGTGGTGAGAGCGGGAGGGCGGCAGCCGGAGAAGGGAGGCATGGGGAGGGTCTGGGCGCTGGGCGGTGCTGGGCTGCAGCGGCAGCTCTTGGGGGCCTGGCCAGGGGCAGTTGGCAGGGCAGCGGGTCTGTGCTTCTCACCCCTGGCTTTCCACCTGCGCCTGGATCGCCCTATCTGGGCATTGCCACGTCTGCAGCGTATGCACATCCTCACCCGAAAAGGCTGAAGGGAGTGGGGAGTGCTCAGCACAGGGGTGGGGGTGGGGGGTGTATCTGGAGAGACAGCCTGGGCAGAGTTTGCACCTTGAAAGTGTTACATTTTAGAACCTGTTTCTTCTAGGAAAGTTGGCATTTGTAACACGACTTTTCTAAACAACTTAAAAACTGCTGTACATGTGTGGATAGGCCGCCCACAGGGGCCACGGGACCATCCCCTGGGCCCACAGGGCCATCCCAGGGGCTGTTTTCATACTTCTATGTGCTTGAGTCATTTACAGAAAGCGCACGTTGTTGGCACGACCAGCGGCTGAGGAAGAGAGCTCCGTGCCCTGAAGCCTCTTGGCTGGGCTCACTCCCCAAGTTAGGCTGCGCTGACAGTGGAGCTGGGCGGGTGTGGGCCTTGGCCTTGTACCTGCTCACCGAGAGGTGTCCTGGTGTTTCGTGGTGACAGATGCACATCGACTCTCACGAAGCCCTTGGAGTGTTAAATACTTTGTTTGAGATTTTGGCCCCGTCCTCTCTGCGGCCCGTGGACATGCTTTTGCGGAGCATGTTCGTCACTCCGGACACGATGGTGAGTGTCTCCCGTGGCGGCGCCTCATTCTCCCCTGCAGAGCGGTGGTCCCTGGGAGGCACCTGTGGACCCTGCAGGGCTGGACCTAAAAATTCCATTTGGAGGGTTCCGCCGCAGCGCTTACAGCGCCTGTTGGGGCTGTGCTTGGGGCTGTGCTGTTGGGGTGGCCGAGGGGGCTGGCAGTTGGGGCTGTGCTTGGCGCGGCGGTTTTCGCTTATGAAGCTGGCACCGGGGAATGACGTCGTCTTTTTTTTCTTTAGCTGCAACTTCTGTTTCCTCTTAGGCATCTGTGAGCTCTGTTCAGCTGTGGGTGTCAGGAATCCTTGCCATCCTGCGGGTCCTGATCTCCCAGTCAACCGAAGACATTGTTCTCTCTCGCATTCAAGAGCTCGCCCTCTCTCCATATTTGATATCCTGCCCAGTAATAAACAGGCTGAGAGAAGGGGACAGCAGTCCTGCGCCAGAGGAACACAGTGATGGGAGACAAGTGAAGAATTTGCCAGAAGAAACGTTTTCAAGGTGCGCGCGTGCAAGCCCCGTCCTCCTCTGCGCCTCTCAGGGCTGTGTCGTTCCCCGCCTCCCGAGCCTGGTGGTGCTGGTCCTTCTGCTTCGCAGCTGTGGGGTCCTTGTCACACTTCTGTGTCCTGTTCAGAGGCAACACATTGGCTCTGCGTGGGTGGGGGCGGCTGCAGGCTGCTTTTCCTGCAGGGGACGGAGGCCCTGGGAAAACCCACTGAAGTCTGCCTTAGCTGCTTTTCCTGTGTGCTGGTCACGGGACTGGCAGATGAATTCCTGGTCCTATGGGGCGGCCACTCACCTTGGCCACCCTCAGGAGACTGCTGACCCCTTGCCTGCCCTCCTTATGGGGCGGCCTCCTCCAGGGCAGGAGGCAGTGGCTTGCCCCAGTCTGAGGGCGCTTGTTGCTCAGCGGCCCCCGTGCTGGATTCGGAGCTGCCGGGACAGATGTGGACAGTGGCGTGGACACCCTTCCCTAGAGCTGTGCTTGCAGAGAGGAATCTCTACCCTGCATGGCACTCTGTGTTTCTGGGTTCAGCAGGACAGCCCAGGGAGCCCCCTGTTCCACTTAAGCAGGTGGCTGACACTTGAAATCCCAGTGCTGGGTCATCAGCTGGATGATTACGGTTTGCGGTGTTTAAAGAGTCACTAGCTGTCATTTCATCCTGCTGACAGTCCTTTGAAGGTGGCACCGTGACAGCCATCCCCCAGCGAGGAAAGTGAGATGCAGACAGGGAAAGTGACTTTGGCCGAAGAGCTGGCACTGCACCGTGCTCGCTCCTCTGCTTACTCACGCTCGCTCTGCTGCCGCTCCTCCCATGGCGCTCTGCCGGGGTCTCCTCGTCACCCTACCTTTCTCCTTGTCTTTGAAGGTTTCTATTGCAACTGGTCGGCATTCTTTTAGAGGACATTGTCACGAAGCAATTAAAAGTGGACATGAGCGAGCAGCAGCACACCTTCTATTGCCAGGAGCTGGGCACGCTGCTGATGTGTCTCATCCACATCTTCAAGTCGGGTAGGTGGCTGGGGGGCGGGGCTGGCAGCTGCAGGCAGAGCTATCCATACTGTGCGCTCGGGCCCACGCCGCTCTGTACTGGGTGCCTGGTGGGGCAGAAGACCTAGGGCTTCCTCCTGGTGTGCCGACGTGGGAGGCCAGGTGCTTCTGTTGCCTGCCCGTGACTGTGAACCATAAAGGGTTGTGAACCCAAGAAAGTTGAGAGATGCCAACATTCCACAGTCATAGCTCTGAAGTTGTAGGTCCTTGGTAGGCAGGCAGCGTTTTCTGAAAGGAGTGAGTGTCTTCGAGAGCGCCTGCCTTTCGGACAGGGCGGGTGAGGGGCTGGAAGACTTAGGTGTAGCGTGCATACCTCTCTTCCTTGCTTCAGCAAGAGCAAGAGCAACAGACGTCCAGGAAGTTGGCCCAGATACGAGGCTGACCAGAGTGTGGCCGGCTTCTCCGCAATTGGCTGGAGGGAACCCTTGACTTACAGGGGTGCCCCCTGCCTGGCTCACAAGTCATGGCCAAGGACCCCCAGCTGAGAGGCAGACGGGCACATTAGAGGCCACACTGTTAGGCAGCTGCGCCTGCCTTTGGGCACCGGGGCTTTGCTGCTGACGTCTTTGGGCATATATCACTTGGTCAGCGATCATAAGTGAGGCACGTGTGTGCTTGGGACTGAATGTGTGTCTGTGTGGGTGTGTGAGCGTGACTGGGTGTGTGGCTGCGCAGTGTTTCTGCTTCTTGGTTTGTTTAGACTGCATTTCTTTTAAAGACACTAGGGGGCAGAATTACTGTGCTGGTTTTCAGATAGAATTGAGGTAAGTCATCTTGTCCTGATATAAATGAGGTGCGTTTGGCATATAAAGTTGGTGACTTTTTTTTTTTTTAAAGATTTAGTTTATTTATTTATGCATACAAGAGCTGGGGTGCAGGCCAGAGGCGTGGGGGGAGGAGGTAAGAGTATTCACCAGAGACAGAGCGGGGAGCAGAACAGATGGATCTACTGAAATTTGGGGGACAGAAAGCCTTTGGCAAATTCTTGTCCCATCTCCCAGTGCCTTTCTCTGTGTCCATGGGGCGGAGAGGCCTACTGAGCCCTTCCTGTGCTTCCAGAGGAGGGGATGGGATGGAGTCATTTCATCCGCGGGCGGGGGGATGCCGTGGAGATGTGGGCCATCAGATGCGTCTGCTGCTGCAGGCCAGCGCTAAGTGTGGTGGCGAGCAGCCCGTGGTGGACACAGGACCACCTGCCCTCGGCTGTCCGTGCTCTGCAGGAGCAAGCCTGGCTGGCATGGGTGCTGGGCACTTGTCCTGTTCCAGCTGACCCTTGTAGTGTGTGCCCCTGGGCTTGTAAGGCAAGAGTAAGGAGCAGTGAGGGCCCTGTTTCTTGCTGCCCAGCTGTGGGGGGGCATGTCTCCTGAGCCACCAGAAGGGGGGTGGGGGCAGAGTTGTTAGCTTCCTTGGCTGTTCCAATAACTATGTGGAATGTCTTTTTTGCTTAGAAAAGTTGACATTTCCGAAGTGCCAAACACTTTGAGTATGCAAGCGTAGGAGAGGCCGGGCATGCGTCTTCATGTAAAATGTTCCCGAACTGCAAGATGCTGGACCTTGATGATCAGCAGAGACATTTTTGCTAATCTGTTTTACTTTGGTTTGTTTCTAGGAATGTTCCGGAGAATCACAGCCGCCGCCACGAGACTGTTCACGGCTGAGGCCGCTGACAGCAGCTTCTATGGGCTAGAGAGCCTGAACGCGCGGGTGTGCTCCATGGCCCCCACACACCCTGCCTTGGTGCTGCTCTGGTGCCAGATCCTGCTGCTCGTCAGCCACACCGACTACCGCTGGTGGTCAGAGGTGCAGCAGACCCCCAAGTATGTCCAGGGCTCCCCGGCCAGGGCCCCCTACATGTGCGTGCTCAGACCTGTAGCTCATGCTTCGGCCCCTGCGGAGTCTGTCCCTCGGCGACCTCCCTCCCCGGCTCTGCGAGGCGTCACTGCTGTGTCCCCTTCTGGGCCCCGGCTCAGCCACGGCCACTGCCATGTGACTTACCTGAGAAGGTCCCTGCCGCGGGCCGCCTCCTCACCCGTGTCCCTCCTGCTAGGTCTCGTCCTTAAATGGTTCCAGAGCCAGACATGTCTCAATGTCTTGATTTCATTATAAGTTAAATGTGGTTCTGGTTATTCTTAGATGATGAAGTACTTGTTTAGTGACATTTCCAAGTGGCTGGGAAAAAATACCTCACAGTCACCACGCTCGAGGCTCATACAGGGTGCGATTGCAGGCGGCCTCTCTGTAGCATGTGTGCAGGCTTGGGCCTCACTTCTCAGGTGCTCTCTGCAGAGCTGTCTGCATGTGTGTGGTGCTCAGCACCCTAACTTGCCTCCCAGGCGCATCCTGGGTGTAGCTCCTGGCAGACTGGTGTGAAGCCGGTGCCCCCCACCAGTGAGAACAGATCGTACCGTGCAGGGCCGGGAGCGCCATGGCAGTAGGCATTATTGGACGTGTGCTGCGCTCGCGCTGGTGGGTTCCTGCCCTAGAGTGCTCGCCGTCAGGGTGGGGTGCTCAGACCAGAAGTGCTTGATGAGCTTGCGGTGGGGGTGCAGCATAGGGCAGCACCTTCCATCTTATGTTTCTGAAAGGTGCATCAGCTGGGAAATCGCTGAAGTCAGGGTCAGTGCTGAGCAAGCAGCCATGAGCCTGGAGCTTGGTCTCTCTGCAAGGCTCCGTGGGTGCCAGCGCTGGGCCCTGAAGCTCTGGCTCCATGGTGTACTGCGAGCAGCAGGCCCTGAGCCCGGCGGAGTGGGCCTCAGGACAAGGGCTGCCCAGCCTCAGGCCAGTGACCAGGCATTTTAGGAGTTGGGGTCCTGGGCTCTTGTGTCTTTCCAAACTCCTGGAATACCCCCAGGGACACCGGAGTCGAGTTGGACAGGCAGGATGGTGGGTGGGACTCGAGTTAGCTTCAGTGCCAGCAAGTATTTGGGAGGGCGATGGGGAGCTAAAGGCGCCACCACCCCAGTGAGTCTCACTCAGCTCCTCCTCCTCTTCTCCCATCTCCTGTCTCTTCCTCCCCCATCTCTGTCCACTGCTGCCTCCTCCTCTCCTGACAGACCGAGGTGGTGAGGGCAGGAGGCACCTGGGGTGGCTCAAGAAAAGTGGGAGGGCTAGTGCAGTCTGAGGAAGCTGCCGCTCACTGAACGCAGGCCCCTCTGCAGAGACCCCACCAGACGCCCCCCAGGTCTGAGCCACTGGGTAGAGCTGCTTGGATAAAAAGAAACAAAGGAGCCATGAGAGCAGACGCAGGTGGTTGGTCTCCACTGTGTGGGGTCTGAGCTCCAGGCGGCCTGTGGGGCTTGTGATTCTGAGCAGGTCTTTGGAGCTGCCTGCTGAGGCCTTTAGGGGCACAGGGTCTCGGCCCACTCAAACGGTGCAAGCTAGGAAAGCGTGCAGAGGGTGCGAGTGGCGTGTGTGTGTGTGAGAGCAGAGTGCGTGACACAGCCGGTAGTTGGATCTCGGTGAAGAGCGTATCACTGTCGTCGTATTATTCTGTCAGTTTTTCTATTGGTTTGAAAGGTTTCAATGTGCAATAAGAGGAAAAGGTGGAGGGAAGAGCTGTTGCAGACCACCCGAGGAAGCGGTCTGGCTGCGGCAGGTGTCCCCGGCCAGCTGTTGGAGGCAAACTGCAGTTTTCCATAAATTCGAGTGGTTCACTCTCAGTTTTTCTTGACCCCGACTCATTTTCCTTCTCTGTGACGTTTGTTTCGCCCCCTCTGTTGTCCTGGAAGGACACTGTGGACTGTGCAGCCTCTCTCTACTTAAATTTCATAAGCTTGTGTTGTCTGCTGGTAACGTAAAGGTGGTGTGGGAGGAAAATGGTGTGTGTGGGGAGGACTTAGGTGCCAGGGCACCCCTGTGCAGGCGGGTCAGGACGCCTAGAGCAGTGCACGTCCAGGCTGGCCCCTGCCCTGGCACAGGCTCCTCCAGCTGCCTGTCATGGCGGCTGAGGGCTCTTTCCAAAGGACAATTTAAAGGAGCTCTGGGAGGGTGAACTACAGGACACAGTCCCTCTTTGATTTGTGGGTGCAGCAGGCACAGGCCTCCTCGGTGACGCTGTTGCAGGACACCAGCTGGTTGCAGGCTGGGCCTAGGCCACGCTCTGGGCACCACCACCAGGAAGCGCTTTTCTCTTAGCTGGGGACTGTGCCTTCCAGGCTGTGACTGGCCTAGGGCTTTCTCAGCTCTTGGTGGCCGGAGGGTCTGCTGCTGCCACAGCGCTGGGCATGGGTGGAGGTCGCGGCCTTCTCCCCAGGCCTGTGTGGGCGCACGTCCTGCGTCTGGATGTCCATTTGCCATCGTTACCTGCTAGCATCTGTCCTCTGGCTTGGGGGCTTGTCCAGCTGCACATCGGGACTGAATCTGAATTGAGGTGGCCCTTCGTGGGGCCTACTGCCAACCCTCAGGTGCAAGCGCACCTCTTGTCTTTCAGAGGCTCTTTCCCCAAGATGTGCTATTGCAAAACCAAACTGCAGCTCGAACGAATGCGCCCTGGGAGCGCAGGCGCTCCCAGAGCGTTAGTGTTGTCATTGAAAATGGCCGTGGTATAGGAGAATGCACCCTTTGATGCCAGCACACTCAAGTGACCGCCAGCACCCTCCACATACAGATACCCGTCACTTCCCAATTCCCTGTGGTCCCTTTACAGGCCCCCGCCCACCGCACGGTGCCTGTCGGCGTCCTTCAGCACCGCCTCTTTGGAGTTCAGCTGGTTGCTGTGGCCAGTGTGGGGCCCAGCGACCTCTGAGCAGTGGCCAGACACTCACCTATTGAAAACAGACAAATGGCAGTTTAAAAACTTGCTATATCTGTAGCATTTTTTTATCAGTTCCTCTTGTAGACCCTGCGGTGTCGCGTGAGGAGTTGAGATGACGGGGCATTTCCACCATCCCCACACCTGTTCACGGGGGCACAGCCCCCCAGCCAGGAGGGCGTGCTGTGGGACAGAACTGATGCCAGCGGGGTGGTTTGCCAGGAGCGGCGGTTGTGTAGGGTGCTGTGTGGCTTGGTCGCGGCTCCGAGGCTAATGCCCGCTTCGTAGGAAGGGCAGCATGAGTGGGGACAGCGAGTGGCCTGAGCAGTGTCCAGCGCAGGTGGGTCCTCTGAAGTGGGATCCCTACGCAGCCTGTGGCCTGAGGACCAGCCGTTCTTTGGTCACCGGATGGTAAACTTGTCGGCCAGCGGGAAGGTGTTCTTTGTGGCAGTAGACAGCGTCCGCGGCTGGTGTGCCTGGCACTGTGCCGCCACTGCCCTGCTGGCGGTCACCGGGGAGAGCTCTGAGGTGGGGAGCCACTGGGTGTTCACCTCATTGTGGATTTGGCCTTTGGTTCAGTGTGGTAATTTTCTGCCTGGAAAATCTGTTTTCTTTGGTTTTCCATATGTACTTTATCGTAGCTCAGGGATAGATGACTAAGTGTAATGCACACACATCTTTCTGATGCAGCAGAATCTAAGATAATGGGCTGCTTAGAACCGGAACTAAACATAACCTGTGTGTTTTGAAATAAGGTCTCTGCCATCCCAGAAACTTTGTGTGTCTGCTGCCCCTTCTAGAAGACGCAGTCTGTCCAGCACGAAGTCCCTGAGTCCCCAGCTGTCTGGAGAGCAGGAGGACGCTGCCTTGGTCTCCAAACTCGGGATGTGCAACAGAGAGATTGTGCGGAGAGGGGCGCTCATTCTCTTCTGCGATTATGTGGTGAGTTTGCCAACCCAGGAGCTTGAGCTCCTGCAGACTCTGTTGCCCAGCCCTGGCCTTCCTGCCACTCTGTCAGAAGGAAAACCAAAGGCAGGGCACTGTCCTGACCTGACAAGGGATCGGAAGCCAGCGCTGGCCGCCGGGTGTCAGTCTGCCCGTGGGAGGCTTGTGGCTGCCATGTGTCGCAGGTCGGCGGTGGCAGCCATACCTTCGTCACACTGGCTTTGGGACAGAGGTCCAAAGCCAGCCAAGTGCGGCCTGGAGCAGGCTCTGATTTTAAGAATTTAATCTGTGGAGAAGGGTTAGCTGCATGTGGCTGCATTTGAGATGGGTTCCTGGCTGAGTGCCATTCTTTTTAAAAAATAACTTGTGGCGTTTTTGACCATGAAGTTAGCATCACATACTAACTGTCAAAACCACAAAGCCAGACAAGCAAGGGGAGAGAGGAAAACCTCCTGCGGTGGTGTTGCCTGCTGTCCTTGGGTCAGCCCTTCTCCGGCACAGGCAGGTGCCCCCTGCACCCTGCTTCGCGGCGTGTGCCATGGAGCACCTGGCCTGTGGCTGTGGCTTGCGCTCTTTATTTTTCCAGTTTTATTATGACATAGTGGACACAACAGTGTTAGCATAAAGCCTTCTACACCATAATGGTTTGTTAAACTTTCTGAATCAAAAAGAAGTGAACTTCTTTAAATTAGATGTTATCGCAGATTTTTTTGTTGTGATAGTGATTTATTAACACTCAGTTTTTGCTTTATAGCCTTGATGTTGAAATAGTACTTCTATCTTGTTCCACTTTTGAGGAGTAATTTAATTCTATATGCTGATTTTCACAAAATTAGAAGAAAAGGTAATTTTATAAGTTAATACTGTGAAATAATCTTACACAAAAAATATTAATCATGAACCAGAGGTCACGGAATTGAGCACACGTCACGGTTTCCGCGCAGGAGTAGGGTTAGATGGAGGGCTGCTCACTCTTAAACGGCATTTCCCACTCGCTCACTGATCTGAAAATTTTCATACTTCTGTCCATTTAATATGTGGCATCCGTTCATATTTTGGATTCAGGAATTCTATCAAAACCGACAGTGACGGGGAACGCTTTTTTCTCCACTGCCGGAGGCAGGCCGGGGTGGGAGGAGCGTGCTGGAGAACGCCTGTGGGGAGGCCAGGTTGTCGCCGGGAGAGCCAGCGCGCAGGCCCGAGCGTCACGACCCTGGGCCCTGTGCTCTAGTCTTTGGCCCATAGCTGATGTCCTCTGAGCTGTGTCGCATTTCCTTGTGAGGACTGATTTCTGGAGTCCCCGGCCACAGTACCTGGGCGAGGTGTCGGCCCCATGAAGCGAGTGTCCCAGCTGCTCAGTTATGGGGTTCAGGGGCTCGATACGGCAGGGGCGTGCTTGGGAGCTTGTTTTCCTCCCAACCGCGGCCTTCCTGTGGCACCAATGTCTGGTCTCTCCGTCTGCGGGAGGGTGAGTCCGCGCCTCCTCCTCCTCCTCCTCCTCAGTGTCAGAACCTGCACGACTCTGAGCACTTGACGTGGCTCATCGTGAATCACATTCAGGACCTGATCAGCCTGTCCCACGAGCCGCCCGTGCAGGACTTCATCAGCGCAGTGCATCGCAATTCTGCTGCCAGCGGCCTTTTCATCCAGGCAATTCAATCTCGTTGTGAAAACCTCTCGGCTGTAAGTCTCCCTCTGCCGCTTTTTGCCGGTCCCCTCGGCCTTAAGAATGGAGAATTAGCATCTTTGAACTGCTGGCCTCCGGTTGGCACAATGCCCTACTCTTGTCCTTCCTTCCTCACTCATCAGCCCACCACCCTGAAGAAGACACTGCAGTGCCTGGAAGGGATCCACCTCAGCCAGTCGGGGGCCGTGCTGACGTTGTATGTGGACAAGCTCTTGTGCACCCCCTTCCGTGTGTTGGCCCGCATGGTGGACACCCTGGCTTGTCGCCGGGTAGAAATGCTTTTGGCCGCAAATTTACAGGTACTGAAAATACACTGGTGCTGCTTCTCACTGAAAACTTAGCAGGGCAGGCCGAGCAGGGCCATCCTCACTGGCTCGCCTATGTGCTGGCCAGGCGGCCCCGCCGTCCTCGCGCCTGCCCTGCGTCGCTGAGCGTGGGATTGGCCGGGCCATCCCTACAGCCCCTAACACGCTCTCTTCCGCTCCAGAGCAGCGCGGCGCAGTTGCCAGTGGAGGAGCTGAGCAGGGTCCAGGAGCACCTGCAGAGCAGCGGGCTCGCCCAGAGGTGACACGGGGGCCGCGGCTCCTGGGTGGGGATGACCGCCTGTCTCTAGGGGTGAATTCGGGACAGGGGCCTGGCTGCTGGGTAGTGGTTTTACTGCAGGGAGGCGCGAGTCGAAAGCCTTCTTAAATGAAAATGTCAGCTCTTGCCGTATAAAACGCTGGAGCACGCTGGCAGTGCCACCTGCGGCCTCGGGCGGTGGGGCGCCGGGTGTGGGGGTGCCGCACGCCTGCCAGTTCAGTGAGGCTCTGTTCTCATCCTGTGATCGCACGGAACGGGAATTACTAGCTTTATCTTAGCAAGATCTTGGCGCCTACAGTCCAGTTGCTGAATACTGGTGGGCCAGTCTGAGATGAGCGCCCCAGTTCTCGGCACGCGAGCTTTCTCTGCCTCCTGTCGCCACTGTCTTCTAGCCAGTTAGCACCTCACTCTGGTTCAGAGCCTCTCAGAGGCCTTCGTCGGAAACCCTGACACCTTATGTGAGTGTCGTTCCAGGACCACAAAGTAAACAGGGTGTCGCCGTCTCTCCTTCGTGGGGGACGGGAGCCGGCCTGTGGTGCTGTGACTCCGCTCCCAGAGCCGCCGGCGCGTGGTGGGCAAGCGCATGTGCTTTGGGCTGCGGGCTCGGCGCGCCGGCTGAGGAGCCCTGTCATTTGCATTGTAAAGTAGTCACTCGCGCAGCAGATGGTGGGAGGTCAAACTATTATTTTTTGACCCTCGGCTTAGTATTCAGCCCAGATGGGGAAGATTATAACTATCTTGTGCCAGACGAGGTGATTCTTCCATGAAATGAACATAAATTAGCATAAATTGTCTTGTTGGGAGATTAAATAGGACATTTCATGCACTCGGCTCTTAGAGGAGATGATCTGTCCTGTGTGCATGAAGATGCTTTTGTGAGCTGTTGCACCATGACTGCCTGTGGTCGTGTTCGAGCGTAGATGAAACCTCTGAGAGATGTTTATGGAGTGCAGACTCTGGTCATTAAAAGTAAAGCAGTGTCTAAAGCTGCCTCTGACTGGCTTCGAGGCGGGTGAGGAGGAACTCTGAAGAGGAAGTCCGGGTGCATGGCGCCCTCCTGCTCTGCCCTCAGCTCTGACCCCACCGCGCTTGCCTTGCAGACACCAGCGGCTCTACTCCCTGCTGGACAGGCTTCGTCTGGCTGCTGCGCCAGGGTCACGCGGCCCCTCTCCTCCACTCACGTCCCACCCGCTGGACGGGGATGGGCCCCTGGCACTGGAGACAGTGACTCCGGACAAAGTAAGTGTCCACAGGTGTTGTGTGGGGCCCACTGTGCACTGAGCCCCTCTTTCCTTCCACAGCAGACCCAGAGTGCGTGGCTGGGTGGCTCAGGCGGCAGGGTGACCTGGTTTTTGGCCTGGGCAGGGCTACCTCCCTGATCAGAGGCCTGAGGTTGTTAGCAGCTTTAGGCAGGGTGTGGCGTGAGAAGGGACATGCTGGCTTGGGGCACTGGTGGCTGGCCGGGAAGGTCAGGACAGGTGCTGGGCAAGTCAGGAGATGGCCTGGGCCTGTGGGCTTCCGCTGCCGTCACCTTCGAGGGCACATCGCCCGGCCATCTCCCTCTCCTGTGTCTGCCGACCTTCTGCTAAAGGCCCCCCCAAGGGTCCTGGTGTTGCTTTCTATTGAGTCACACCACTCACCTCCCAGCCCAAGAGACCCTGCAGGCCTTAGTACACTAATTTTCTGGAGTGAGTTCCACTTAAATATGAGTTGGGGACTCAAAAGCCAGCGCCCCAGGTGTAGACTACAGCCTCTTCTCAGGCTCCCTGCGTTAGGCGCCTGCGCTGCACTGTTCCCGGGCGGAGACCAGCCCCTGACACTGGCGGGGGGCAGGCAGTGTCACGCCAAGTACAGGGAGAGGAGAGGGCTGGGCCGGAGGGTGGCCCGTGACCCTTGGTGCTTCCAGCTGAGTTCGAAAGACAGGCGGACGTTGGCCCCATGAAGGGAGGACAGGGTATCCCTCTGGCCTGTGCCAGCCGGTGCCAAGCCCGGTGGGAAGGGGCATGTGGTGAGGTGAGTGGCCTCCCCAAAGTCCTCATGACAGCTGCGTTCCAAGTCAAGGGGCGCCTCTTGCTTGGGTCTGGCACTTTGGGCCTCAGGGACAGGGCTGAGGAACAGTCACGTCCAGTAGGGAGCCTGCCCTCCATGGTCACCTCTCCTCCTTCCCAGGACTGGTACTTACGTCTGGTCAGATCCCAGTGCTGGACCAGGTCGGACTCCGCGTTGCTGGAAGGTGCGGAGCTGCTGAGCCGCCTCCCCTCCGGGGACATGAGTGCGTTCATGCTGGACTCGGTAGGCGGCGCTGGGACCCTCCTTGATCCGTGGCTGACGCCGCAGCGCGGGGTCACTGTCATGCAGCCTTGCTCCGGGGTCCGCTCCCCTTTCTGCTTTAGTGGTGGGGGCTCCAGAACAGAGGGGACAGGTTCTTTTCAGCCACGTTAGAATCCAAGAGGAGGCAAGCTCTGTTCATTCAATTTTTCATGCATTTAAGAAAATGTCTCCTTGCGTGGCCATCAGGGAAGTGGCCTCTTGCCGTGGTGAGGAGGGAAGGCATTGGGGAGGGCCGCGCGGCTGTCTCGGTGGCATTCTGGAAAGTGATCTTTAACGAGCCCCCTCTCTGGAGGCGGTGAGCCCTCTTCCCTGTGAGGCTGGCGAGGTGCCCTGCCCCGGCCTCCCCTGCAGGCCTGGAGCAGTGAGCCGCTAGCGCCAAGGGTGTGCTCTCGACCCCCCACACCCCCACGAGGAGGCCGCCCACTTCCTGGTGGAAATGAAGACACAGACGTGCTTGGGGTCCCGCCTCCCTATGAGGCCACGTTCAGGGCCAGGGAGCAAAGCGAGCGGTTGAGAGCGCCTCCCGGAGTGGGCGAAGACAGCCCTGCAGAGCCTGCTCCGCAGACTGAGTCTTCATCGCTCTGAAAACAGGCGCTCCTTTGGGAACAACAGAGGCCTGAGTCACTTTGCCGAACCATTTTAAAACCCGTTCAGGGGGAGCTGATTTGCTTAATGACCCATTGATTGTATTTTCCAAATTGACTTTAATTGGACTTTTAAGGCTTTAAAGGCTCTGACTATAACAGAAAGTTCCAATTTTAGTCTCTGCCAGCGAAACAGCCATTTCCATTAGCTAAATGAAGTTAACTGTTAACTACCTGAGATGCTGACCCCAAAAAAATCCTCCAGAGGTTTTTCAAATGTTGGCAAAGCAAACTAACTGAAACATCCTGCAGAATGTACTCTTCCATCCAGCACTTCGGCATTTTGTCACAGTTTTATTTTAGCTGCTTCTGAACATAACTTAGCTTTTTCAAATTTCAGCAATGTTTGGTGATTCGCTGATTTCTTGCATGGCCTGTCAGCTCAATTTTATGTTTTCATCAATTAAAATTTCCTTGTTACATTTTCAAACAAATCTGAAGATGTAAAAAAAAAAATCACAATACTCAATTCAAATTACAGAACCCCCAAAAGACCAGGAATATCTTCTTCACCAAGCATACGTCAAGTGGCATTGCTCAATTATTTGTAACCGAAGTGGGATTTATTCTAAAATACATTTTTGTGGGCTACTAATCTGTGTTTTCTTAGAAAGGTTTGCATTATCCTTCCTGCTTTTGTGATCTTCTCCCCGACTGAAAACTGACGATTGTTGTTGGGCCTTTAATGCCCTGACTCAGGAGTTCAACCTCAGCCTGTTAACCCCGTGCCTGGGCCTGGGCCTGCGTGAAATTTCTGGCGGCCAGAAGAGCCCCCTTTTTGAGGCGGCGCGCCTGGTGACCCTGGAGCGCGTGAGCGGCACGGTGCAGCAGCTCCCCGCCGCCCATCAGGTTTTCCAGCCCGGCCTGCCTGCCGAGCCCACTGCCTACTGGAGCAAGCTGAGCCATCTGTTTGGTAATTAAAACAAAAGCTGCTGTTACTCTTTTAAAATCCGGCAGAGCCAGCACAGTGCTTTGCGCTGAGCGAAGTGCAGCGAACGCTGTTGCTCTGATCAGTGGAAAGTGTTTCCCGGTAGCTGGGCTCTCAGGTCTAATGTCTGTGGGGTGTGTGTGCCTCTCTGCCACGGTTGCGGTAGTCTGGGTCCCAGGCCCTGGAGAAAGCTGGGGCTGGACCTCAGGAGCGGCAGTTTGGGGTACGTGCCGATGTGCTTCTGAGGAGCCTGCTTTCAGCTTCTGGGAGAAGTTCCGAGAGTTGACTTCAGTTGCCCGGCCCCTGCTAGCCTTGCGCCCACCACCACTCTCTTTCAGGAGATGCTGTGCTGTATCGGTCCCTGACCACACTGGCCCGGGCCCTGGCCCAGTACCTGCTGGCCTTGTCCAAAGTGCCCGGCTATTTGCACCTTCCTCCTGACAAGGAAAAGGACACTGTCCAGTTTGTGGTCATGACCCTGGAGGTAAGAGGCAGCTCGGAACCCAGTGTTTCTGTGTGCAAGGAAGGAGGTTCCCCCTGAGAAGCGAGAGCCATGTCGGGGGGCACATCGTGATGTGGGCATCTGTTCCCTTCATGCGGAGATGCCTTTGATTTTAGGACAGAGCACCTAAAATTTTTGTCCAGAAAAAAAGAAGCAACACAATTACAATTACAATTTGGGATACTTAAGACACCTGGGAAATTCATTATATTTCAAATTGAGCATAAACCTGAAAGCTGATTGTGGCATTGTGGCGCACTGGCTTTCTATATAAATCTTCTGGAAAATAGTGTCTGGTCTGCATCCTGAACGCCAAAAAGCTGAACTGGTACCCTGGCCAGCTCCGGGATGCAGTGAGCCCTGGCCCACTGCAGCAGAGAGAGGGAGAAGCTGCCAGGAGCCACTTGTGAGCAGAGGCTGGGCCGAGGCAGATTGCTCTCGGGCCTGGCCGTTGGGGTCCAGGGTGGTGGAAGCAGCTGCAGAGCGTGTGGTTATGGCTCCCTTGGGTGCCTGCCATGCACGGGACACACGTGGTACTGCTTCATCCCTGCCCAGTGGGCTGTTGTCCCCACCTAACAGCTGAGGAGGAAGGGGTTTAGGGCTTTGCTGCTTTCCCAGGCTCGCCCAACTAGGACGTAGTCCCTCTGGCCATCGGGAACCACAGAATCAGCCTCTGAGCGCAGCGAAAGCCACCAGGCCTGTGCTTCGGGAGCCCCGGGAGGGCCTGGGGTTGGGTTGCCAGGAAGGGTTCTAGCGGAGCCCAAGGAGCTGAGATCGGGAGCAGCGAGAGCGGAGGGGAGCAGGCGTCTGGGAGTGGGTGGTGAGTCATTACTGTGAGAGCAGGGCCGCAGCGACCAGGCGTGGGGCTGCCCCAGAAGCACCTGAGACCTGGCTTTCCCCACAGGCGCTGGCGTGGCGTCTGGTCCACGAGCAAATCCCGCTGAGTCTGGACCTGCAGGCAGGCCTGGACTGCTGCTGCCTGGCCCTGCAGCTGCCCGGCCTCTGGAGCACACTGTCCTCCCCGGCACTGGTGACCCAGGCCTGCTCCCTCATCCACTGCGTCCGCTTCCTCCTGGAAGCCAGTGAGTCCATGCCCACTGCCCTGCCCTGCCCAGCCGTGAGCACACACCTAGGTCACGGGCTTTGTTGCTGTTTGATTTTGTGCCCTCTGTTTGCTGGGTGCTGAGTGAGGAATCCGGGGAGAAAAGGTGGATAAAATATGGGCTTTGCCTTCACCTCCAGTACCTTGGAGTCTACATTTGCATTCGTTGGAATTTGCTTTTGTAGCCATTTTGTTTAGATTTTGGTGCTCCGCTCTCGTAGCAGTGCTTAGGGTTTTATATTCCTTTGAGCTCTGCTCCTACTTGGCTGTTTCATGCTTTTAGTCCTTAATGACCTTAAGATTACTAAGGTTACGATCAAAAGATTACTTGTTTTCTATTATAGCCGAGACGACTGTTTCTATACCTCGTTGTAAGACTCATGCATTGTAATGCTGACGTGACGTTCTTTTCACGGATGGTGTCCTCAACGAGGGTCATGAGCCAATTTTTTTTTCAAGTTGGACATTTTAGGTTACATGTTAGAGGGTGTTTTGAAGTTTTGTATTTTTAAATTAAACATAGAGGGGTGTTTTGAAGTCTCATTGTTTAAATTGTTTTCATCTGTGCATTTGTGGCCAGCTTAAGAACGAGGACCCGGGGAGCGGTCTCTGAGCAGACTGCTGGGGCGCCGCGCCTTGAGCCGGGAGGGGGCGTCGCTGTCCAGGGCCTGCGGGCAGGCGCCACACAAGCTGGGAGGACTGGCCCTCGGGGAGTCGGCGCCCTGGCCCTGTGTGCTCAGGACCAACCCAGAGCCTCGGTCCCTATCGGGCCCTGTCTCGTTTCTCCTGCTGTCTGAAGGTGGTTCTGGGACATCTAGGTCTCATTTGGCAGTCTGTCACTTTGACAGATGTGAAGATCTGAGTTAAAAGGGAGGGTAAAAGCATTTGCGATTTCTTTTCTTTGCTCCACATGCCTTTAGTTGTAGTGCAGCCCGGGGACCAGTTGCTCAGTCCGGAAAGAAGGACAGATACCCCAAAGGCCTCCAGGGACAGCCGAGCAGATTCAAACACTCAGAGTAAGTGTCAGCTTCTCTGCCTTCTCTCTCTGGGGGCAGAGAGTCGCTCACAAGAGAGAGAGGTTGGAAGCACGCACGCTGGGCAGCGGGCTGTGCCCTGGCTGCCTCCCACGACCTGCCCCAAGGTCAGGGCGAGTCCGCCTCCCTCGCCTGCGTACTGCGCTCTGCCCGCCCAGTCTCAGAGCAGTGGGTCTCAGCCCCGGTGCCCTCTCCTGCCTGGCCACCGGCGTGCCCCACAGAGCTCCCTGCTGTTCCTCCCCTGAGAGCTGGGGGGCCGCGGGGGAGGTGGAGAGGGCCCCTCTCCATCTCCTGCCGTGAGTGTCCGCAGATGCTCTGGAGCTGCTGGGACTCAGCGTTGGGGGTCACCCCACGTGATGATAGGCACCCTCAGTGTCTGCTTGTGCCATCTATTTTGGGTGGATTTCTAAATGAAAATTCCTACTCTTTGTACAAAAAAACCCAGCCCACCTCCCACCCAGGCCTCTCCTGGACTGAGACACGCACCCTAATTTTTATGTCCTTCTCCCGCTTCAGCTCTCGTGCATTAATGGCGGGGGGCAGTGAGGCAGGGTGGGGGGAGGTCCGTGGGCTGTGACTTTGTACCAGGGCCTCGGGGCCCCCCGGCCACGCCTGCTGATGCCAGCCCACGGCCCGAACCATGGACAGAAGCCAGCACCCCGCCCCCACAGTCCTCGGGAACTCTCTCACCCGAAACACGAGTGCTGTCCGTGTGCCTGGCTTGAGAAGCATGCCTTTTCCGTAACAAGCACACAGCTGCTTTGGGGCTTGGGGCTAGCTTTTCTGCAGTTCGGTTAAGGGTGGAGTTTTCCTGTCCTTAGTATCAAGCCAGCATAGCAATTTTTTCTTGTTAACCTGCCCAGGGCTTGATAGTTGCATGACCGCCCAGAGTGTCCCAGCTCCGCTGAGTGTTTCTCTTGATGGTGCGTGTGGTGTGAGTGTGTGGTTTCCCAAGCCCTGAGTGTGTGGTTTCCCGACTGTTGTTGGTCCCTGAGGTCGTGCAATCCCCACTTCCCCATGCAGCCACTTTCTAGTGGGGGCGGCAGGCGCACCCCTCCACCCTGTGCTTCCGCAGGGAGAACAGTCCCGAGAGGGCTGGGGTAGGTGAAGGAGGCTAAAGTCACCCCCTCAAAGGCCTGGAACCAGCCCCACCTGGCAAGGAGCCTTGTTGCCAGTTGTGTCGTCCCGTCCCATGCCACCCCCCGCCCCCCCCCCCCCCCGGAGAGTGAGCTGGAGGCCTGTGCGGCACGTGCTGGCAGGCTGGTGCCACTGTGCTTGTTCGCCCTGGCGCTCCCCTTAGCAGGGTGATTCGTCCTGGGCAGGGAAGAAGCTTGCTTTTTTTTAATATCGTTTCACTACCACTTCGAGATTGTCCAGTAAATATTATTAAACACAGTTCCATCTCTCTCCACTTGGGACATGATGCCTTGAATCCAGTGGGGGCGCCTCCTTGTACTGGGGACATGCAGGCCGGCTAGGCTTGCTGATCATTGTTATACTGGCCGCCCTGCGAGCACTTCCCTGGGCCTTCTCCATGCCAGACTCTGGGGACTTAGCAGCCGTCCAACCCTGCAGGCCTGTGCCTTTTCTCACCTTTGCCAGAACCACGTTTGGGGGACTCAGCCAGCTCAGAAGCCCTGATCTTGGGGAAAGAGTGAACTGTGGGGTGGCAACGTGGTTCTTTGTGTGCAACTTAGAGCCAAGCACAGGCCCTGGGAGAACCAGAGAAAGTCCAGGCATGGGCTGTGGTTGGGAGGGCGGGACAGGCATCCTGTGGGGGGTTTGGGGCTCCCGGGTAACACTGCATCATGCAGGTGGCTGGGGCTGGCACCAGAGCCAGGAGACTAGGTCCAGGAGGATGGCTGCCTTCCTGGCAGGTGGATGTGGAGGCTCCACGTTTCAGACTGGAGCCACCAACTCCAGGGGTGTCCTCTGTACCTGGCGGGCAGGGGGAACAGGCCCAGAGGTGCTGGGTTTGGGTACGATTGGACCGAGCAATCCTCCCTTACCCACGTGCTTGTTTAGCCCCCAAGTACCTGGCTGCAGCCTGTGGGATGGTGGCGGAGATGGTGGAGGCCCTGCCCTCAGTGTTGGCTCTGGGCCATCAGAGGAACAGCAGCATGCCCGCCTTCCTCACGCCTGTGCTCAGGAACATCGTGGTCAGCCTGGCCCGCCTGCCCTTCGTCAATAGCTACACACGCATCCCCCCACTGGTGAGTCTGACCGCGCTTCTGCAGAGGATCTGGAAAGCCAGGTGCCTGGCGGGCCCTGGCAGCATCTGCACAGGAGGACCTGGCACCTGCTTGGCTTCTGGACGTGATGCCCGGCTACGGCTGGGAATGTCTAAAACGGACAAGGCGTTGTATCGCGTCAGATGCCCCATCCACTGCAGATCTTACTGTGGGATGGCTCCAGTAGGAACTGGCGTCACAGTCGACCGCACCCTTCTAGCAGGCGTGGTTGTGCAGTTGCACAGGGTGTCTGCAGAGGCCTCTGCCGTGTCTTTGGGCCTGGGCTCCAGGAGAGCCCCTGTGGCCTCCAGCAGGCCATGTCCGTCAGCACTGGGAGCTCACAAAGCAGGTTTGCTGAGAGTGTGGGGTGGGGTGGGGACGGAGGGTGGACTGACCTGTCCCCTCCCCAGGGCCCAAAATCAGAAACCGGATGGTGTGCCACGCCGCAGGGCTGGCTGCCTGGAAGAGACTCCCAGGACAGGAAGTGCTGCTGGTCCCTGCCCCGCAGAGGCCGGTGCTCTTGGGCCTCGCCGAGCTGCCATGCTGACCTGAGGACACTTTCTTCTCATCCTCTCAGGTGTGGAGGCTTGGATGGTCACCCAAGCCAGGAGGGGACTTTGGCACTGTGTTCCCCGAGATCCCTGTGGAGTTCCTGCAGGAGAAGGAAGTCTTCAAGGAGTTCATTTGCCGCATCAATACTCTAGGTACTGGACCCTGTGCAACTCCTCAGGCCCTCGCAGCCAGATGGGGCTCCTCGTGGTGCTCACGGGCGCTAATTGCATGTCATGGAGGGTGTGGGCACGGTGCAGCTGTGCATGAGTGTGTTCTGCAGTGTCCATGAAGCCATTACTGTGGGGCTCGACGTGGATTCAGGCCCAGGTGCACACAGTGTCCAGTCTCGGCCCCAGGTGGGGCTGGTTGAGTGTCGGCCAAGGTCAGGGCAGGTGCCCCTGCAGTGGGCCCTGTGAAGCCGGTCCAGCCTTTGCTGCGTGCAATGCACACACATGGTGGAGTGGACCTGTGTCTAACCCTCGCTGCCACCCCTCTCCTCCGACCAGAGCAGGCATTTGGGGCAAGGGGTGACTCCACAGGAGAACCCACGGGTCCTTTCAGCCTCTGGACCTCAGTGTTGGGCCCTGTCTCATGGATGCTGCACACGCAGCCCCAAGTGTCAGCACCAGGTCCCTGACGCGGCAGGCCTGTCTCTCCCCAGGACTCCCCTCTGTCCCTGCAGAGGCCCCCCTGCGGGGGCCCTGTCTCTTCCCACTCGTGACCGGAGGCCTGAGGAGGTGGCAGGATTGTTCTTGCAAATCCCCGTGGCTTTGCCTCCCAGGGCGTTCCGGCATGGCTTGCATGTGAGAGCAGCATGGCGCCGCTCTGCCCCTCTCCCGCCCAGCCAAGTGCAGGTGCTGAGGGCCCAAGGGAGGCTCAGGCAGCTGATGCCTCACTAGCCCACGCATCTGGGAAGGGTCACGCTGCGTCTGCCCGCGGCGCCTGCTCCTCCCTGCCGTGCCCCCGCCTCTGACTGCGGGCTCCTTGTTTGAATTGTCGGTCGAACCTGGGTGCTTAGACAGTGTTCATTGTCTCGTGTTTGCCTTTGCTGTGCCCCCTTGTCTGTGCTCGTTCTCCTTCCCCGTGGAAATGGCCACACGTGTCCGCCTGGATCTCGCTTACAGACCCTCTGTGTCGGGTGCCTTGCCCAGCCTGGGCCCCTTGGTCTCTCTGCCTCTGTCCCGTTCACCAAGGCGATCCTGGTGCTTTGGTTTTCCTGTCCTTGAACCCCCTCCTGTCACCTGGAGTCGTAGTGCAAGGGGCACAACTCGCACTCCCCACGCCCACGGTCATGAGTGGACACGGCACAGCCTGGACTTGGCTGTCAGGGGAGCGGCTCATCCCCAGTGCTTCCTGCTTACAGCTCTGTTTTTCATAGGTTTGCTTCTAGAGGGGGTCAGGGGAAGCATTGCTTTCCCTGTGTCTGGACCTGCTCTGTTGGGGAGTGTTCACACACCACACCCACTCAGGGTGCCCGTCGGTGGGCTGTGCTTCTCCGTGGGGTATACGTCACGGCCTCCAGAGGACGGGCGCCCCTGGAGAGAAGTGGCTGCGGCTCTGCGCTCGTGCAGGAGCTGCCACTGGACCACTCTTTGCTGTGCCAACGCTGCCAGCTCCGCCACCGCCTGCGTCACTGCCGTGGGGGCTTTGTGTCCTCACCGGCGACCTGAGGCTGCCACTGTGGCCGCCTGATGGACCTGGTGTGGCTGCGCTGGTACCCCTGGGCAGTTCCCATCCCTTCTCTGGGTGGCCACTGTGTGGGGGGTTTGAGTAGGGACCCTGTCTCATTCCCCTGTGCTTCCTAGGGTGGACCAGCCGGACCCAGTTTGAGGAGACATGGGCCACTCTCCTTGGTGTCCTGGTGACTCAGCCCCTGGTGATGGAGCAGGAGGAGAGCCCGCCAGAAGTAAGACCCCATGCAGGCAGGAGGCAGCAGATCATGGCGGCCTGTCCCAGCCCGGTTGTGGCAGCAGCCACCTGAGTTCCGACTGGTGTTCCAGAGCAGGAGCACAGGCCCAGGTCTGGGCATCCTGGTGCTGGGGCTGGAGTGCATTTTCTGGTCAGTGGATGCCAGCAATCCAGGGCCGCCCCGGTCCTGAGGGCGTGCTCCAGCTGTGGGTCCATTCCGGGCGTGTTGCAGGCCTGACCCAGTGAAGTGGCCCCGCCTGTGCTCCACGCCCCTGCTCTTGGTTGTCTTGCCGGGATTTCATCAGGCCTCCTGAAGTGCTCAGCCATGTTAACCATGTCGACCACACCGTGCTCTGGTGACTTAGTGAGGCCTGACAGAGCGAAAACCACAGGCTGCAAGTCCTTGGCTCTGATTGAAGTTGCGGTGTGAACGTGCAGAACCGCACGCAGGTCACCCTTGGGAGCGAACGTGTTGTCATATGCTCAGGCCTTAAACTTGGGGAGATTTTCTTGGACAGCTGTTCAGAAAGCCACTCCTGTCTGGAGTTTGTGCCTGCAGGAGCCATGCTCGGGAGGGCAGACACTCGCCTTCACTCCACCCGCCCATCCCACTGCGTGTGGGCTGCGGTGGCCCCGGGGGTGGGGGTGCTGTGTGCCAGGCAGGGTTGGTGGCCAATACCTGGCTGCCTGTGACTGAGCACATGTGGGCCCTTGCAGGAGGACACGGAGCGGACACAGATCAATGTCCTGGCCGTGCAGGCCATCACCTCTCTGGTGCTGAGTGCCATGACCGTGCCTGTGGCAGGCAACCCCGCTGTGAGCTGCCTGGAGCAGCAGCCTCGGAACAAGCCCCTGAAAGCTCTCGACACCAGGTGGGCCTGAGTTCCCAGCGTACATGGCGGGGAGGGAACGGCGAGGTACCCTCACCCCACCTGGGCAGGTGACAACAGCTTCAGCAGGACCCTCCCCTTTGTTGCCAAAAATTGAATAGAACACCATGTGCCTTGCGTGGCTGCGAGAGGTACAAATCCGGCAGGGACCTTGCCTGCCCCCCCCCCCCACCCCGTGGCAAGTTGCAGTGAGGCGCAGAGTGGTAAGGCCCATGAGTGCGTGGAGCCTGGCGGGAGAGCTGGGCTGATTTAACCCCTGCACGGGCCACGTGGGCAGCGGCGTGGCCATAGAGCGTGCGCGGTGAGCTGGCGCGGGAGCCTGTGTCTCTTGAGAAAACCCGGGCGCGTCCGGTGTGCTTCACTTGGATGGTGTTGAAGAAAGCAAATTGTTTTTTAATATTTCATTTGTTCTGAATTTCAGGTTCGGGCGGAAGTTGAGCATCATCAGAGGGATCGTGGAGCAGGAGATCCAAGCCATGGTGTCAAAGAGAGAGAACATCGCCTCCCACCACCCATACCAGGCGTGGGACCCCGTCCCCTCTCTGTCTCCGGCCACTACAGGTGCGTGTGGGGCACGGCCTTCTGTCCCTGGGCCCGAACGACGTGTGCCTAGGGGCGTGGCAGAGGACCTGAGTCAGGGCTTTTTTCAGAGACTGCGGCACTGACCGTGCCCTCTGAATTCTAAGCTGAGTCACGTGGGGCGGGGAGACTAAAGGCCTTGAGCAGTCCAGTCCAGAGCTGAGCTGGCGCTGTCTGTGGCGCTGGGGTCCTCAGCCAGGCTGGCAGGCCTGAGGGATTCCAGAAGCTTTCCCAGTGCCTGTGTTGAGAGCCAGCAGAGCCCCCTGGCTCTGTGGGGCGTATCAGTGGGGCAGGGCCCACAGCACACTGGCCGCGGCTGCTGGCCCAGAGCGCCTGGAGGACATCACCCAGGTTAAAGGAAGGGTTTTGGTTTTTTTAATTGTGCATGTTTTTGTGGGACAAGCCACACAGGTAGGAAATGTGTACAGTTACATTGCGTTTGCAGACTGAATTGTCGTGTTGTGAAAGTTTGTGTCTTTTTTCCTTTTTTCTTTCTACTTTATTATATATTTTTTCAATTTCTTTTTTCCCTTGGTTTTCTATGAGAGAGGGGTTAAAAAGGTTTGGTTTACTTTCAGCCCAGAGCTTTTTCTTGATTCCTTGGGTTTTAGACTTTGTGAGATCCTTGAAAGCTTGGCCCGCACACGGTTCTGTGTGGAGTGCGGTGTGCTGCACACCCGGGCGCGTCCAGGCTGTTGGCGTGAAACGAGGGCTGTGAGCATGGGTGCCCGGTCCCTCAGGGAGCTCACGGCCAGTTGGAGACGTGAAAGATGCCGCAGAGCAGGGGCGAGTAGGCCAGAGAGGCACCCAGCGCTCCTCCGGGAGCTGAGGGGAGCAGGTGCTTCCAGGGACTCGGGGGACTTCTGCCAAGAGGGTGTGTTGCCACTAGACCTGCCCAGGGGCTGACCCCTGCAGGGAGAGGGGTGCTGGGCGGAAGAGTGGGAGGGGGTGAAAATCGGGGGGTGGGGGAAGGTGGTGGACTGGGGCCTCGTTGGCACAATGGACGAGCAGCGGCCAAGTCAGGGTCCTGGGAGGCACTGCCCGCCGAAGTGGTCTCCTGAGCCCCGGAGGCTTGCCTGCTGCCCGGCCCGCAGCGGCCGGCCTGAGCACTTCTTTGGCTCAGCCCACCCCGGCTCCTGGTAGCCGCAGAAGCTGAGGGAGGGCCTAGAGCACCGTGGCCTTCGCCCTCATCCCACTCCACCCTGCCGGCCGGCCCCGTGGGGGCCGATAGTGACAGAGGGGCCCCGAGGCCCGCGGGTGACGCCCAGGCAGCTCCGGAGGTGAGTCACTCGCTGTCCCTGCAGGCGCCCTCATCAGCCACGACAGGCTGCTGCTGCAGGTCAACCCCGAGCGGGAGCTGGGCGACGTGAGCTACAAGCTGGGCCAGGTGAGCCCGCCCCATCCGCCTCCACTGCCTGCCCTCCCCGCAGCTGCCCCCCGCCCCCCATGAGAGCTGAACGCACCGTCTGCAGGAGAGGACCTTCCCTTTTGTTCGTCTGCTTGTGTTCTCCCAGCACACACACCCTGATGCGAGCTGTGTGAATTAGACTTAGGGGAGATGGCGGGGCGACCAGGTCCAGACCTCCCGCTCTGACGCCAGGAACGCACCCACCACGCAGCCCCGGGTCAGCCGCGATGCGGTGGCGTGGGCCGGGCTGGGCCGCACTGTTGCCTTGTGCCCTCTCTGCCCGTGGTGCTGGTTACTTAGACGCGGCCACATGGGCCTTCCAGGAAGAAGCTGATCAGAGCAGTGTCGGGATTAGCTTGAGGCCACAGCGAGCAGCACAGGCCGCGCCCCCTCGAAGTCTGGGGACCGCGTGTCACAGTCTGTCCTCCCACGTCGTCCCCTGTGAGCGCCACGCCACAGATGGACGCCCCCGTTCTTGGTCCCTCAGCGAGCTCTCCACCTGTGCGAGAGCCAGTGCACTGGGAGAATCGGATGCCGTCTTACGGACGTGTGTTTTTGAGGGGCAGGCTGAGGGAGGAGCCTGGGGCTGGCTGGGACCACGGTTCCTGTTCTGGGGACTGCTGGCCTTTGCCGGTCCGTGCTCCCACTAGCCGTGAGATCTGCGCGTAGAGGGTTTTGACAGGGCTGAGCTAGGGCGCCACCCCTGCCCTGTCGGGGATCCCCTCTGTGCTAAGCCACCACTGGGTTTGGGGAGGGGGTTGAAACAGGGAGTGGGGTGTCACTCCTTCAGGGCCTGAGGGTAGCAAATAGGGAGTCCATTTCTCTGCAGTCCAGCAGATCCAGGGCCGTTCCCCCTGCCTGCCCACTGCAGCCGAGGCCGGGTGTTTGTGCAGAGGGAGGAGGGCCAAGCCGCTTGCTGGAGGGCACAGCTGCACAGCCCTGTTGACTCGCCGCGTTTCCCATGGACAGGCTGCCAAGGAAGGGCGTCTTGGGGCTCTGGGGGATGGCGGGACAGTGGGTTAACCGCCTCCACGGGAGGCACCCTCCAGCTCCCCGCCGCCCCGGCAGAGCTTCAGAACACGCGCAGACCCTCTCTTGCATTTTCAAGTAATCCAGGGACTCAGCACAAATGACCCGTTTCGAAAAGAAATTTGTCCTGGGACCTCAAGTCCTATCTAGGGGCCCTTCAGTTCCCCCCTCAGCTGCCCCCGCGAGTTGACCACCCCTCATTCCTGGCTTTGGCCCGAAAGCTGGGGTTTTCTGTGTCCGGGCTCGGGGTCCTGCGCTTCTGCCTGTGGGCTGGCGGCTCTGAAGCAGCCTGCTGGGCCCCGAGTGTGAAACCGCGTGTACGTCTGTCCAAGGTGTCCATCCACTCCGTGTGGCTGGGGAACAGCATCACCCCCCTGCGCGAGGAGGAGTGGGACGAGGAGGAGGAGGAGGAGGCCGACGCGCCCGCGCCGTCGTCACCGCCCACGTCTCCAGTCAATTCCAGGTCGCCGCCGGGCTCTGTTTAAAGCGTCTGAAATGTCTTCCTTTCGCGTGATGGGTCCGGGGGCCTCTCACACGACCTTATGCCAGGGGTCACTGTCCCACATGTTCTGCAGGAAACACCGGGCCGGCGTTGACATCCACTCCTGTTCGCAGTTTCTGCTTGAGCTGTACAGCCGCTGGGTCCTGCCGTCGGGCCCAGCCCGGAGGATGCCCGTCATCCTGATCAGCGAAGTCGTGCGGTCTGTGAGTCCATCCGCCTGCCCCTCGTGCCGGGGCGGGGGCTGGGGCGGGGAGCCGTGCGCAGGTGCACGTGCGCACACACCCCCCTAGGGCCTTCCAGTGAGCGAGCAAGCTCTGGGGGTCAGAGGGTGCAGAGACCCGTCTCTCAAGCCAGCGGGTCCTCTCCCGCCCTGCCGGCGCTCCGCTCGGGTCCAGGGCAGCATCGTGGGAGTCCCAGCGCTCTCTGCCTTCTGGGTCCCCCTCCCCATCCCCGTCTCTGTCCTCAGGGGCCGTGACAGGCAGCCCGAGCCCGAGCACTCTCAGTCACTGCTTACTGAGTGCCATTGCGCCACCCCTGCCGCCTGCCCGGCGGCTACGGTCGTGGGACACGGGCCTGCCTGTGCGCGGACCCGGGAGCACGGCTCCACCTCCGCAGCCTGGGCCTTTCTCTTTACCCGAAGGCATCTCCTCTGGCAAGGACGACTTGTTCTGTTCCTTTTAACTTGGTTTTTCTCAACATGCCTTTAAGGCTTTTTAAGTTGTTTCATATCTGGTAAGTTGAGGCTTGTAAAAACCTCATTTTCAATTGAAAGTTTTAGCTGTCTTGTTTTTTCAGGGAAGTCTTAGTGTTTCTGAAAAAGGTTACTCATTAGTCCATTTAAAAATAAGTGATAGCACTTTTTTTTTTTTTTTTTTTAAAGTAGCATTTTCTTTAACCGGTGGAAAGAGCCTTGCATGAATTTTGCTGCCCATTTCTTCAGTAACTTGCTCTTGAGAGGACAGCTGGACACCCCTGTGTCCAGCCAGCCAGCTCTGGGGAGGAGGGTGCACAAACCCGGGCTCTGTGTCACTGCGGAAGCACCTTGGCCCCTGCAGAGCTGCTCATTGGGCCCCGTGCTGGCCCGCCGGACTCCACCTGCTCTGGCCTCCGCGGACATGTGTGCGCCCCCGTGACGTTTGCTCTGCGGTGTGGTGTGAAGATCACGGACGCCTGAACATCTTGGGGAGGCCAAAGAATCTTCACCAAAGCAGTCGTTTCTGTGGCCCTCGGCGGCTCGTCTGTGCCGGGGCTTCCACGCTAGGGGTGGCCTGGCCTTCTAGCGGCTCCAGCCCTGTCGGTGGCTGCAGCTCCCCACACGGCATGACTCTACCCCAATCCCCACACGGGCTTCGGCCAAGCTGATCCCCCCAGCCTGCGGTGCATGCACCATGTTGGAGAAGACCGGGTGGCCCACCCCCTCCACGTTCGCGCCGTCTTGGTTCCCGGTGGCAGCAGGTTTCCGCCCAGTCAGGGTGCTGCGTGTTCGCCCTCCTGCATCGCAGGTGTTTGCCTGCACCTCAGGGGGGCCTTGCTGTCCCCACGTGTGACATTCCCCTCCCCGTCCTTTGTCTGTGCCTCCAGCTTCTCGTGGTCTCAGACTTGTTCACTGAGCGCAACCAGTTTGAGATGATGTACCTCACGCTGACAGAGCTGCGGCGGGTGCACCCTTCAGAGGACGAGATTCTCCTTCAGTACCTGGTGCCCGCCACCTGCAAGGCAGCTGCTGTCCTTGGCATGGTAAGGAGGGGTGGGCCCGGCGCCACGAGACCCCCTCAGGCTGGCGCTGCTGCTGTTGGGGTGTGGGAGCAGCCCGGTTTGGCAGGTCTACCTGGTCTTTGTAGCAGCTATGAGCCTGGAGTGGGGCGCCTAGAGCCTCAGGTCCCGCGGCAGCCCCTCCCGACCAAGTTAGGTGTGTGCAGTGTGGGCTGAGCCCTCCACAGGCTCAGCCTTCCTCCCTGCCTGCCTGCCGAGTGTTCCAGACCCTGAGCCACCCGGCCTCTACCTGGGGGTCTGGACACCCTGTCTTTGTTGAATATAGGGGCCAGATAGTTCCTCTGCGAATTCCTCCTGCTCAGCAACCCCTGGGTCAGAGCAGTGCCATGCTGCGTGGCGTTCCCTTTCTAAAACGTCACCACAGACACATGAGGGTGCTTGCCTGTGGCCTGCAAGCTAGAGGATGCTCTGGGCTCTGGTGTGCACGGCTGTGCCCGTGCCTGCACCACTCAAGTCAGGGGCGTGTTGCTTGCCTCCATGTCCCTGGAGCCCTTGTAATGGTCCAGAGTCCTATGTTCAGCAAACCGCAAATGGCTGCTATGTGCCGGGCTCTTGGGGCCGGGGACAGCCGTAACCATGGGTGCCTGCCATGTTCCAACCCATCCTGCCACAGCCACTGATGTCGGCTGGGCCCTCCCCTCATCACCCACCTCCCTCTGCTGGGAGTCAGGCCCCTCTCAATCTGTCTGCCCCCAAGGAGGCTGAGGCCACAGGTTAAGCCACTTGCTCCAGGTCACCCAGGGTGTGGCGGAGTTGGGGTGTGGCTCCCGCCCCTTCCCCCGTGTTCCGTGTAGAACTGTCCCTCCAAGCCAGAGCAGGTCCCGTCCATTCTGGGTGGTCCTCACCCTGCTGCCGTCTTCCAGGGACAGGCACAGTGAGGACGCGGGTGTTCTCCTGAACCCACCCCTTCAAAGTGCTCTGCCTCTGGCTGCCACAGCGAGACTTGAAGGGCCCCTTTCTTCTCTGTGGGCAGCTCCTGCTGCCGGGTTGATGTTCATTGTCATTGTTTTTCCATTCAGCCCAGACCCCGCAGGCGGCTGTTGTGTTGTCAGTGAGTCAACTAAGTAAGGAGAGTTTTTATAAAGCTCCCCGGGTAGGCAGGGCTCAGGGATGCATCCTGTCCCCATGTGCCCTTGCGCCTCTGCGTTTGCCCCCCGCCTGAGCGCCCGGGCCTGTCTGCGGACCACACTTGTCTTTTCCTTTTGAGAGATTTCTTCGCTGGCCCACCCCCTGGCAGACCCTGGAGGCGTGGGCAGTGGCCTTAGGAGCCGTTGCCCATGTGGCGGGCAGCCTCTCATGGACTTTTTGGAGGCCCCTTCCTCCACTGTGCTCTTGGGGGGCCTCCTCCCTAGTAAATGAGAGCATGGTGCTGAGAGTGCAGGTTCCCACTCAGCCCCACTGGTGCAGGAGTTAAATGAGCTGATGACACTTTGACCCTGGTCAGCAGATGCCATTGTGGGCCTCCTTGGGACTCTGCCTGGAGGGCGTTCGGGCTCACATACAGTCGAGCTCACAGCTGTGATGCGGCGCAGTGAGAGGACACAAAACAGTACCCATGGCGGGGTCGAGAGGAGCCAGTGCCAGCTCTGGGACGTCCCATGTGACCCCCTGTGAGGTGCTGTCCATGGGGGCCCCTGGACCATGCCCAGGCTCTCCTAGGGCTGGTCACACTGTCCTCTGCCTGGTACGTCCCGGCCTGCAGGTCCCCCGGGTTGGGGGCAGGTCTGTGCAGGCCCCACAATGCACACAGACAGGCCGGGATCCCGTCAGTGGACAGCGCCCCAGCCCGGTGCCCCGTAGGGACAAGTCTCCGCACCCGCCTGTTCTAGGACAAAGCTGTGGCCGAGCCGGTCAGCCGACTGCTGGAAAGCACGCTGCGGAGTGGCCACCTGCCCAGCAAGATCGGGGCACTGCACGGCGCACTCTACGTGCTCGAGTGCGACCTGCTGGATGACACGGCCAAGCAGCTCATCCCCGTGCTCAGTGACTATCTCCTGTCCAGTCTCAAAGGGATGGCCCAGTGAGTGGGGCTCTCGGGCTGGTCCTTGGGACAGGGGGCTCGCCCACCTCAGGGTGCATTGGGTCCTGGCTGACACCACCGAAGGGCACTGGTGTGGGCAGGTGCCCTTCTCACGGGACGGTGACCAGGGTCACTGAGACAATGGCGTGGCTGGCCGCTCAGCAGGCCCTTGTTGGTGTTTTCAGCTGTGTGAACGTCCACAGTCAGCAGCATGTGCTGGTGATGTGTGCCACTGCCTTCTACCTGATAGAGAACTACCCTCTGGACGTGGGGCCGGAGTTCTCGGCGTCGGTCATACAGGTGAGCAGGCGCCGCTGCTCCTGGCCCTGGGTTGGGAGCCATGGGGCACCGAGATGGCACCTGACCTGGAAGCCTCCCTCCTTGTGCAGATGTGTGGGGTGATGCTGTCGGGCAGCGAGGAGGCCACACCTTCCATTATCTACCACTGCGTCCTGAGGGGCCTGGAGCGCCTCCTGCTGTCTGAGCAGCTCTCCCGGCTGGACACAGAGTCCCTGGTCAAGCTGAGTGTGGACAGGGTGAATGTGCACAGCCCGCACCGCTCCATGGCAGCCTTGGGCCTGATGCTCACCTGCATGTACACAGGTGAGTGCTGGGGCCTCTGGCGTCCCTGGCCTGCCTATGCCCAGCCGGCCACTGCCACCAAGCTCCACACTGACAGGTGGACAGAAGCGTGCTTGTTCACAGACACTGGCCACAGGGCTCTGTGGCGCTCGAGAGTCTAGCGCCGAGAGCTGGGGTGACGGCTCAGGGTCTAGACCGAGCAGACCAGCCACTGCACCCTGTGGGGCAGAGTCTGGGTGGCACTTGTGGCTGGTGGGGGCTCTCATTCCCCAGTTTCAGGCCATCTCGAGGGCTTCCTTAACCTCCCTGAGGGCGTTTGCAAAAAGCCCGTCCAGTGACAGCGCTGTATGATTCTATTTCAGGAAAAGAGAAAATCAGCCCCGGCAGAACCTCAGATCCCAATCCCACTGCCCCTGACAGCGAGTCGGTGATTGTGGCCATGGAGCGTGTGTCTGTGCTCTTTGACAGGTGAGGGCTGACAGCACTAGCGCCTGCCTCCGCTCTGCTGCAGGGCTGGCCCTGCCCAACCTGTGCTCTGCTCCGGCTCTTGCCCCGGCTGGTGGGAGCCCTGCTCTGACCTGGGGCCTTTGGCCTGAGGCGCCCCAGGGGTAAAGTGGCACACCCCCACTGGGCCAGGGCCTGACCTGGAGCAGCGTTAAGCTTCCGGAGACCAGGGTGGTCTCAACTAGCAAAACGTACAGCTTCGGGGGTCCCGCTCAGTGCCCCCCACGCTGCGGGCCCTCCTCTGCTGGCAGATGTCTGCAAGTCTATGCCGTTTGCATGTGACCTGTAAAGTGAGAGCGGGCAGTCCTCCCTGTGGTCGGCAATGGGCTACAGGCCCTGCCATCACATGCGGCTGCGCCCTGCCGAGCGGGTTTGACAGAAGAGGACTTGGGTTGTGGGTGGCATCCAGAGCCCCAGCCTTGGTGTGCTGGGCAGCAGATGCCGTCTGCTGGGGTGGGCGGGCACACTGGGCGGGGGCTGGGTCACATGGTGCTTCTCACCACACGAAGCGCGTACGTGTGCCCTGCAGGGTACAGTCGGGGCTGGCCCAGCATCTGAGGAACATTCCTCGAGGGGCAGGCGGTGGGTGTATGGCAGGAGGAGCAACAGCCTGGGGCGCCTGCCGAGGATGGGTGTGGCTGGGGTCAGTGTCTGCATGTGGACAGGGTGTTAGGCGTTTCTTTTCTCTGCCGTCACCACCCTCACCACTTCTGCTCCTTACTCTCACGACTTGGGGTCGTTTGTCCCACACCCCCACAAAGTGGGGGATCCAGCCTGTGGCCAGCTTGCAAAGCCTAAATGTTGAGACCCCTCCAGCCCAGGTCTCACATCAGGCTGATTCAGACAAGAGGCCTCCAGGGGGGTCAGGCAGCTCTCATGGGGCTCCTTCCTTTCAGGATCCGAAAAGGGTTTCCCTGTGAAGCCAGAGTGGTGGCGCGGATCCTTCCTCAGTTTTTAGACGACTTCTTCCCACCGCAGGACGTCATGAACAAAGTCATCGGGGAGTTTCTGTCCAACCAGCAGCCATACCCACAGTTCATGGCCACCGTCGTGTACCAGGTGGGTGGGGCCCTGGCACCTGGGCCATCAGCCGCGGGGTTTGCTAGGGACCCCAGGCTCCCTGCAACACACAGCTCTTCTCCACAGGTTTTCCAGACTCTGCACAGCACAGGGCAGTCGTCCATGGTCCGTGACTGGGTCATGCTGTCCCTCTCCAACTTCACACAGAGGACCCCCGTGGCCATGGCCGTGTGGAGCCTGTCCTGCTTCTTTGTCAGTGCTTCCACCAGCCCCTGGGTGTCGGCGATGTATCCTTCCGGGGGCCAGGCTCCACCTGCTGCTCCCCTGTCACCTCTGGGCTGGTCCTGGGTCAGTGTTTGAAGACCCTGCTCTGCACAGAGGGCCCTGGGTGGCAAGACCCCAAGAGAGGAAACCGAAAACGTACCTCACCAGGCCCACCTGAGAGGCTGGTCTGGGATTTCACTCGAGGCCGGGGCTGGGCTCTGTGCTCTGTGCAGCCAGGCTTTCCACCAGTGCTGCTTCTAATTAGCCCTCGCCATTGTGCCTGTCCATTGTCTGGAGTAAAAGACTTCATAAAGGCAAGTTCCCACCCCGAAACACTAACTGCCAAAAGGGGATGTTCCCTCTTGGTAGCCTTTGCCCACAACACATCCCAGAGCCTCTGGGCAGATGGCCGTCCTGGTGCGGACGGCAGGCCTCGCCCCGCATGCCTAGGCAGGGTGGCCATGGCTCTGCCCTCAGTCCCTGGGAGCCGGGCCAGCGGGAGCACCAGCCACCAGCACCGTGTGAGGAGCCAGGCCAGGTAAGTGCCGCCCGGCACGGCGGCATCCCTACGGGGCTTCGGCTCCTTTGGCCAGCTTGCCTGGCCCAACCTGCCCTTGTCCCTAGCCAGCAGGGAGCACTGCGTCCTGGCAGCCGTGCTGAGGTCTGCGTGGGGACTAGTAGGGCTTCCTAGGTTGGCGCCAGCGACACACTCCTGGGGCAGTTCCCCCCTCCCTTGTAGCCTTGCTCCCTTAACTCCTCTGCCAGCCTTCCCCACGTCGTCAGCAGGATGGGCAGGCTGGAACACGTGGATGTTAACCTCTTCTGCCTGGTCGCCACAGACTTTTACAGACACCAGATAGAGGAGGAGCTGGACCGCCGGGCCTTTCAGTCTGTGTTCGAGGTGGTCGCGGCACCAGGAAACCCGTATCACCGACTGCTGACTTGTTTGCGGAATGTCCACAAGGTCACCACATGCTGAGTGGCCGCATGGGGCAGCTGGGAGCCTCGGGCTTCTCCTGGGGTGCCAGGGCACACAGTGGCGTCCGTCTCTGCAGGCGGCCCGCGCCCCTGGCCGTGCGGCGGCGTACAGGGAATATGCAGTAACTCTGAGGGTCGAGCCTGAGTCCTCCTGGGGAGGCAGCCACGTTGCTCACCCTCCCGCGGAGCTAGTGCTGGAGGCCAGTCGGCGTGCCAGGCGTTGCTCTGTCCTGGCGTCCATCCTGGGGTCCAGGGCATGCTGCTCTGTGGCTGGGACACGAGCCCTGCCCTTTGGGCTGGCTGCCAGCCCTTTGCTGTCCCCCAGGCAGAGGCTCTGGGAGCGCTGGTCTGCTCCCCCCCCCCCCGCCCCCCGCAAGGTGCAGGAAGCCAGGGTTGGGCCGCGCCAGGCAGGGTGGGCGTGTCAGCTGGGGTGTGGGTGGGGGCTGGTGGCCAGACACCCAGCGCCGTCCTCCCTTCTCTGTTTTCTTCTCAGGATTTCAAATTTAATTCTATCAGTAAAGAGATTAATTTTAAGGTAACTTCTTGCGCCCGTGTGCGTGTGTGTGTGTTGGGGAGCCTGTGTTGCATGCGGCGGTGTCTCCGGGCCTGGCCGCCCCTCCCGTGCACTCACGTGTCATCAGCCCTTAGAGCAGCATCAGCGTCAGGTCACGTGTCCGTACCAGGGGCTCTCCACGGCCCCCGGCCCTCCCCACAGCACCCATGAGGGGCGGTGTGGCCCTCGTGTCCCCGGCTCCCATCCCAGCTGACTGGGCTGTGGTCTGCCAGAGCTGTGGGCCTTGCCCAGCGGCCCCTTGAGTCGCCCGAGCTGTGTTTGCATCCTCCGGTCAAGAACAGAGCTTTGTGTCTTGGCAACTGTTAGAAAGATCCCAGCGCCCCTTGGGGCCCTTCCGTGCCGCGGGCGCCTTGGAGCCCAGGATAGCCCAGGGTGGTGCCTCAGCACTGTGTGGCTCCATCTGAAGGGGCAGGACAGGGCCTGGCCAGCCCATGGGGGACAACCCATACCCTCTGCCAGCCACCGCTCAGGTGGGGCCTTGCGTGCCAGCTTCTCCAGTGCTGGGGGGCGGGGCGCGGGAGCTCTGCTTGCCGCCCACCCCACCCCCACCCCCGGTCCCTCGGACAGTCGTCTGCTCGTGGTCACGTCAGTCGTCGTGGTCGAGTTCTGGTGTAGTCGGATTGTGGCTCTCCTAGGGTCCGAGGGCCCCTTGGAGCTGTGTTCCAGTCTGCAGGAGACCCTGTCTACTACCTTAATCACCCCAGGTCTGTGTGGGGGCATCTTGCTCACTGCAGGCTGCAGAGCCAGCCTCAGGGACAGCCCCAAGCTGCGCCTCCCGCCCCTCTGGCTGCCAAGGTTTGGGCCCCTGGGAGGCAGGGCCGGCCAGCTGTCCGTGCACACGAGGGGCGCTGGTGGGGCCTCCGCAGAGCAGCCCTTCCATTTTCCCTGCAGCCCCCAACAGGGCCCTGGCTGAGTCTGGTGTGCCTGAAGGAGTGAGCTGACGTCTGGGCAGGACTGAGGGGGGAGGCGGGAGCCACACATAGCTCGTCCCCACTCACTCCAGGACCTCGGGACACCTGCTGAGAGTCAGGATCTGTCTGCCCCTGCCTGCCCAGGGGGTCTCGCCGCTCTGACGTGGACGTGGACAGGGCTGAGATGGCCGTGCCCTTAGGAATGACACCGGATGGCGAGTCGCTGGGCCCAGCAATGGCCCCTTTTACAGAGCGGTCCAACAGGCGCCTCATGGGGGCTCGGGCCCAGCTCAGGGTGTGGGTGCCCCCCCAGAGACTGGCTGGTGTGCCCCAGAGTGGGGTGTGTGCACTCACATGACCTGTCCCTCCGAGCCGGCGCCTCTCCAGGCCCTCATGCGGGAGGGGCTCGACCTCGGCTCCTGCAAGACCTCGGCCTGCGCCCTCCCTGCCACCTGTCCGAGGACGCCGGAAGGGCTGAGAGGACGGTCAGCTTGGGGTTTCCTCTCTGCGGTTGTTTGTTCTGCTGCTGGCAGTGTCAGGAAAGACGAGCGAAACCAGGGTGCGTGCCAGAGTGCCCCGCCCGGGAGCCCCGCCTGCCAAGTGCCCTCCAGCGCTGCCCTTCACCAGCAGTGTCTTTCCAGAGAAGCGGGTGAAGCGGAAACCCCACATACTACCTGGGAGTAGTGCAGGGGAGCCCTGCGCCCCACGGGCCCCACCTCCCGCAGGCCCCTCTTGGCAGGTGGCCTTCTCAGGCCTGGGAGCCGGGGCTGTCGGGCGGCTCCTGGGAGCTGAATGAGCGCACGGGGCCCGGGGGGGCCGTAACTGCCCCGGCTGGCACGGTCGCCCGTGTGGCTGGACACGGAACCCTGGCGGTGGCCCGACTGCGTGCTTCCTTCACACCTAGTGCCCGGGGCTGTCGCTACTGTCCTGTCTGGGCCGTGGGAGGGACAGGCAGACGGCTGGCAGCCTCTCAGTCTGGCCGGGCAGCGTGGCTAGCCGATCCGGGCCAGGACCGCCGGCCAGACTGTGGGGAGGGGCTGTGGGTGGCAGTGACAGCAGCGGGTGGCCTGCCAAGTCCAGGGCCCTCCAGCACCCAGGAGCCTTGGGCCCTGGACGGTCACTGTGGTTTCGTGCAGCCAGTCCTGTGGTGGGCACGGCAGCCAGGCTCCCAGCTGAGGGGGCCTCCTGGCCCCCACCTCTCGGCACCCAGCCAGGGGCTTTCTGCGGGGCCGTGCTGTGCACCCATGGGGCCGCGAGGGCACATCCGGAGCCCCAACCCAGACTTGCCCGTCACTTCCGAGCGGAGCGGGAGGGGCCGACCCGAGGCGTGTGCTTACAGCTCTGCTGACTGCCGTGACTTTGTATGTCGGAATTAAAGGCAAGAAATAAACTGAGTTGCTGTGTGACGCTAGTTTGCTCGCGAAGGCTCGAGACTCTGCCGGGGGCGGAGGGGGGCAGCTGGCAGAAGCTGGTGGCCTCCCGTTGGTGCCCGATGTCTGGAGGGGCCCCTCCTAGCCTGGCAGTGGAGACCCTGCGTCCTGTGTCCTCCGAGGGCCCGCTCACCACAGCCTGGCCATCTGCCCACAGGCCACGAGACTGCGGTGGCCGAGCGAGGTTCTGGCCCAGTCACACCATGACCGGCTCTGAATTTTTGCTTACACATTGTCCCTCAACCCACAGGGGCCATAGGTCATGTAGGCCCAAAGGGCTCACGCAGGGGCCATGGTGTGACCAGGCTGGCCCCTTCCACCTCCGCGGCCATGGGCACTGTGTGCTCCTGGTCCAGGTACACCCGGCCCCCCAGTGCAGCTGGTCTCCCCACCTGAGGGCCTGGCCTGGGAGTGTGGCGGTGCTTGCCTGGCCTCCCCAGCACACAGAAGTTTACTTGGCCGCCCGGGGATCCTCTGGAGGCCCCTCGGGGCCCTCGTGGTTGGTGTGGCAGTCATCCCGGGGCAGGTGTTCAGCCCTCCAACCTGCGAGGACGAATACCCTGTCTGTGAGCTGAGCCAGCAGGGGAAACTGCCCGTCCATCTGGTCACTGGGCCTCATCCACCCTCCCCTCAGCAGGTGGGGCAGTCCCCGAGTGCGCACCCGCTGGGCCCCGAGGGACAGCAGAGCACAGGACAAGCACCCTGCCCTTGGGTGCTTGTCGGGAACGCAGCAGCGTTCCCAGGGATCAGCAGCAGGCCTGTGCCCTGCCCTGCCGTGACCACGGAGCCCTTTCTCTGCACTGGACAGCGGTCTTGGCCTGCTGACGGAGGCCCTGGAGGCCAGACTTTGTCCAGGGGGAGGTGTGGGCATGAGCAGGATGCGACTGGGCTTGTTGGGCTGGCCCTGCACAGTCAGTGCTCCCCACAGTTGCTCTTACGTTGGACGGTTTTTGCTCCTCAAATACCTCGCCTCTGTGCTCCAACTTCAGGCCCCGATGGCCTCCCCCTCCCCACACCCCAGTCAAGGTGCATAGTGGGCCCACTGTTCGCTGGGGCCCAGGTGCCTGGAGGTGGCAGCCAGCTCCTGCGTGCATGGGCCTGTCTCGCACGGCCCCGCTTGCTCTCCAGCAGCACGGCAGCATGCTCGGCAGAGGGGAGGGCCCCCTTGCTTCAGAGAAAGCCCCTGCTTGCTGACCTGAGGCCAAAGAGCCGTTCTGTGGAGGGCTTGGCCTTGGCCTGCAGCCTCGCCCTCAGGGCTATCTCGCAGTGGGCTGAGCCTGCTGGGCGGGCCTGTCTTCAGGGCCCCGGACCCATGAGCAGGACAAGCGGCTCTGGTGTCGCCCGGGCCCCGCAACCATGCCCACCCGCTGTTGTCCTGGCTTTCCGGCTCAGCGGCAGCCCCGTTGGGACACAGTGTCCCTTCCAGCTTCCCAGGGAAACCCAAGAGCCACCCAGGTGGTGGCTTCCTGGTCAGCCCTGGTTTCCCAGGCCTCCACTCACCTGCCCGGGGTGCTCAGGACCGGCCTGGGCTCCCAGCAGGCAGGGCCTACGGGCCGCTGCCCTGGACATGGGGCCAGGCCAATCCTGAGGAGGATCATCACCACTCTCCCCCGACATTGCCCCACACCTCCCACCTGAACTGGGCCTCCGTGATGTTGGGGGTCTTCCGAGCCCTGAGCTCTCCCAGTGCCAAGCTGCCTTGCCTTTGCGGTGGGCTCTGGCCCTCGGGAGGAGGCCTGCCTCCTGTCCAGGGTTCCTCGTTGGCCAGCCAGGCTGGGCCAGGCACATGCTCGGAGTGAGCGCTGGTTCAGGCTGACCCAGCGGGCCTCCCCCCACTCAGCTGTGGCCCCCTCTCCTGCAGGTGCTGCTGGATGCCACACCCTGGGCCCTCTGCCTCCCCACCCCGCAGAGACTGAGGGTCCCAGCAGGCCATGCAGCTGTGCCAAGGTACGAAGCCCCTCCCCCTCAGAGGACAGGCACAGGGTCCCCCTGGCTGGACAGCTGGGCTCTTGGCCTTGTCCCCTACTTCCTTCCTGTCTTTGGAGGCCCAAAGTCGAGGCTCTGCTTCAGGATGCACACTGGGAATCTCCTTCCCGGGGGCATGCAGTGCCCCTGAAGAGAAGGAAGGTTGGCATCCAGTCTTTTGCCCCAAATCCCCCAGACATGCCATCTGCAGAGTGGGTAGCCTGTCCCACTGGTGACCTGCCACTGGGGTCTGCCAGAGTGGCCAAAGGGGTACCTGTACCCATGTGACTCCCACGGGAGGTGGAGATGGTGCGGGGCACTGAGCAGGTGGTGACACCGAGGACCAGGAGCCTCGTGACCATGGTCCTGGCAGCACCCCTGGCTCCCTGGGGCGGCAGCTTTCCTGTCAGTTACTCACCAGCCCCAGGCAGACCGGCAGCCTCTGCCCATGCTGCACTGCCTTGGCCCTGGGCCCACCTGGGCTCCATGGGGCAGCCCTGCCTGGCCCTGTGAGCTGTGCTCCGGCTCAGTGCCCGCTGGAGGGCCGCTTGGGAGGGTCAGACCTTGTGCTTGAAGAGCAGGGCCTTTCCTGGAGATGTGCCTTCCTGCACTCGCTCTGGGCGCCCAGGAGTGCAGCCATCCTGAGCTTCCCGGGGGCACCACATGGTTAGGCAGGGATGTCCCCTGGGCCCCAGATGATCCTGAGGTTCCAGAGGAAGGGACTCCCATAGGGAGATGATGGCAGGAGGCCTTGACCTGAGAGCTTGCTGAAGGGGATACAGAGGCCCTCTACTGCCCACATGCACCCCTGCCGCCCGCTGCTCCCCCGTCTGACTGCAGCCACCGGGCCACCCTGGGCGCCACTGTGGCCAGCACCCAGCTAGCCCTCCTGAGCACAGGGCTCCAGAGGACATGCCGGTGCCCATGGGGTGCAGTAGAGACTCGTGCCCGTTCCCAGGTCAGTGGACTGCCAGCCATCTGACGCAAGAGATCTCCCACCACTGGTTCTCAGCCTGGACTTTTTGAGCCCGCCCCTGGATTCAGGACCACTGGAACCCACAGACAAGCAGGCTCACTGACTGGCACTGGGCCTGGGTGCCAACCCGCTGCCAGGGGACAGGGCCCGCCAGGTCCCCAGCCTGCGCAGTCAAGGCTGTGGCCCCAGTGGGCAGACCACTGTGTCGGAGCCTTTAGGTGGCGCATCCCCTGCAGTCTTTGCAGGCCCCCTCCTCCCTAGCCGCTGTGGCAGGTGCTCCACCGGTGCCCTTTGCCCCCTGGCGGGCAGGGCCACTTGTCCACCTGCCCCTTGGCTCAGTCACTGCCCCATAGTGGCAGTGCTGGCGGTCAGTGTCACTGCCACACTCCTGCCTGGCAGTGGGGTCTGGCTTCGGTCAAGCTGGTTCCAGCCTCCACACCACCTGAGGCCTAGGGTGAGTTTGGTTCCTGGAATGGAGGAGCCCAGCAGGCAGCTAGCATGTCACCCCCGGGGCCCGCAGATGTGGAAACTGAGCCTGGTCAGGTCTCTCGTGGCAGGAGGGCGATAGCCCAGGGGACACCTGGTCCAGGGTCGGTGTTAGGGTCTCCTGGGGCCCCGGGAATGGTGGGAACATTCTCCCAGGCATGCAGCACTTTGCCTTGTCATGTGGGGTGGGGACCAAAAGTGGAGCGGGAGACTTCAGAGGCGGTGATGGTAGCAAAATAAGGCTTTGAAGAATGAGTAGGAGTTTGCCAGTCAGTCCAAAGACAGAGTCTGGGCAATCTCCTGAGAAGGAAGTAGCCCTGCTGAGGATCAGTCCCCCATTATTTACTTTTCTCCTGGCAGACCTCTGCCAAGCCTTTTTCTGCGGGACTGAGGACACAGGGAGCCCTGCTCGCCCCCCTGGAGGAGGAAGGCTGGGTATGGCCGATGCCCAAGCAGGGGACAGGGCTGTGGGGACTGCCCAGCATGGGAGGCTCACACATGCCTGGCGACTCAGGCCCCCACCAGGCTCCTCAGCCCACCTGCCCCTCCCAGGCCAGGGCCAGGCCACCCCCGGAGGGGCAGAGCAGGGGCGGCTCAGGGCAGCCTGGCACCGTTCAGCCCAGCCCCTCTCACTGACATGCCTGAGCCACAGGGGTGAGCGGCAGTGTGTGATTTGTGTGGTGGGCCCCTGAGGGGTCTGCCCCGTGTCTGCCTCTCTCTCTGTCCTCTCCCCACCTTCCCCTGTTAGCCCCAGGTCACCCATTTTCTACCACCCAACTCCCGGTCTTGAGCTCTCCCTGGCCTGGGCCCCCAGGCCTCGGGGTGGGGCTGAGGCGGGGCCCCACTGGGACCCCACCCCTTGCACCCGGTCAGCCCCTCATGGCCCTCTCGCTGCATGGCCGGAGAGGCCGGGCCGAGCAGGTGGGCAACAGGCCGGGGGCCGGAGGCGGCCTGGGCCTCGCCGCTGGCTGCAGTATTGACGGCCCGTCAGGGCGGTCTGATTCCTGTGCTTTCAGTTAAAAGGTTTCTGTTGTTGTAGCTTATGCAGTTGCTCTGTTGCTATGGAAACGTGACATCAAAATGACGTTTCCCGTTTAAAAGCTTTTAACTAAATTCCTGCTTGTCAGATGGAGGCCCCATTTTGAGTGCCGAGCTGCCTTCCAGGCCGGGCTCGCCCATGTGCGCAGGCCGGCGCCGGCCCCCTGAGCGCGCCTTCCGCCCGCAGGTGCCTCCGGCATGGCCGCGGCCGAGGTGCCCGGCTACCTCGTGTCCCCCCAGGCGGAGAAGCACCGGCGGGCCCGCAACTGGACGGACGCCGAGATGCGCGGCCTCATGCTTGTCTGGGAGGAGTTCTTCGACGAGCTGAAGCAGACCAAGCGCAACGCCAAGGTCTACGAGAAGATGGCCAGCAAGCTGCTGGAGATGACCGGCGAGCGCCGGCTGGGCGAGGAGATCAAGATCAAGATCACCAACATGACCTTCCAGTACAGGTGGGTGCCGGGCCCCTCCAGGAGCCGGAAAGCGAGGCCCTGTGGGGCAGGCCAGGGCTGGGCACCCCGGGCAGGGGCCCCACGCAGCCTGCGCACACCCTGCCCGGCAGCCGGGCCTGCAGGTCACTGGCCCAGGTGTGACTGCTCAAAAGGGTGGTGGGACTCAGGCAGGGAAACTGAGGCTGGAGGCCAGAGGAGGCCCAGCCGCCAGGCCTTTGCATCCCGCCTGCTCCTGACACCCACTTTCCTGTCCCCTGAGCCAAGTGGGACCCCACTGTGTTAGGGTGGGGTGGGGAGGGTGCTGGGGTTGCTGTGGGCCAGCTGAGCACCCAGCAGGCTCCTGCTCGCTCATGGGAGGTGCCAACCTTGGGCCTAGGGATTCCCAGCCTGGGGGCCCTGGACCTGGCCCCACTTCAGCCTCCACCTAGTCCCACCTGGCTCTGCCCAGAATGGAGCCCCTCGGGACAGGGAGCCTGGGCCTGTCTGCAGAAGGTCACTCAGACAGGCTCACGGGCAGGGCAGGTGTCGGGTGGGCAGAGGTTCTGGTGTGGGCAGTGGTCTGGGTGTGGACACCCCAGGCACAGGTCTTGCTGGGGTGAAGGTCAAGCAGGATCTGGGGTGTGGGAGAAGAACAAAACTGGGTAGGCGGCCCCCAGAGCCTGGCAGCATCCTGGTGGCTATTTCTGGAGCACGGATGTGATCTGTGGGTTCCACAGGCCTTGGGGCCACCATGGACAGGGGTGTTGACCAGGCCCTGCAGGGAGGGCCACCTGGAGCCACACTGTAGCAAGCGGACCCCTCACCCAGTAGGTGAGGAGGGAACCCCGCCCCTCCTGCACCCGGAGACCCTTGACGCTGCTTTCAGTCACCTGGATTTAACCAAGGCCTTGCCCATTCCTGTCCCCAGCCCCTGCCAGACCTGAGGGCCAGAAGAGAGGCAGCTGTGGGGGTCCCGAGGCCCCTCTGCATGCGTGTCCTCAACTCCCAGCCTTGCACGGGTGTGGCTGTCTGCATGCTCACGGGCCCCCAGCCACCAGCCCACCTGCAGTGGCCAGGGAAGCTGTGCGGCAGCTGATGGGTGTCTGGTGGGTTATTCATTATTTATCCTGAAAGCCCTCTCCAGAGGCCAAGGGAGGGATCCTGTTCCACTCCCAGAGGCCACAGGAGACGGGGATGAGCAGCACAGGGCCTGGGGCCTTCTCTCCGGCTGCTGGCTCCTCACGGCACTTGCTTAAGAAGCACCTGAACACCCTGGGTCCTCACAGACCGCTTTGTCTGCCCTCATTCACCCCAGGGAAATGGAGGCCCAGAGCAGAGAGGGTATGCCCAAGGCCCCACAGCCCTGGAGAAGCCAACACTTTGACTGCCTTGTTCTTTACCTACCCTCTCCCCAGAGACCCTCCCCCATGACAGGGGCTGTTATTTTCACTTGAGAGCTCTTTATATATGAAGGTTTTCAGGTTAAGAAAGTCTAAGGGTGTGGCCCAGTTCTGTGGCGCATGCTTTGTTGGAATACCATTCAGGCGCCTCCGGATCAGTGGGAGGCCAGGGTAGGGCGGGGTGGGGAGTGGGCTTCTTGAGGGGGCAGGAAAGCTGGGTGCCCCCAGGGGGGCTGGAGGGGAGCCAGGGCAGAGACAGGGCCAGTATCCATGTCTGCTCAGCCCCCTCGTGTGATGGACAGTGGTGCCATGGCCCGGAGACTGAGCCCTGTGTGACTGCTCTCCCCTGTGTGACTGTCACCTGCTTTCTGCTGAGAACACTGCCTGGTGGGCAGTGCTCCCAAGGGCCACCTCCTGCCACAGCAGGCCCCTGCTGGCCGCCCTGTGCAGTGGGCCCCTCCCCAGCTGCTGTGTCTGTGAGCTGGGGACAGTGGGAGCTTGGGCAGGAGCACAAAGGACTGCAGGCCGAGGCTGGGGCCTGAGGGAGCCCCCACCACCCTCCTTGTGGCCTCTTCCCCGGCCTGGCCCGGGTGACCCAGCTCCGCTGTGCCCACCGCCTGTCCCTCGCCCCCCAGGGTCCCGCGGGCTGTCTGTGGTGGTGGGCAGGAGGCAGGCAGAGAGTGGGCAGAGCTGCACTGTGCAGACCGCCGGCCTGTGTCTTCGGGGGGGGGGACGTCAGGCCGGCCCTCGTGAGCCCGGGCAGTGTGCGCTCTGCAGGCCCCGGGGGTCACTCCACGAAACGCTCCCCACACCCCAAGAGCACCTTACTTTGATATCCCTGCTCTACTGGTGTGAACACAGGGGCTCAGAGAGGCTAATGAACCCGCCCAAGGTCACACAGCGAGAGACGGTCTCAGATCTGTGGGGTGCTGCGGCCCGCGCTCGTAGATCCACCCCCGTGACGGTGCCCGCCTCCCCGCTAGTCTCCTGACGCCGCGAGAGCTTACCCGTCCCACCTGTGCTGGCGCACACTTGAGTACTGCTGGCTGCTCGCTTAAAAGCCGTGTCTGTGCACAGCAGAGCGTTTAGAAACTATAGAAAAGCGAAGAGAGAAACAGTCCCGGGCGGCTGGGCCCGCCCTGACCCGAACCAGCCCAGTGAGTGGGGCGCGGGCCTGCTCGCGACCCCCAGGCTGTGCCGCCCCCAACGCCTCCTGCCAAGGCCAGCGTCTCTTTGGCCAGGAGCGGCTGCCGCCTGTGCCTCGTGGCTCCCCTGGGTCCTGAGCCCGAGGGCCACTCCGCCCAGGGCCGTGGGCCAGGGCGGGAGCAGCTGTTTCTCACCCTTGGCTCTTGTGTCTCTCGTTTCAGGAAATTAAAATGCATGACAGATAGCGAGGCCGCCCCGCCCGACTGGCCCTATTACCCCGCCATTGGCAGGATCCTGGCCCAGGCCCCCGAGCCCCGCGACGGCGGACTGCCGGACAGCCAGCAGCCGGGGCCCTCCGCGCCCCCGACCGAGGCGTCCCTGTCGCCGTCCGCTAAGTCCGCCCCTCTGTACCTACCGTATAACCAGTGCTCCCGCGAAGGCCGCCTCCGGGATGACGGCTCCGGCAGCTCCTCCAGCTCACTGTCCCCTAAGCTCAGGTGTGTGCTCTCCCCGCCCGCGGGCCGGGAGCCGGCCCCAGAGCAGGGGCAGAGCTGCAGGGGTGGCCTGCTGTTGCGCTGACACCCCTCTGCCATCCCCGCCAGGGCGAGGCGGCGCGCGAGCACCCCAGGGACAGGGAGGCCCAGGCGGGGAGGCAGGTGGACGTAAATTGGCTATGGTTTGGCCACCGGGTGAGTCTTCCGGTTCCATCGCTTGTTAGCCTGTGGACAGCTTGGCCTCTCCGGGCCGCGGTCCCCCCTTGCACGGTGGGGCTCCGCCTTTGTTCTCGGAGGGTGGCTGGTCCGGTCAGAGGCGGACCGGACGGCACAGGCCCCCTATACAGGGGGGCCAGGTGTGCCTCCCTGCCGGCCCCCAGCTCCTGGTTTCCGGACCCTCACCCCATCCAGAGCCCTTCCGCCTCTTGTTGGTCCCCTCGGCAAGGGAGGTGTGTTTCCTGAGCCTCTCGGGCTGGGTGTGCCACCTGCTCTGCCGCCCGCCACACACTGCCCCCAGCCTGCGGTGGCCACCTGGCCTTGCCCCCCGCTGCATGTGGGGCCAGGCCCTGAGGAGGGACACTTGGGGTGGGCCTTCAAGGGTGACTAGGAGTCAGCCAGCAGGGCACAAGGGAGAGTGTGTCTGTGGCCACCCCCTGAGCCCACCTTCAGCCCTGTCGGCTGGGGTGGGGGTGAGAAGGCGTCTCTGGGGCACCCCTAGCTGTGACACCCCCTCAGCTGTCAGCACCCCTCCCCTGAAAGGGAGTTCTCAGCCAAGACCCCACACAAAAAGCCTCTGCTGACAGGCCAACCAGCCTGGCAGGGAAGCCTGAGATTTATGGCCAATTGTTTGCAGGGGCTGAGCCCGGTTCCCAGGCCCTAGGCAGTCAGGGCTCCAGGCTGGAGCAGGAGCCCCTGAGGAGCTGAGTTCCTGTCCTGCTGGGGAGACCCAGGGTGGCCAGGCGAGGGGGGGTCTGCTGAGACGTGCCAGCTCTCTGCCCTTGCAGGCAGGTCGGCCCAGGGTGCTGCTGCCTGCAGCTGAGGGCCGGCCCAGGCCCCATCCACCAGGGTTCCAGGCCTCGTGGGGCCCAAGCCCCCAAGGCCTGCTGGCTCCGGGCTGCTGGAGACAAAGGGAGCTCCCACCCCTTCCTCCCAGGACCTGTTCCCACCTGCCCAAGGCCAGCGGGCGTCGCTGTCCCCCCCATCTCCTGGGGGCGGCCTCTGGACCTCACCCCTCACCCGTGCCCCTGATGGCCTCACTCAAGGGGTTTCGGGGATGCCCGGTGGCAGAATGTGCCCCACTGCCCTGGCTGTTGTGTGGGAGGGCTGGCCGCCCCGAGCGGGCGCACTCCAGCTCCCCGGGGCCTCGGTCTCCCTGCGTGCTCGGCCAGCCGCCCCATGCCGCACTGTCCCCACAGGTCGGACGAGCGGCCCGTGAAGAAGCGCAAGCTGCAGAGCTGCCACCTGCGGAAGCGGAAGCTGCGCCTGCTGGAGGCCATGCTGGAGGAGCAGCGCCGGCTGGGCCGTGCCGTGGAGGAGACCTGCCGCGAGGCGCGCCGCGTGCTGGACCAGCAGCACATCCTGCAGGTGCAGAGCCTGCAGCTGCAGGAGCGCATGATGAGCCTGCTCGAGAAGCTCATCGCCAAGTCCAGCGTCTAGCGCAGCGCGGCCCGGCCCTGGGGCTCCGGCGACCGCCGGGCTCCCTTCCCGGGGCTCCTTCTGGACCCCACAGGCCGACGTCCAGTGCTAGAACTCCGCCCAGACCCAGGAGGGCTCCTGGGCCCCACCCCGCGGGGCTCCCCACAGGACGTCTTGGGACCAGCGATATCTGCTGCCGGGGACGCTTGAACTGGCGCTGCCTATTAAACGTGGTTTTCCGTTGCCGCCTGCATGCAGAGCCGCGTCCTGCCTGGCGGAGGCGCTGGGTCAGTCTGTGCCAAGCAGGCAGACAGACACAGGCGAGCGGCCATCTGTTCCCCTCCTGGGACACGGGTGCCCACTGTCCCCCGCTTAAGGCGAGGTCACTCTTCCAGGCACTCCTGGAGTTTCCTGTGCCAGGAGTCCCTGGCTCGAGGGCTCACGCTCCTGGGGATACACGCAAGGAAGGCGAACTCACAGATGGTGTGGGCAGGGCTGGAAGGGCCCTGAAGACCAGGTGGCTGGACGCACAGGGCTGCAGGGACAGCCTGAGTGGGGCTCAAGGTGGGTGGACGCTGGGCACCTCCCAGGAGCAGCAAGGCCATGGTGGGCATGTGGGAGCTGGCACCCCCAAGCCCAGGGCTGTGCTTCAGCGGGAAGCTCTGGGCTGCCAGTGGAGGCAGGGCCAGGAGGGAGATGAGCTACAGGGCAGAGCTGCCTTATTGCCTCTTCCTGGTCACCTGCAGGGAAATCTTTCTAGACGCTGCTCCGCTGAACCTCCTAGGTCTCGTTGGCGCCCTGGGCTTTGGCCTTCGGCTGCCAAGGAGGCAGCCACAGGGTGTGGGTGGGACTAGCAAGGTGCCGCCCAGACAGCAGGGCTCTGAGGCGTCATGGCTTGGGGGTGCCTTGTCCAGAAACGCTCCCACTGACTGCATCTAAGCAGACTGCCAGGGCAGGCAGACTGGGGTTCACCACCCTCGTGTGCCAGCCACCGGCTCCTCTGACCTTCCAGTGGCCCTTGAGGCCCTCCAGGTGTGTCCAGGTCTCTCACCACCCTCTCTCTGACTCACCAGACTCCCAGGTGGCTTGTAGGTTGGCAGGAGGAGGCAGGGTTCTGAGGGCCCGTGTTGGAGCAGGCCGCAGCACTGGCCCTCGCAGTCCCGGGGGCTTCTCCGGGCTCGCGTGCCGTGGATTCGTGCTGGGGCCCAAGGCTGAGCGGGTGTGGCACCTGTGTGTCGTGCAGAGCATGGTGGCGCCGTGCATGTGGGGTGTGCGTGTCCTGCAGCGTGGGTGTGCCCTGACATGTCAGCTCTGTGAGGCCCTGTGGCTCCACACCCGCAGCCCAGGCAGGAGACGGGGAGTTGCCTTGTACCTAGTTTCTGCTGCGGGCCCAGCTGCTGCCACTGAATTTGTTTCACCAACCTGGGTCCCTGCTGGGTGGCCTGCGGGGAGGGTGCATGAACCCCACCAGCCCACCTGCCCCTGCCTCAGGGTGGTCACACTGGGAGCCCCTGGGCCATGTGTCCGGCACTTTGCCTCCTGGTGGATCGAGCCCCCATGTTCAAGTCCCGCGGCTGCGGGCGTCGGGCCCCTCAGCGTTTGCAGGTAGAGGGACTTGGTCTTGCGCAGAGCGGAGCCCAGCGCCGCCCGTCCTTTTCCCCTCGCAGGCTCAGCTGGGCCCCCGGACGCCCTTCACGAACAGTCGGACAGTGTCCGGTTCTTCTTGGTTGTCGGTCCGTTAGGAGGAGAAGGTGGTATCACGAGTAAAAAGTAGCGCCACTAAATATTAAATATTTAGTAAGAGTCAGCAAAACACATGAACACCGAGCACCAGTCAGGACCCCCACGAGGTGCTGCCATCCCCTTGTGACGGGGCGCTGTTGGGACCTCCCAGCTCGTGCACTCAGGCAAGACCGGCAGGGAAGAGCCGGAAAGGAGGTGAAAATATCCTTATTTTCAGCTATTTTTTTGTATCCCCAGAAAAGCAAATAAACAACCAAGAGTCTTTCAGTCACCTCGACCTCTCACACATGAGAGCGGAACACCGCACCGCTCTTGAGCAAGCACTGGACGCACCAGGTTGCGTGGAGGAAACTCCCGCCTTTATTGAAAAGTCGAGAACAATACTCGAGCTTGGGGAGAGACGTCACCTCCCAAAACCTCTGAGGTAAGAGGCCCCTGTTGCTCACAGAGCGCAGCCGCGGCCGTGGTCTGCTCTGAGAGGGGTGACCTGCAAAGCTTCGTGCCAAGGAGAGACGAGAGGACTTCTGGGGCAGCCCGGCCGGGGCGCGGCTCCTGCTCCTGAGCCCTGGCCGCCCCCGGCGGGAGGAGCCGCAGAAAGGCTGGAGCCTGTGCTGACAGCTCGGCCGTGGGAGAGCCGCGGGGGGTCAGCTCCACGAGCCCCGCCTGGGGCGCTCTCAGCCTGTGGTCTCAGGGCCCCGTCACCCCCCAAGAGGCACTGAAGCCGCCAGAGAGCTTTTGTTTCAGTGGCTCAGCTACCGGCATTGCTGCCTGCTCCGCACCCTGGAGGGAATGAAGCCCCATTTGAGAACAGCAGTAAGCCCACCCCGTGCTGACACGAATCGCACTGCAGGGGAAATACATTTTCCAAAACAAGCATTTTAGTGGAAGAGGGCGTGAGGTAAATCTCCCCAGCCCCGGCCCGGGAGAATCCAGGGCTGCGTTGGGTTCCGGGGTCCTAGTGGGGGTGGTGGCCCAGTAGCCCCACTGGGCTGGCCTTGGGGTGAGTGCCCTCTGATCTCTGCGTGTCACACGGTGACTCCACTGGGCTGTTGCAGCATGCAGCCTGGAGCTGTACCCTGAGGCATTCTGTCTGGCTTGCGTCCGTGACTTGTCCTGTGCCTCGGTGCCACTGGCTTGGCCGTTTCTGTGCATCCGCCCTGTGGCCTGTCCCGGCACCTGCTCAGGCAGTGTGCCTGCCTGGAGGAGAGGAGGCTGGTGCTCGCCGGCCCTTCCCTGACGTCAAGATGACCGCCCGGACCCATGCTCTGTGGAGGCTGGTGCCGGCCCCAGTGACCACCTGTCCTTCTTGGCAGCAAAATGCATATTTTATTCTGGGTGGCCATGTTCTGACTAAAATCTGACCAGCCATCCCCTGCAGGGCCCCGAGGATAGTCAGCCGTGGGTCCTGCAGGCCTCGCTGGCTGGGGGGTGGCTCTGGGCCTGGGATCTCACAGGGCAGGGGCTGCCTGAGAGGGTACATGGTAGGGCCCCTCTTCTCTCCTCAGGCTGTCCCCTCAGTTCACGTCCATAGAATCCCTTCAATGCAGCGCCCCCTAAAAGGGCCTCCATAGCTTCCGGAACTGCCAGCACTATTGCCCCTCTTTGTGCCCCTAATCCCTGAAGGACTGGTTCCCCTGGGGGGAGGGGGGAGGGGCGGGCCCAGGCCACTGGGGTCCAGAGGCAGCTGTCTCCCCCTGCTGCTCCCCTGAGCTGACCCTGTGCCCACCCCGGAGGCCCAGCAGCCTCAGCTTCAGGGCCCAGCTCAGCACCTCACCCCACCCTCCCTCGTCTTCTGAGCCACCTTTCTTTTCCTGTTCAGAGAAGTTTCCAGAGACTTTGCAAGTCCTGCTTTGGAGCAGTGTGACTCCCCAGGGTGCCAGCTGGCATCTCCTGTAATTATCCTTAAATTACAGAGACAATTTTAATTTCACAATAATTAGAAATACCAACTGCAGCACAGCCTTCAAAACTAATGGAATTTTAATGGGCAGCTGCTTCGATTAGAGCCAAGAATAGAAACACGCCCCCGAAGCTGGTGCCAGGAGCCCTGAGCACCCTGGCCTGGAAGGGCAGGGGTACTTGGGGAAGAAGGGATATCTGGGGGGGCTGAGTGAAGGTCTGGGCCACACAGCCAGCAGCTCACCTGCAAGGTAGGAAGGTAAGATGTGGGGGTGGAGGCCGAGGACCACCCGGTCTGCTACAGCAAGACCTCCCTCCTGGGCTTCCCACCTTCAGTTCGATGGTTCCCCCCTGAAGCTGCAGCCTGGCCTACAGCCGGGAAGCCTGGGTCCAGGCCTCTTCACCCAGGGCCGCCTCGCATCCAGGCCCCGTCCCCAGGCACCCAGAGGCTTCCTCTGGGTGGGTCTGGGGGTCCCATTGCATCTCAGGCAGACTCCTCAGGCTCCCCTCAATGACAGCCCAGGCCTGAGCACCCCCATGTCACATGGCACATTGGTTCCACTTGTCAGAGGTGGTGGTGGTGGACCGGCCGGTGGTGGTGCCGCGCGGACGGAAGCGGCAGTGAGCGTTGTCTTGGTGGACAGCTTTGCTTTTAGTAAAATCAGAACCACCTCATTTGTCTCTTGTGGTCAGAGCATTCGTGTCCCGGGAAGTCTTCACCAGGGTCATGAGCTGTTGTCCCACGTGCCCTGGCAGCCGTGCCTGTCGGGGCTGTGATCCCGCTCAGGTTAGCTGCTGCGTGTGAGGTGCGTGAGGTGCGCTCCATGCGCGCTCATTTCCCCATGTGACCAGCTAGTTACTCCCGCACCGTTTTTACAGTCTTTTCTCCCCCCGTTAAGTGTTTCTGGTGCCTTTCTCAAAACAAATCAACCCCCTGAACAAGCAAGAGGGGTCTGTTTCTAGATTCTCTTCAATTCTGTTGGGCTCTGTGTCCACATTTGTTCATCACTAGCTTTAGAGACGGTCTTGAGGTCCTGTAAATCCTGCAACTTCCGTCTTTCAAAATTGATTTGGTTTTTGAAAGCTTTTGCATTTCCATGTGACAAGCCAACATGTCAATTTGTACCCCAACACTCCTGCTGAAATTATGGAGGTGGCATTAAACTGGCCTGAAGAGAACTCACATGTGACCAACCAATACCGAGTCCTGCGACTTTGGAAAGCGGTGCGTCTCCCATTGGAAAAGTCTGACGTGCCCTTTGTGAGATTCACTCCTCAACTTACTAATTTTCCAACTGTTGCTAGAAATAGAACTATAATTGATGTACATGTCTGTGGCCTGCAACCCTGCTAAGGCCCCTTATTAGCTCTAATGGTTT